CGGGGTGATGAAAAGAGGGAGAATGGGTCGGGGTGATGGAAAGCGGGAGAATGGGGCAGGGTGATGGAAAGCGGGAGAATGGGGTGGGGTGATGGAAAGCGGGAGAATGGGGCAGAGTGATGCAAAGCAGGAGAATGGGGCGGGGTGATGGAAAGCAGGAGAATGGGGCGGGGTGATGGAAAGCGGGAGAATGGGGCAGGGTGATGGAAAGCGGGAGAATGGGGTGGGGTGATGGAAAGCGGGAGAATGGGGCGGGGTGATGGAAAGCGGGAAAATGGGGCGGGATGATGGAAAGCGGGAGAATGGGGCGGGATATGGAAAGAGGTAGAATGGGGTGGGGTAATGGAAAGAGGGAGAAAGGGGCGGGTGATTAAAAGAGGGAGAATGGGGCGGGGTGATGGAAAGCGGGAGAATGGGGCGGGGTGATGGAAAGCGGGAGAATGGGGCGGGGTGATGGAAAGCGGGAGAATGGGGCGGGGAGATGGAAAGCGGGAGAATGGGGCGGGGTGATGGAAAGAGGAAGAAAGGGGCGGGGTGATGGAAAGCGGGAGAATGGGGCGAAGTGATGGAAAGCGGGAGAATGGGGCGGGGTGATGGAAAGCGGGAGAATGGGGCGGGGTAATGGAAAGCGGAAGAATGGGGCGGGGTGACGGAAAGCGGGAGAATGGGGCGGGGTGATGGAAAGATGGAGCATGGGGCGAGGTGATGGAAAGCTTGAGAATGGGGCGGGGTGATGGAAAGCGGGAGAATGGGGCGGGGTGATGGAAAGCGGGAAAATGGGGCGGGTGATGGAAAGCGGGATAATGGGGCTGGGTGACGGAAAGCGGGAGAATGGGGCGGGGTGATGGAAAGAGGGAGAATAGGGCAGGGTGATGGAAAGAAGGAGAATGGGGCGGGGTGATGGAAAGCGGGAGAATGGGGCGGGGTGATGGAAAGCGGGAGAATGGGGCGGGGTGATGGAAAGCTGGAGAATGGGGCGGGGTGACGGAAAGAGGGTGAATGGGGCGGGGTGATGGAAAGCGGAAGAATGGGGCGGGGTGATGGAAAGCGGGAGAATGGGGCGGGGTGATGGAAAGCGGGAAAATGGGGCGGGGTGATGGAAAGCGGGAGAATGGGGCGGGGTGATGGAATGCTGGAGAATGGGGCGGGGTGATGGAAAGCGGAAGAATGGGGCGGGGTGATGGAAATAGGGAGAATGGGGTGGGGTGATGGAAAGAGGGAGAATGGGGCGGGGTGATGGAAAGAGGGAGAATGGGGCGGGGTGATGAAAAGAGGGAGAATGGGGCGGGGTGATGGAAAGCGGGAGAATGGGGCGGGGTGATGGAAAGCTGGAGAATGGGGCAGGGTGATGGAAAGCGAAGAATGGGGCGGGGTGATGGAAAGCGCGAGAATGGGGGGGGGTGATGGAAAGCGGGAGAATGGGGCGGGGTGATGGAAATCGGGAGAATGGGGCGGGGTGATGGAAAGCGGGAGAATGGGGCGGGGTGATGGAAAGAGGAAGAAAGGGGCGGGGTGATGGAAAGCGGGAGAATGGGGCAGGGTGATGGAAAGTGGGAGAATGGGGCGGGGTGATGGAAAGCGGGAGAATGGGGCGGGGTGATGGAAAGCGGGAGAATGGTGCGGGGTAATGGAAAGCGTCAACTCTCATATAAGAGCGTCAACTCCCCTATAAGAGCGTCAACTTCCCTATAAGAGCATCAACTCCCCTATAAGTGCGTCAACTCCCCTATAAAAGCGTTAACTCCCCTATAAAGGCGTCAGCTCTCATTAAAGAGCGTCAACTCTCCTATAAGAGCGTCAACTCCCCTATAATAGCGTCAACTCTCATATAAAAGCGTCAACTCTCCCATAAACATGTCAACTCCCCTTTAAAAGCGTCAACTCTCATATAAGAGCGTCAACTGCCCTATAAGAGCGTTAACTCCCATATAAGAGCGTCAACTTCCCTATAAGAGCTTCAACTCCCCTATAAAAGCGCCAGCTCTCCTATAAGAGCGTCAACTCCCCCATTTAAGGGGCAACTCTCATATAAAGCGTCAACTCCCCTATATGAGCGTCAACTCCCCTATAAACACATCAACTCCTCTTTAAAGGTGTCAACTCTCATATACGAGCGTCAACTCCCCTATAAGGGCGTCAAATTTTCTTCAAGAGCATCAACTTCCTTATAAGAGCGTCAACTCCCCTATAAGAGCGTCAACTCCCCTATAAGAGCGTCAACTCCCCTATAAAAGCGTCAACTCCCCAAAACGAGTGTCAACTCCCCTATAAAAGCGTCAACTCCCCAATAAAAGCGTCAACTCTCATATAAGAGCGTCAACTCCCCTATAAGAGCGTCAACTCCCCTATAAGAGCGTCATCTTCCCTATAAGAGCGTCACCTCCCCTATATGAGCGTTAACTCGCTTATAAAATCGTCAACTCCCCTATAAAAGTGTCAACTCTCCTATAAGAGCGTCAACTCCCCCATAAACCGTCAACTCTCGTATAAGAGCGTCAGCTCTCCTATACGAGCGTCAACTCCTCCAAAACAGCGTCAACTCCCCCATAAGAGTGTCAACTCCCCTGTAAGAGCGTCAACTCCCCTGTAAGAGCGTCAACTCCTCTATAAGAGTGTCAACTCCCCTACAAGAGCGTCAGCTCTTGTATAAGAGCGTCAACTCTCCTATAAGAGCGTCAACTCTCCCTTTACATCTTTAACTCTCATATAAAAGTGTCAACTCCCATTTAAAAGTGTCAACTATCATATAAGAGCGTCAACTCTTCTATAAGAGCGTCAACTCCCCTATTAGAGCGTAAACTTCCCTAAAAGAGCGTCAACTCCCCTTTTCATCACCCCGCCCCATTCTCCCGCTTTTCATCATCCCGCCCCATTCTCCCATTTTCCATCACCCCGCCCCATTCTCCCGCTTTCCATCACCCAGCCCCATTCTCCCTCCTTTCATCACCCCGCCCCATTCTCCCGCTTTCCATCAGCCCACCCCATTCACCCGCTTTCCATCACACCGCCCCATTCTCCCGCTTTCCATCACCCCGCCCCATTCTCCAGCTTTCCATCACCCCGCCCCATTCTCCCATCACCCCGCCCCATTCTCCCGCTTTCCATCACCACGCCCCATTCTCCCGCTTTCCATCACCCCGCCCCATTCTCCCGCTTTCCATCACTCCGCCCCATTCTCCCGCTTTCCATCACCCCGCCCCATTCTCCTGCTTTCCATCACCCCGCCCCATTCTTCTCCTTCCATCACCCCGCCTCATTCTACCTCCTTCCATCACCCCGCCCCATTCTCCTGCTTTCCATCACCCCGCCCCATTCTCCCGCTTTCCATCACCCCGCCCCATTCTCCCGCTTTCCATCACCACGCCCCATTCTCCCGCTTTCCATCACCCCGCCCCATTCTCCCGCTTTTCATCACCCCGCTCCATTCTCCCGCTTTCCATCACCCCGCCCCATTCTCCCGCTTTCCATCACCCCGTCCCATTCTTTCTCCTTCCATCACCCCGCCCCATTCTCCCGCTTTCCATCACCCTGCCCCATGCTCCCGCTTTCCATCACCCCGCCCCATTCTCCCATCACCCCGCCCCATTCTCCTGCTTTCCATCACCACGCCCCATTCTCCCGCTTTCCATCACCCCGCCCCATTCTCCCGCTTTCCATCACTCCGCCCCATTCTCCCGCTTTCCATCACCCCGCCCCATTCTCCTGCTTTCCATCACCCCACCCCATTCTTCTCCTTCCATCACCCCGCCTCATTCTACCTCCTTCCATCACCCTGCCCCATTCTCCTGCTTTCCATCACCCCGCCCCATTCTCCCGCTTTCCATCACCCCGCCCCATTCTCCCGCTTTCCATCACCACGCCCCATTCTCCCGCTTTCCATCACCCCGCCCCATTCTCCCGCTTTTTATCACCCCGCTCCATTCTCCCGCTTTCCATCACCCCGCCCCATTCTCCCGCTTTCCATCACCCCGCCCCATTCTCCCTCCTTCCATCATCCCGCCCCATTCTCCCGCTTTCCATCACCCTGCCCCATGCTCCCGCTTTCCATCACCCCGCCCCATTCTCCCATCACCCCGCCCCATTCTCTCGCTTTCCATCACCACGCCCCATTCTCCCGCTTTCCATCACCCCGCCCCATTCTCCCGCTTTCCATCACTCCGCCGCATTCTCCCGCTTTCCATCACCCCGCCCCATTCTCCCGCTTTCCATCACCCCGCCCCATTCTTCTCCTTCCATCACCACGCCTCATTCTACCGCCTTCCATCACCCCGCCCCATTCTCCCGCTTTCCATCACCCCGCCCCATTCTCCCGCTTTCCATCACCCTGCCCCATTCTCCCGCTTTCCATCACCACGCCCCATTCTCCCGCTTTCCATCACCCCGCCCCATTCTCCCTCCTTCCATCACCCTGCCCCATTCTCCCGCTTTTCGTCACCCCGCCCCATTCTCCCGCTTTCCATCACCTCGCCCCATTCTTCTGCTTTCCATCAACCCGCCCCATTCTCCCGCTTTCAATCACCCCGCCCCATTCACCCGCATTCCATAACCCGCCCCATTCTCCCGCTTTCCATCACCCCGCCCCGTTCTCCCGCTTTCCATCACCCCGCCCCATCCTCCCGCTTTTCATCACCCCGCCCCATTCTCCCGCTTTCCAACACCCCGCCCTGTTCTCCCGCTTTCCATCACCCCGCCCCATTCTCCCGCTTTCCATCACCCCGCCCCATTCTCCAGCTTTCCATCACTCCGCCCCATTCTCCCGCTTTCCATCATCCCGCCCCATCCTCCCACTTTCCATCAACCCGCCCCATTCTCCCTCCTGCCATCACCCCGCCTCATTCTCCCTCCTTCCATCACCCCGCCCCATTCTCCCGCTTTCCATCACCCCGCCCCATTCTCCTGCTTTCCATCACCCAGCCCCATTCTCGCGCTTTCCATCACCCCGCCCCATTTTCCCGCTTTCCATCACCCCGCCCCATTCTCCCGCTTTCCATCACCCTGCCCGAATCTCCTTCTTTCCATCACCCCGCCCCATTCTCCCTCCTTCCATCACCCCGCCCCATTCTCCCGCTTTCCATCACCCCGCCCCATTCTCCTGTTTTCCATAACCCCGCCCCATTCTCCCTCCTTTCATCACCCGCCCCATTCTCCCTCCTTCCATCACCCCGCCCCATTCTCCCTCCTTCCATCACCGCGCCCCATTCTCCAACTTTCCATCGGCCCGCCCCATTCTCCCGCTCTCCATCACCCCGCCCCATTCTCCCGCTTTCTATCACCCCGCCCCATTCTCCCGCTTTCCATCACCCTGCCCCATTCTCCCGCCTTCCATCAGCCCACCCCATTCTCCCGCTTTCCATCACCCCGCCCCATTCTCCCGCTTTCCATCACCCTGCCCCATTCTCCCTCCTTCCATCACCCCGCCTCATTCTACCTCCTTCCATCACCCCGCCCCATTCTCCTGCTTTCGATCACCTCGCCCCATTCTCCCGCTTTCCATCACCCCGCCCCATTCTTCTTCTTTCCATCACCCCGCCCCATTCTCCCGCTTTCCATCACCCCGCCCCATTCACCCGCTTTCCATCACCCGCCCCATTCTCCCGCTTTCCATCACCCCACCCCATTCTCCCGCTTTCCATCACCCCGCCCCATTCTCCCGCTTTTCATCACCCCGCCCCATTCTCCCGCTTTCCAACACCCCGCCCCATTCTCCCGCTTTCCATCACCGCGCCCCATTCTCCCGCTTTCCATCACCCCGCCCCATTCTCCCGCTTTCCATCACTCCGCCCCATTCTCCCGCTTTCCATCACCCCGCCCCATTCTCCCGCTTTCCATCACCCCGCCCCATTCTCCCGATTTCCATCACCCCGCCCCATTCACCCGCTTTCCATCACCCCGCCCCATTCTCCCGCTTTCCATCACCCTGCCCCATTCTCCCGCTTTCCATCACCCTGCCTCATTCTCCCGCTTCCCATCATCCCGCGCAATTCCCCCGCTTTCCATCACCTCTCCCTCCTTCCATCACCCCGCCCCATTCTCCCGCTTTCTATCACCCGTCCCCATTCTCCCTCCTTCCATCACCCCGCCCCATTCTCCCGCTTTCCATCACCACGCCCCAGTCTCTCGCTTTCCATCACCTCGCCCCATTCTCCCGCTTTTTATCACCCCGCCCCATTCTCCTGCTTTCCATCACCCTGCCCGATTCTCCCTCCTTCCATCACCCCACACCATTCTCCCGCTTTCCATCACCCCGCCCCATTCTCCTGCTTTCCATCACCCCTCCCCATTCTCCCGCTTTCCATCACCCCGCCCCATTCTCCCGCTTTCCATCACCCTGCCCCATTCTCCCGCTTTCCCTCGCCCTGCCTCATTCTCCAGCTTTCCATCACCGCGCCCCATTCTCCCGCTTCCCATCAACCCGCCCCATTCTCCCGCTTTCTATCACCCGTCCCCATTCTCCCTCCTTCCATCACCCCGCCCCATTCTCCCGCTTTCCATCACCCCGCCCCATTCTCCCGCTTTCCATCACCTCGCCCCATTCTCCCGCTTTTTATCACCCCGCCCCATTCTCCAGCTTTCCATCGCCCCGCCCCATTCTCCCTCTTTCCATTACCCCGCCTCATTCTCCTGCTTTCCATCACCCCGCACCATTCTCCCCCTTTCCATCACCCCGCCCCATTCTCCCGCTTTCTATCACCCCACCCCATTCTCCCGCTTTCCATCACCCCGCCCCATTCTCCCTCTTTCCATCACCTCGCCCCATTCTCCCGCCTTTCATCACCCCGCCCTATTCTCCCGCTTTCCATCACCCTGCCCAATTCTCCCACTTTCCATCACCCCGCCCCATTCTCGCCTTCCATCACCCCGCCCCATTCTCCCTCTTTCCATCACCCCGCCCCATTCTCACGCTTTCCATCACCCCGCCCCATTCTCCCTCTTTCCATCACCCTGCCCCATTCTCCCTCTATCCATCACCCCGCCCAATTCTCCAACTTTCCATTCCCCCATCTTATTCTCCCGTTTTCCATCACCCCGCCCCATTCTCTCGCTTTCCATCACCCCGCCTTATTCTCCCGCTTTCCATCACCCCGACCCATTCTCCCAATTTCCATCACCCCGCCCCATTCTCCCGCTTTCCATCACCTCGCCCCATTCTCCCGCTTTCCATCACCCCGCCCCATTCTCCCGCTTTCCAACACCTTGCTCCATTCTCTCGCTTTCCATCACCCCGCCTTATTCTCCCGCTTTCCATCACCCCGACCCATTCTCCCAATTTCCATCACCCCGCCCCATTCTCCCGCTTTCCATCACCTCGCCCCATTCTCCCGCTTTCCATCACCCCGCCCCATTCTCCCGCTTTCCAACACCTTGCTCCATTCTCCCGCTTTCCATCACCCCGCCCCATTCTCACTCTTTCCATCACCCCGCCCCATTCTCCCTCTTTCCATCACCCCGCCCCATTCTCCCGCTTTCCATCACCCCGCCCCATTCTCCCGCTTTCCATCACCCCGCCCCATTCTCCCTCTTTCCATCACCTCGCCCCATTCTCCCTCTATCCATCACCCCGCCCCATTCTCCCGTTTTCCATCACCCCGCCCCATTCTCCCTCTTTCCATAACCCCGCACCATTCTCCCGCTTTCCATCACCCCGCCCCATTCTCCCACTTTCCATCACCCCGCCCCGTTCTCCCGCTTTCCATCGCCCAGACCCATTCTCCCGCTTTCCATCACCCCGCCCCATTCTCCCGCTTTCCATCACCCGCCCCATTCTCCCTCCTTCCATCACCCCGCCCCATTCTCCCTCTTTCCATCACCCCGCCCCATTCTACCGCTTTCCATCATCCCGCTCCATTGTCCCGCTTTCCATCACCACGCCCAATTCTCCCTCTATCCATCACCCCTCCCCATTCTCCCTTTTTCCATAACCCCGCCCCATTCTCCCGCTTTCCATCACCCCGCCCCATTCTACCGCTTTCCATCACCCCGCCCCATTCTCCCTCTTTCCATCACCCCGCCCCATTCTCCCTCTTTCCATCACCCCGCCCCATTCTCCCTCTATCCATCACCCCGCCCAATTCTCCCACTTTCCATCACCCCGTCCCATTCTCCCGTTTTCCATCACCCCGCCCTATTCTCTCGCTTTCCATCACCCCGCCTTATTCTCCCGCTTTCCATCACCCCGCCCCATTCTCCCGATTTCCATCACCCCGCCCCATTCTCCCGCTTTCCATCACCTCGCGCCATTCTCCCGCTTTCCATCACCCCGCCCCATTCTCCTGCTTTCCAACACCTCGCCCCATTCTCCCGCTTTCCATCACCCCCCCCCATTCTCACTCGTTCCATCACCCCGCCCCATTCTCCCTCTTTCCATCACCCCGCCCCATTCTCCCGCTTTCCATCACCCCGCCCCATTCTCCCTCTTTCAATAACCCCGCCCCATTCTCCCGCTTTCCATCACCCCGTCCCATTCTCCCTCTTTCCATCACCCCGCCCCGTTCTCTCGCTTTCCATCACCCCGCCCCATTCTCCCGCTTTCCATCACCCCGCCCCATTCTCCCGCTTTCCATCACCCCGCCCCATTCTCCCTCTTTCCATCACCCCGCCCCAATCCTCCACTTTCCATCACCCCGCGCCATTCTACCGCTTTCCAACATCCCGCTCCATTGTCCTGCTTTCCATCACCCCGTCCCATTATCCCTCTTTCCATCAACCCGCCCCATTCTCCCGCTTTCCATCACCCCGCCCCATTCTTCCTCTTCCATCACCCCGCCCCATTTTCCTCTTTCCATCACCCCGCCCCATTCTCCCGATTTCCGTCACCCCGCCCCATTCTCCCTCTTTCCATCACCCCGCCCCATTCTCCCTCTTTCCATAACCCCGCCCCATTCTCCCGATTTCCATCCACCCGCCCCATTCTCACGCTTTCCATCACCCCGCCCCATTCTCCCTCTTTCCATCACCCGCCCCATTCTCCCGCTTCCCATCACCCCGCCCCATTCTCCCTCTATCCATCACCCCGCCCAATTCTCCCACTTTCCATCACCCCGTCCCATTCTCCCGTTTTCCATCACCCCGCCCCATTCTCTCGCTTTCCATCACCCCGCCTTATTCTCCCGCTTTCCATCACCCCGCCCCATTCTCCCGATTTCCATCACCCCGCCCCATTCTCCCGCTTTTTATCACCTCGCGCCATTCTTCCGCTTTCCATCAACCCGCCCCATTCTCCCGCTTTCCAACACCTCGCCCCATTCTCACGCTTTCCATCACCCCCCCCCATTCTCACTCTTTCCATCACCCCGCCCCATTCTCCCTCTTCCCATCACCCCGCCCCATTCTCCCGATTTCCGTCACCCCGCCCCATTCTCCCTCTTTCCATCACCCCGCCCCATTCTCCCTCTTTCCATAACCCCGCACCATTCTCCCGATTTCCATCACCCTGCCCCATTCTCACGCTTTCCATCACCCCGCCCCATTCTCCCTCTTTCCATCACCCGCCCCATTCTCCCGCTTCCCATCACCCCGCCCCATTCTCCCTCTATCCATCACCCCGTCCAATTCTCCCACTTTCCATCACCCCGTCCCATTCTCCCGTTTTCCATCACCCCGCCCCATTCTCTCGCTTTCCATCACCCCGCCTTATTCTCCCGCTTTCCATCACCCCGCCCCATTCTCCCGATTTCCATCACCTCGCCCCATTCTCCCGCTTTCCATCACCCCGCCCCATTCTCCCGCTTTCCAACACCTCGCCCCATTCTCCCGCTTTCCATCACCCCCCCCCATTCTCACTCTTTCCATCACCCCGCCCCATTCTCCCTCTTTCCATCACCCCGCCCCATTCTCCCTCTTTCCATCACCCCGCCCCATTCTCCCGCTTTCCATCACCCCGTCCCATTCTCCCTCTTTCAATAACCCCGCCCCATTCTCCCGCTTTCCATCACCCCGTCGCATTCTCCCTCTTTCCATCACCCCGCCCCGTTCTCTCGCTTTCCATCACCCCGCCCCATTCTCCCGCTTTCCATCACCCCGCCCCATTCTCCCGCTTTCCATCACCCCGCCCCATTCTCCCTCTTTCCATCACCCCGCCCCAATCTCCCACTTTCCATCACCCCGCGCCATTCTACCGCTTTCCAACATCCCGCTCCATTGTCCTGCTTTCCATCACCCCGTCCCATTATCCCTCTTTCCATCAACCCGCCCCATTCTCCCGCTTTCCATCACCCCGCCACATTCTTCCTCTTCCATCACCCCGCCCCATTTTCCTCTTTCCATCACCCCGCCCCATTCTCCTGATTTCCGTCACCCCGCCCCATTCTCCCTCTTTCCATCACCCCGCCCCATTCTCCCTCTTTCCATAACCCCGCCCCATTCTCCCGATTTCCATCCACCCGCCCCATTCTCACGCTTTCCATCACCCCGCCCCATTCTCCCTCTTTCCATCACCCGCCCCATTCTCCCGCTTCCCATCACCCCGCCCCATTCTCCCGCTTTCCATCACCCTGCCCAATTCTCCCACTTTCCATCACCCCGCCCCATTCTCGCCTTCCATCACCCCGCCCCATTCTCCCTCTTTCCATCACCCCGCCCCATTCTCACGCTTTCCATCACCCCGCCCCATTCTCCCTCTTTCCATCACCCTGCCCCATTCTCCCTCTATCCATCACCCTGCCCAATTCTCCAACTTTCCATTCCCCCATCTTATTCTCCCGTTTTCCATCACCCCGCCCCATTCTCTCGCTTTCCATCACCCCGCCTTATTCTCCCGCTTTCCATCACCCCGACCCATTCTCCCAATTTCCATCACCCCGCCCCATTCTCCCGCTTTCCATCACCTCGCCCCATTCTCCCGCTTTCCATCACCCCGCCCCATTCTCCCGCTTTCCAACACCTTGCTCCATTCTCCCGCTTTCCATCACCCCGCCCCATTCTCACTCTTTCCATCACCCCGCCCCATTCTCCCTCTTTCCATCACCCCGCCCCATTCTCCCGCTTTCCATCACCCCGCCCTATTCTCCCGCTTTCCATCACCCCGCCCCATTCTCCCTCTTTCCATCACCTCGCCCCATTCTCCCTCTATCCATCACCCCGCCCCATTCTCCCGTTTTCCATCACCCCGCCCCATTCTCCCTCTTTCCATAACCCCGCACCATTCTCCCGCTTTCCATCACCCCGCCCCATTCTCCCACTTTCCATCACCCCGCCCCGTTCTCCCGCTTTCCATCGCCCAGACCCATTCTCCCGCTTTCCATCACCCCGCCCCATTCTCCCGCTTTCCATCACCCGCCCCATTCTCCCTCCTTCCATCACCCCGCCCCATTCTCCCTCTTTCCATCACCCCGCCCCATTCTACCGCTTTCCATCATCCCGCTCCATTGTCCCGCTTTCCATCACCACGCCCAATTCTCCCTCTATCCATCACCCCTCCCCATTCTCCCTTTTTCCATAACCCCGCCCCATGCTCCCGCTTTCCATCACCCCGCCCCATTCTACCGCTTTCCATCACCCCGCCCCATTCTCCCTCTTTCCATCACCCCGCCCCATTCTCCCTCTTTCCATCACCCCGCCCAATTCTCCCACTTTCCATCACCCCGTCCCATTCTCCCGTTTTCCATCACCCCGCCCTATTCTCTCGCTTTCCATCACCCCGCCTTATTCTCCCGCTTTCCATCACCCCGCCCCATTCTCCCGATTTCCATCACCCCGCCCCATTCTCCCGCTTTCCATCACCTCGCGCCATTCTCCCGCTTTCCATCACCCCGCCCCATTCTCCTGCTTTCCAACACCTCGCCCCATTCTCCCGCTTTCCATCACCCCCCCCCATTCTCACTCGTTCCATCACCCCGCCCCATTCTCCCTCTTTCCATCACCCCGCCCCATTCTCCCGCTTTCCATCACCCCGCCCCATTCTCCCTCTTTCCATAACCTCGCCCCATTCTCCCGCTTTCCATCACCCCGCCCCATTCTCCCTCTTTCCATCACCCCACCCCATTCTCCCTCTTTCCATCACCCCGCCCCATTCTCCCGCTTTCCATCACCCCGTCCCATTCTCCCTCTTTCAATAACCCCGCCCCATTCTCCCGCTTTCCATCACCCCGTCCCATTCTCCCACTTTCCATCACCCCGCCCTGTTCTCTCGCTTTCCATCACCCCGCCCCATTCTCCCGCTTTCCATCACCCCGCCCCATTCTCCCGCTTTCCATCACCCCGCCCCATTCTCCCTCTTTCCATCACCCCGCCCCAATCTCCCACTTTCCATCACCCCGCCCCATTCTCCCTCTTTCCATAACCCCGCACCATTCTCCCGATTTCCATCACCCTGCCCCATTCTCACGCTTTCCATCACCCCGCCCCATTCTCCCTCTTTCCATCACCCGCCCCATTCTCCCGCTTCCCATCACCCCGCCCCATTCTCCCTCTATCCATCACCCCGTCCAATTCTCCCACTTTCCATCACCCCGTCCCATTCTCCCGTTTTCCATCACCCCGCCCCATTCTCTCGCTTTCCATCACCCCGCCTTATTCTCCCGCTTTCCATCACCCCGCCCCATTCTCCCGATTTCCATCACCCCGCCCCATTCTCCCGCTTTCCATCACCCCGCCCCATTCTCCCTCTTTCCATCACCCCGCCCCAATCTCCCACTTTCCATCACCCCGCGCCATTCTACCGCTTTCCAACATCCCGCTCTATTGTCCTGCTTTCCATCACCCCGTCCCATTATCCCTCTTTCCATCAACCCGCCCCATTCTCCCGCTTTCCATCACCCCGCCCCATTCTTCCTCTTCCATCACCCCGCCCCATTTTCCTCTTTCCATCACCCCGCCCCATTCTCCCGATTTCCGTCACCCCGCCCCATTCTCCCTCTTTCCATCACCCCGCCCCATTCTCCCTCTTTCCATAACCCCGCCCCATTCTCCCGATTTCCATCCACCCGCCCCATTCTCACGCTTTCCATCACCCCGCCCCATTCTCCCTCTTTCCATCACCCGCCCCATTCTCCCGCTTCCCATCACCCCGCCCCATTCTCCCTCTATCCATCACCCCGCCCAATTATCCCACTTTCCATCACCCCGTCCCATTCTCCCGTTTTCCATCACCCCGCCCCATTCTCTCGCTTTCCATCACCCCGCCTTATTCTCCCGCTTTCCATCACCCCGCCCCATTCTCCCGATTTCCATCACCCCGCCCCATTCTCCCGCTTTTTATCACCTCGCGCCATTCTTCCGCTTTCCATCAACCCGCCCCATTCTCCCGCTTTCCAACACCTCGCCCCATTCTCACGCTTTCCATCACCCCCCCCCATTCTCACTCTTTCCATCACCCCGCCCCATTCTCCCTCTTCCCATCACCCCGCCCCATTCTCCCGATTTCCGTCACCCCGCCCCATTCTCCCTCTTTCCATCACCCCGCCCCATTCTCCCTCTTTCCATAACCCCGCACCATTCTCCCGATTTCCATCACCCTGCCCCATTCTCACGCTTTCCATCACCCCGCCCCATTCTCCCTCTTTCCATCACCCGCCCCATTCTCCCGCTTCCCATCACCCCGCCCCATTCTCCCTCTATCCATCACCCCGTCCAATTCTCCCACTTTCCATCACCCCGTCCCATTCTCCCGTTTTCCATCACCCCGCCCCATTCTCTCGCTTTCCATCACCCCGCCTTATTCTCCCGCTTTCCATCACCCCGCCCCATTCTCCCGATTTCCATCACCCCGCCCCATTCTCCCGCTTTCCATCACCTCGCGCCATTCTCCCGCTTTCCATCACCCCGCCCCATTCTCCCGCTTTCCAACACCTCGCCCCATTCTCCCGCTTTCCATCACCCCCCCCCATTCTCACTCTTTCCATCACCCCGCCCCATTCTCCCTCTTTCCATCACCCCGCCCCATTCTCCCGCTTTCCATCACCCCGCCCCATTCTCCCTCTTTCCATAACCTCGCCCCATTCTCCCGCTTTCCATCACCCCGCCCCATTCTCCCTCTTTCCATCACCCCGCCCCATTCTCCCTCTTTCCATAACCCCGCCCCATTCTCCCGCTTTCCATCACCCCGTCCCATTCTCTCTCTTTCCATCACCCCGCCCCGTTCTCCCGCTTTCCATCACCCCGCCCCATTCTCCCGCAATCCATCACCCCGCCCCATTCTACCGCTTTCCATCATCCCGCTCCATTGTCCCGCTTTCCATCACCCCGTCCCATTATCCCTCTTTCCATCACCCGGCCCCATTCTCCCACTTTCCATCACCCCGCCCCATTCTTCCTCTTTCCATCTCCCCGCCCCATTCTCCCTCTTTCCATCACCCCGCCCTATTCTCCCTCTTTCCATCACCCCGCCCCATTCTCCTTCTTTCCATCACCCCGCCCCATTCTCCCGATTTCGTCACCCCGCCCCATTCTTCCTCTTTCCATCACCCCGGCCCATTCTTCCTCTTTCCATCTCCCTGCCCCGTTCTCCCTCTTTCCATCACCCCGCCCCATTCTCCCTCTTTCCATCACCCCGCCCCATTCTCCCGATTTCCGTCACCCCGCCCCATTCTCCCTCTTTCCATCACCCCGCCCCAATCTCCCACTTTCCATCACCCCGCGCCATTCTACCGCTTTCCAACATCCCGCTCCATTGTCCTGCTTTCCATCACCCCGTCCCATTATCCCTCTTTCCATCAACCCGCCCCATTCTCCCGCTTTCCATCACCCCGCCCCATTCTTCCTCTTCCATCACCCCGCCCCATTCTCCCTCTTTCCATCACCCCGCCCGATTCTCCCGATTTCCGTCACCCCGCCCCATTCTCCCTCTTTCCATCACCCCGCCCCATTCTCCCTCTTTCCATAACCCCGCCCCATTCTCCCGATTTCCATCCACCCGCCCCATTCTCACGCTTTCCATCACCCCGCCCCATTCTCCCTCTTTCCATCACCCGCCCCATTCTCCCGCTTCCCATCACCCCGCCCCATTCTCCCTCTATCCATCACCCCGTCCAATTCTCCCACTTTCCATCACCCCGTCCCATTCTCCCGTTTTCCATCACCCCGCCCCATTCTCTCGCTTTCCATCACCCCGCCTTATTCTCCCGCTTTCCATCACCCCGCCCCATTCTCCCGATTTCCATCACCCCGCCCCATTCTCCCGCTTTCCATCACCTCGCGCCATTCTCCCGCTTTCCATCACCCCGCCCCATTCTCCCGCTTTCCAACACCTCGCCCCATTCTCCCGCTTTCCATCACCCCCCCCCATTCTCACTCTTTCCATCACCCCGCCCCATTCTCCCTCTTTCCATCACCCCGCCCCATTCTCCCGCTTTCCATCACCCCGCCCCATTCTCCCTTTTTCCATAACCTCGCCCCATTCTTCCGCTTTCCATCACCCCGCCCCATTCTCCCTCTTTCCATCACCCCGCCCTATTCTCCCTCTTTCCATAACCCCGCCCCATTTTCCCGCTTTCCATCACCCCGTCCCATTCTCCCTCTTTCCATCACCCCGCCCCGTTCTCCCGCTTTCCATCACCCCGCCCCATTCTCCCGCAATCCATCACCCCACCCCATTCTACCGCTTTCCATCATCCCGCTCCATTGTCCCGCTTTCCATCACCCCGTCCCATTATCCCTCTTTCCATCACCCGGCCCCATTCTCCCACTTTCCATCACCCCGCCCCATTCTTCCTCTTTCCATCTCCCCGCCCCATTCTCCCTCTTTCCATCACCCCGCCCTATTCTCCCTCTTTCCATCACCCCGCCCCATTCTCCTTCTTTCCATCACCCCGCCCCATTCTCCCGATTTCGTCACCCCGCCCCATTCTTCCTCTTTCCATCACCCCGGCCCATTCTTCCTCTTTCCATCTCCCTGCCCCGTTCTCCCTCTTTCCATCACCCCGCCCCATTCTCCCTCTTTCCATCACCCCGCACCATTCTCCCGATTTCCGTCACCCCGCCCCATTCTCCCTCTTTCCATCACCCCGCCCCATTCTCCCTCTTTCCATCACCCCGACCCATTCTCCCGCTTTCCATCACCCCGCCCCATTCTCCCTCTTTCCATCACCCCACCCCATTCTCCCACTTTCCATCACCCCGCCCCATTCTCCCGCTTTCCATCACCCCGCCCCATTCTACCGCTTTCCATCACCCCGTCCCATTATCACTCTTTCCATCACCCCGCCCCATTCTCTTGCTTTTCATCACCCCGCCCCTTTCTTCCTCTTTCCATCTCCCCGCCCCATTCTCCCTCTTTCCATCACCCCGCCCCATTCTCCCTCTTTCCATCACCCCGCCCCATTCTCCCTCTTTTCATCACCCCGCCCCATTCTCCCGATTTCCGTCACCCCGCCCCATTCTCCCTCTTTCCATAACCCCGCCCCATTCTCCCGATTTCCATCACCCCGCCCCATTCTCACGCTTTCCATCACCCCGCCCCATTCTCCCTCTTTCCATCACCCCGCCCCATTCTCCCGCTTTCCATCACCCTGCCCCATTCTCCCTCTTTCCATAACCTCGCCCCTTTCTCCCGCTTTCCATCACCCCGCCCCATTCTCCCTCTTTCCATCACCCCTCCCCATTCTCCTGCTTTCCATCACCCCGCCCCATTCTCCCTCTTTCCATAACCCCGCCCCATTCTCCCGCTTTCCATCACCCCGTCCCATTCTCCCTCTTTCCATCACCCCACCCCGTTCTCCCGCTTTCCATCACCCCGCCCCATTCTCCCGCTTTCCATCACCCCGCCCCATTCTCCTGCTTTCCATCACCCCGCCCCATTCTCCCGCTTTCCATCACCCCGCCCCATTCTCCCGCTTTCCATCACCCCGTCCCATTATCCCTCTTTCCATCACCCCGCCCCATTCTCCTGCTTTCGATCACCCCGCCCCATTCTTCCTCTTTCCATCTCCCCGCCCCATTCTTCCTCTTTCCATCACCCCCCCCCATTCTAACTCTTTCCATCACCCCGCCCCATTCTCCCGCTTTCCATCACCCCGCCCAATTCTCCCTCTTTCCATCACCCCTCCCCATTCTCCCTTTTTCCATAACCCCGCCCCATTCTCCCGCTTTCCATCACCCCGCCCCATTCTCCCGCTTTCCATCACCCCGCCCCATTCTACCTCTTTCCATCACCCTGCCCCATTCTCCCTCTTTCCATCAACCCGCCCCATTCTCCCGCTTTCCATCACCCCGCCCCATTCTCCCTCTTTCCATAACCCTGCCCTATTCTCCCGCTTTCCATCACCCCGCCCCATTCTCCCCCTTTCCATCACCCTGCCCCATTCTCCCGCTTTCTATCACCCCGCCCCATTCTCCTGCTTTCCATCACCCCGCCCCATTCTCCCGCTTTCCATCACCCCGCCCCATTCCCCCACTTTCCATCACCCCGCCCCATTCTCCCGCTTTCCATCACCCCGTCCCATTCTCCCTCTTTCCATCACCCCGCCCCATTCTCCCACTTTCCATCACCCCGCCCCATTCTTCCTCTTTCCATCTCCCCGCCCCATTCTCCCTCTTTCCATCACCCCGCCCCATTCTCCCTCTTTCGATCACCCCGTCCCATTCTCCCTCTTTCCATCACCCCTCCCCATTCTCCCGATTTCCGTCACCCCGCCCCATTCTTCCTCTTTCCATCACCCCGCCCTATTCTTCCTCTTTCCATCTCCCCGCCCCATTCTCCCTCTTTCCATCACCCCGCCCCATTTGTCCCTCTTTCCATCACCCCGCCCCATTCTCCCTCTTTCCATCACCCCGCTCCATTCTCCCGATTTCCGTCACCCCGCCCCATTCTCCCTCTTTCGATCACCCCACCCCATTCTCCCGATTTCCGTCATCCTGCCCCATTCTCCCTCTTTCCATCACCCCGCCCCATTCTCCCTCTTTCCATCACCCCGACACATTCTCCCGCTTTCCATCACCCCGCCCCATTCTCCCGCTTTCCATCACCCCGCCCCATTCTTCCTCTTTCCATCTCCCCGCCCCATTCTCCCTCTTTCCATCACCCCGCCCCATTCTCCCTCTTTCCATCACCCCGATCCATTCTCCCTCTTTCCATCACCCCACCCCATTCTCCCGATTTCCGTCACCCCGCCCCATTCTCCCTCTTTCCATCACCCCGCCCCATTCTCCCTCTTCCCATCACCCCGACCCATTCTCCCGCTTTCCATCACCTCGCCCCATTCTCCCTCTTTTTATCACCCCGCCCCATTCTCCCACCTTCCATCACCCCGCCCCATTCTCCCTTTTTCCATCACCCCGCCCCATTCTCACGCTTTCCATCACCCCGCCCCATTCTCCCTCTTTCCATCACCCCGCCCCATTCTCCCGCTTTCCATCACCCCGCCCCATTCTCCCTCTATCCATCACCCCGCCCAATTCTCCCACTTTCCATCACCCCGTCCCATTCTCCCGTTTTCAATCACCCCACCCCATTCTCTTGCTTTCCATCACACCGCCTGATTCTCCCGCTTTCCATCATCCCACCCCATTCTCCCGATTTCCATCACCCCGCCCCATTCTCCCGCTTTCCATCACCCCGCCCCATTCTCCCGCTTTCCAGTACCCTGCCCCATTCTCCCGCTTTCCATCACCCCGCCCCATTCTCACTCTTTCCATCACCCCGCCCCATTCTCCCTCTTTCGATCACCCCGCCCCATTCTTCCGCTTTCCATCACCCCGCCCCATTCTCCCTCTTTCCATAACCCCGCCCCATACTCCCGCTTTCCATCACCCCGCCCCATTCTCCCTCTTTCCATAACCCCGCCCCATTCTCCCGCTTTCCATCACCCCGCCCCAATCTCCCTCATTCCATAACCCCACCCCATTCTCCCGCTTTCCATCACCCCGCCCCATTCTCCCGCTTTCCATCACCCCGCCCCATTCTCCCGCTTTCCATCACCCCGCCCCAATCTCCCTCATTCCATAACCCCGCCCCATTCTCCCGCTTTCCATCACCCCGCCCCCTTCTCTCTCCTTCCATCACCCCGCCCCATTCTCCCTCCTTCCATCACCCTGCCCCATTCTCCCGCTTTCCATCAGCTCGCCCCATTCTCCCGCTTTCCATCACCCCTCCCCTTTCTCCCGCTTTCCATCTCCCCGCCCCATTCTCCCGCTTTCCATCACCCCGCCCCATTCTCCCGCTTTCCATCACCCCGCCCCATTCTTCCGCTTTCCATCATCCCGCCCCATTCCCCCGCTTTCCATCACCCCTCCCCATTCTCCCTCCTTCTATCACCCCGCCCCATTCTCTCACTTTCCATCACCCCGCCCCATTCTCCCGCTTTCCATCACCCCGACCCATTCTCCCGCTTTCCATCACCCCGCCCCATTCTCCCTCCTTCCATCACCCCGCCCCATTTTCCCGCTTTCCATCACCCCGCCCCCTTCTCTCTCCTTCCATCACCCCGCCCCATTCTCCCTCCTTCCATCACCCCGCCCCATTCTCCCGCTTTCCATCAGCCCGCCCCATTCTCCCGCTTTCCATCACCCCACCCCTTTCTCCCGCTTTCCATCTCCCCGCCCCATTCTCCCCCTTTCCATCAGACCGCCCCATTCTCCCGCTTTCCATCACCCCTCCCCATTCTCCCTCCTTCCATCACCCCGCCCCTTTCTCCCACTTTCCATCTCCCGCCCCATTCTCCCGCTTTCCATCACCCGCCTCATTCTCCCGCTTTCCATCACCTCGCCCCATTCTCCCGCTTTCCATCACCCCGCCCCATTCTTCTGCTTTCCATCACCCCGCCCCATTCTCCCGCTTTCAATCACCCTGCCCCATTCACCCGCTTTCCATCACCCGCCCCATTCTCCCGCTTTCCATCACACCGCCCCATTCTCCCGCTTTCCATCACCCCGCCCCATTCTCCCGCTTTTCATCACCCCGCCCCATTCTCCCGCTTTCCAACACCCCGGCCCATTCTCTCGCTTTCCATCACCCCGCCCCCTTCTTCCTCCTTCCATCACCCCGCCCCATTCTCCCTCCTTCCTTCACCCCGCCCCATTCTCCCGCTTTCCATCACCCCGCGCCATTCTTCCGCTTTCCATCACCCCGCCCCATTCTCCCTCCTTCCATCACCCCGCCTCATTCTCCCATCTTCCATCACCCCGCCCCTTTCTCCTGCTTCCCATCAGCGCGCCCCATTCTCCCGCTTCCCATCACCCCGCCCCATTCTCCCGCTTTCCATCACCCCGCCCCATTCTCCCGCATTCCATCACCCTACCCCATTCTCTTGCTTTCCATAACCCCGCCCCATTCTCCCACTTTCCATCACCCCGCCCCATTCTCCCGCTTTTCCATCACCCCGCCCCATTCTCCCTCCTTCCATCACCCCGCCCCATTCTCCCGCTTTCAATCACCCCGCCCCATTCTCCCGCTTTCCATCACCCCGCCCCCTTGTCCCTCCTTCCATCACCCCGCCCCCTTCTCCCTCCTTCCATCACCCCGCCCCATTCTACCGCTTTCCATCAGCCCGCCCCATTCTCCCGCTTTCTATCACCCCGCCCCTTTCTCCCGCTTTCCATCTCCGTGCCCCATTCTCCCGCTTTCCATCACCCCGCCCCATTCTCCCGCTTTCCATCACCCCGCCCCATTCTCCCGCTTCCCATCATCCCGCCCCATTCTCCCGCTTTCTATCACCCCGCCCCATTCTCCCTCCTTCCATCAGCACGCCCCATTCTCCCGCTTTCCATCACCCCGCCCCATTCTCCCGCTTTCCACCACCCCGCCCCCTTCTCCCTCCTTCCATCACCCCGCCCCATTCTCCCGCTTTCCATCACCCCGCCCCATTCTCCCGCTTTCCATCACCCCGCCCCATTCTTCCGCTTCCCATCATCCCGGCCCATTCCCCCGCTTTCCATCACCCCTCCCCATTCTGCCTCCTTCTATCACCCCGCCCCATTCTCTCACTTTCCATCACCCCGCCCCATTCTCCCGCTTTCCATCACCCGGACCCATTCTCCCGCTTTCCATCACCCCGCCCCATTCTCCCTCCTTCCATCACCCCGCCCCATTCTCCCGCTTTCCATCACCCCGCCCCATTCTCCCTCCTTCCATCACCCCGCCCCATTCTCCCTCATTCCATCACCCCGCTCCATTCTCCCGCTTTCCATCACCCCGCGCCATTCTCCTGCTTCCCATAACCCCACCCCATTCTCCCGCTTTCCATCACCCCGCCACATTTTCCCACTTTCCATCACCCCGCCCCCTTCTCTCTCCTTCCATCACCCTGCCCCATTCTCCCTCCTTCCATCACCCCGCCCCATTCTCCCGCTTTCCATCACCCCGCCCCATTCTCCCTCCTTCCATCAGCCCGCCCCATTCTCCCGCTTTCCATCACCCCACCCCTTTCTCCCGCTTTCCATCTCCCCGCCCCATTCTCCCGCTTTCCATCACACCGCCCCATTCTCCCGCTTTCCATCACCCCGCCCCATTCTTCCGCTTCCCATCATCCCGCCCCATTCCCCCGCTTTCCATCACCCCTCCCCATTCTCCCTCCTTCCATCACCCCGCCCCTTTCTCCCACTTTCCATCTCCCGCCCCATTCTCCCGCTTTCCATCACCCGCCCCATTCTCCCGCTTTCCATCACCTCGCCCCATTCTCCCGCTTTCCATCACCCCGCCCCATTCTTCTGCTTTCCATCACCCCGCCCCATTCTCCCGCTTTCCATCACCCTGCCCCATTCACCCGCTTTCCATCACCCGCCCCATTCTCCCGCTTTCCATCACACCGCCCCATTCTCCCGCTTTCCATCACCCCGCCCCATTCTCCCGCTTTTCATCACCCCGCCCCATTCTCCCGCTTTCCAACACCCCGGCCCATTCTCTCGCTTTCCATCACCCCGCCCCCTTCTTCCTCCTTCCATCACCCCGCCCCATTCTCCCTCCTTCCTTCACCCCGCCCCATTCTCCCGCTTTCCATCACCCCGCGCCATTCTTCCGCTTTCTATCACCCCGCCCCCTTCTCCCTCCTTCCATCACCCCGCCCCATTCTCCCTCCTTCCATCACCCCGCCCCGTTCTCCCGCTTTGCATCTGCCCGCCCCATTCTCCCGCTTTCCATCACCCTGCCCCTTTCTCCCGCTTTCCATCTCCCTGCCCCATTCTCCCGCTTTCCATCACCCCGCCCCATTCTCCCGCTTTCCATCACCCCGCCCCATTCTCCCGCTTCCCATCATCCCGCCCCATTCCCCCGCTTTCCATCACCCCTCCCCATTCTCCCTCCTTCCATCACCCCGCCCCATTCTCCCGCTTTCCATTACACGCCCCATTCTCCCGCTTTCCATCACCCCGCCCCATTCTCCTGCTTTCCATCACCCAGCCCCATTCACCCGCTTTCCATCACCCGCCCCATTCTCCCGCTTTCCATCACCCCGCCCCATTCTCCCACTTTCCATCACCCCGCCCCATTCTCCCGCTTTTCATCACCCCGCCCCATTCTCCCGCTTTCCAACACCCCGCCCCATTCTCCCGCTTTCCATCACCCCGCCCCATTCTCCCGCTTTCCATCACCCCGCCCCATTCTCCCTCCTTCCATCATCCCGCCTCATTCTCCCTGCTTCCATCACCCCGCCCCATTCTCCCGCTTTCCATCACCCCGCCCCAATCTCCCTCATTCCATAACCCCGCCCCATTCTCCCGCTTTCCATCACCCCGCCCCCTTCTCTCTCCTTCCATCACCCCGCCCCATTCTCCCTCCTTCCATCACCCTGCCCCATTCTCCCGCTTTCCATCAGCTCGCCCCATTCTCCCGCTTTCCATCACCCCTCCCCTTTCTCCCGCTTTCCATCTCCCCGCCCCATTCTCCCGCTTTCCATCACCCCGCCCCATTCTCCCGCTTTCCATCACCCCGCCCCATTCTTCCGCTTTCCACCATCCCGCCCCATTCCCCCGCTTTCCATCACCCCTCCCCATTCTCCCTCCTTCTATCACCCCGCCCCATTCTCTCACTTTCCATCACCCCGCCCCATTCTCCCGCTTTCCATCACCCCGACCCATTCTCCCGCTTTCCATCACCCCGCCCCATTCTCCCTCCTTCCATCACCCCGCCCCATTTTCCCGCTTTCCATCACCCCGCCCCCTTCTCTCTCCTTCCATCACCCCGCCCCATTCTCCCTCCTTCCATCACCCCGCCCCATTCTCCCGCTTTCCATCAGCCCGCCCCATTCTCCCGCTTTCCATCACCCCACCCCTTTCTCCCTCTTTCCATCACCCCGCCCCTTTCTCCCTCTTTTCATCTCCCCGCCCCATTCTCCCGCTTTCCATCACCCCGCCCCATTCTCCCTCTTTCCATCACCCCGCCCTATTCTCCCTCTTTCCATCACCCCGCCCCATTCTCCCTCTTTCCATCACCCCGCCCCATTCTCCCTCTGTCCATCACCCCGCCCCATTCTCCCGCCTTCCATCACCCAGCCCCATTCTCCCTCTTTACATCACCCCGCCCCATTCTCCCGCTTTCTATCACCCCGCCCCATTCTCCCGCTTTCCATCACCCCGCCCCATTCTCCCTCTTTCCATCACCCCGCCCCATTCTCCCTCTTTCCATCACCCCGCCCCATTCTCCCTCTTTCCATCACCCCGCCCCATTCTCCCTCTTTCCATCACCCCGCCCCATTCTCCCGCCTTCCATCACCCAGCCCGATTCTCCCTCTTTACATCACCCCGCCCCATTCTCCCGCTTTCTATCACCCCGCCCCATTCTCCCGCTTTCCATCACCCCGCCCCATTCTCCCTCTTTCCATCACCGCGCCTCATTTTCCCTCTTTCCATCACCCCGCCCCATTCTCCCGCTTTCCATCACCCCGCCCCATTCTCCCTCTTTCTATCACCCCTCCCCCTTCTCCCGCTTTCCATCACCCCGCCCAATTCTCCCTCTTTCTATCACCCCTCCCCATTTTCCCACTTTCTATCACCCCGCCCCATTCTCCCGCTTTCCATCACCCCGCCCCATTTTCCCTCTTTCCATCACCCCGCCCCATTCTCCCTCTTTCCATCACCCTGCCACATTCTCCCGCTTTCCATCACCCCTCCCCATTTTCCCTCTTTCCATCACCCCGCCCCATTCTCCCGCTTTCCATCACCCCGCCCCATTCTCCCTCTTTCTATCACCCCTCCCCCTTCTCCCGCTTTCCATCACCCCGCCCAATTCCCCTCTTTCTAGCACCCCTCCCCATTCTCCCTCTTTCTATCACCCCGCCCCATTCTCCCGCTTTCCATCACCCCGCCTTATTTTCCCTCTTTCCATCACCGCGCCCCATTCTCCCTCTTTCCCAACACCCCGCCACATTCTCCCGCTTTCCATCACCCCTCCCCATTTTCCCTCTTTCCATCACCCCGCCCCATTATCCCGCTTTCCATCACCCCGCCCTATTCTCCCTCTTTCTATCACCCCTCCCCCTTCTCCCGCTTTCCATCACCCCGCCCAATTTTCCCTCTTTCTATCACCCCGCCCCATTCTCCCGCTTTCCATCACCCCGCCCTATTTTCCCTCTTTCCATCACCCCGCCCCATTCTCCCTCTTTCCATCACCCCGCCACATTCTCCCGCTTTCCATCACCCCTCCCCATTCTCCCTCTTTCCGTCACCCCGCCACATTCTCCCGCTTTCCATCACCCCTCCCCATTCTCCCTCTTTCCGTCACCCCGCCCCATTCTCCCGCTTTCCATCACCCCGCTCTATTCTCCCGCTTTCCATCACCCCGCCCAATTCTCCCTCTTTCCATCACCCCTCCCCATTCTACCTCTTTCCATCACCCCGCCCCCCATTCTCCCTCTTTCCATCACCCCGCCCCATTCTCCCGCTTTCCATCACCCCGCCCCATTCTCCCTCTTTCCATCACCCCGCCTCATTTTCCCTCTTTCCATCACCCCGCCCCATTCTCCCGCTTTCCATCACCCCGCCCCATTCTCCCTCTTTCTATCACCCCTCCCCCTTCTCCCGCTTTCCATCACCCCGCCCAATTCTCCCTCTTTCTATCACCCCTCCCCATTCTCCCTCTTTCTATCACCCCGCCCCATTCTCCCGCTTTCCATCACCCCGCCCCATTTTCCCTCTTTCCATCACCCCGCCCCATTCTCCCTCTTTCCATCACCCCTCCCCATTCTCCCTCTTTCCATCACCCCGCCCCATTCTCCCACTTTCCGTCACCCCGCCCCATTCTCCCGCTTTCCATCACTCCGCTCCATTCTCCCTCTTTCCGTCACCCCGCCCCATTCTCCCGCTTTCCATCACCCCGCCCAATACTCCCTCTTTCCATCACCCCACCCCATTCTCCCGCTTTCCATCACCCTGCTCCTTTCTCCCGCTTTCCATCACCCCGCCCAATTCTCCCTCTTTCCATCACCCCTCCCCATTCTCCCTCTTTCCATAACCCCCCTCAATTCCCCCTCTTTCCATCACCCCGCCCCATTCTCCCGCTTTCCATCACCCCGCCCCCCATTCTCCCTCTTTCCATCACCCCGCCCCATTCTCCCGCTTTCCATCACCCCGCCCCATTCTCCCTCTTTCCGTCACCCCGCCTCATTTTCCCTCTTTCCATCACCCCGCCCCATTCTCCCGCTTTCCATCACCCCGCCCCATTCTCCCTCTTTCTATCACCCCTCCCCCTTCTCCCGCTTTCCATCACCCCGCCCAATTCTCCCTCTTTCTATCACCCCTCCCCATTCTCCCTCTTTCTATCACCCCGCCCCATTCTCCCGCTTTCCATCACCCCGCCCCATTCTCCCTCTTTCCATCACCCCGCCACATTCTCCCGCTTTCCATCACCCCTCCCCATTTTCCCTCTTTCCATCACCCCGCCCCATTCTCCCGCTTTCCATCACCCCGCCCCATTCTCCCTCTTTCTATCACCCCTCCCCCTTCTCTCGCTTTCCATCACCCCGCCCAATTCTCCCTCTTTCTATCACCCCTCCCCATTCTCCCTCTTACTATCACCCCGCCCCATTCTCCCGCTTTCCATCACCCCGCCCCATTTTCCCTCTTTCCATCACCCCGCCCCATTCTCCCTCTTTCCATCACCCCGCCACATTCTCCCGCTTTCCATCACCCCTCCCCATTCTCCCTCTTTCCGTCACCCCGCCCCATTCTCCCGCTTTCCACCACCCCGCTCCATTCTCCCTCTTTCCGTAACCCCGCCCCATTCTCCCGCTTTCCATCACCCCGCCCCATACTCCCTCTTTCCATCACCCTGCCCCATTCTCCCGGTTTCCATCACCCCGCTCCTTTCTCCCGCTTTCCATCACCCCGCCCATTTCTCCCTCTTTCCATTACCCCTCCCCATTCTCCCTCTTTCTATCACCCCGGCCAATTCTCCCTCTTTCCAACACCCCGCCCCATTCTCCCTCTTTCCATCACCCCACCCCATTCTCCCTCTTTCCATCACCCCGCCCCATTCTCCCACTTTCCATCACCCCGCCCCATTTTCCCTCTTTCCATCACCCCGCCCCATTCTCCCGCTTTCCATCACCCCGCCCCATTCTCCCTCTTTCTATCACCCCTCCCCATTCTCCCGCTTTCCATCACCCCGCCCAATTCTCCCTCTTTCTATCAACCCTCCCCATTCTCCCCTTTTCCATCCCCCCGCCCCATTCTCCCGCTTTCCATCACCCCGCCCCATTCTCCCTCTTTCCATCACCCTGCCCCATTCTCCCGCTTTCCTTTACCCCGCCCCATTCTCCCGCTTTCCATCACCCCGCCCCATTCTCCCGCTTTCCATTACCCCGCCCCATTTTCCCTCTTTCCATCACCCCGCCCCATTCTCCCGCTTTCCATCACCCCGCCCCATTCTCCCGCTTTCCATCACCCCGCCCCATTTTCCCTCTTTCCATCACCCCGCCCCACTCTCCCGCTTTCCACCACCCCGCCCCATTCTCCCTCTTTCTATCACCCCTCCCCATTCTCCCGCTTTCCATCACCCCGCCCTATTCTACCTCTTTCTATCACCCCGCCCCATTCTCCCCCTTTCCATCACCCTGCCCCATTCTCCCGATTTCCATCACCCTTCCCCATTCTCCCGCTTTCCATCACCCCGCCCCATTCTCCCTCTTTCCATCAGCCCGCCCCATTCTCCCTTTTTCCATCACCCCGCCCCATTCTCCTGCTTTCCATCACCCCGCCCCATTCTCCCGCTTTCCATCACCCCGCCCCATTCTCCCTCTTTCCATCACCCTGCCCCATTCTCCCTCTATCCATCACCTCGCCCAATTCTCCCGCTTTCCATCACCCCGTCCCATTCTCCCGCTTTCCATCACCACGCCCCATTCTCCCTCTTTCCATCACCCCGCCCCATTCTCCCGCTTTCCATCACCTTGTTCCATTCTCCCGCTTTCCATCACCCTGCCCAATGCTCCCTCTTTCCATCACCCCTCCCCATTCTCCCTCTTTCCATCACCCTGCCCCATTCTCCCCCTTTCCATCACCCCGCCCCTTTCTCCCTCTTTCCATCAGCCCGCCCCATTCTCCCGCTTTCCATCACCCCGCCCCGTTCTCCCTCTTTCCATCACCCCACCCCATTCTCCCTCTTTCCATCACCGTGCCCCATTCTCCCGCTTTCAATCACCCCGCCCCATTCTCCCTCTTTCCATCAGCCCGCCCCATTCTCCCACTTTCCATGACCCCGCCCCATTCTCCCGCTTTCCATCACCCCGCTCCATTCTCCCGCTTTCCATCACCCCGCCCAATTCTCCCTCTTTCCATCACCCCTCCCCATTCTCCCTCTTTCCATCACCCCGCCCAATTCTACCTCTTTCCATCACCCACCCCATTCTCCCGCTTGCCATCACCCCGCCCCATTCTCCCGCTTTCCATCACCCCGCCCCATTCTCCCTCTCTCCATCAACCCGCCCCATTCTCCCGCTTTCCATCACCCCGCCCCATTCTCCCGCTTTCAATCACCCCGCCCCATTCTTCCGCTTTCCATCACCCCGCCCCATTCTCCCTGTTTCCATCAGCCCGCCCCATTCTCCCTCTTTCCATCACCCCGCCCCATTCTCCCGCTTTCCATTACCCCGCACCATTCTCCCGCCTTTTCATCACCCCGCCCCATTCTCCCTCCTTCCATAACCCCGCCCCATCTCCCTCTTTCCATCACCCCGCCCCATTCTCCCTCCTTCCATCACCCCACCCCATTCTCCCGCTTTCCATCACCCCGCCCCATTCTCCCGCTTTCCTTCACCCCGCCCCATTCTCCCGCTTTCCATCACCCCCCCTATTCTCCCTCTTTCCATCAACCTGCCCCATTCTCCCGCTTTCCATCACCCAGCCCCATTCTTCTGCTTTCCATCACCCCGCCCAATTCTCCCGCTTTCCATCACCCCGCCCCATTCTCCCTCTTTCCATCACCCCGCCCAATTCTCCCTCTTTCCATCACCCCTCCTCATTCTCCCTCTTTCCATCACCCCGCCACATTCTCCCGCTTTCCATCACCGCGCCTCATTATCGCTCTTTCCATCACCCCGCCCCATTCTCCCGCTTTCCATCACACCGCCCCATTCTCCCTCTATCCATCACCCCGCCCTATTCTCCCTCTTTCCATCACCCCGCCCCATTCTTCCGCTTTCCATCACCCCGCCCCATTCTCCCGCTTTCCATCACCCCGCCCTATTCTCCCTCTTTCCATCACCCCGCCCCATTCTCCCGCTTTCCATCACCCCGCCCCATTTTCTTGCTTTCCATCACCCCACCCCTTTCTCCCGCTTTCCATCACCCCACCCAATTCTCCCGCTTTCCATCACCCTGCCCCATTCTCCCGCTTTCCATCACCCTGACCCATTCTCCCTGTTTTTATCACCCGGCCCCATTCTCCCTCTTTCCCTCACCCCGCCCAATTCTCCCTCTCTCCACACCCCGCCCCATTCTCCCGCTTTCCAACACCCCGCCCCATTCTCCCGCTCCATCACCCCGCCCGATTCTCCCGCTTCCCATCACCCCGCCCCATTCTCCCGCTTTCCATCACCCCGCCCCATTCTCCCGCTTTCCATCACCCCGCCCCATTCTTCCGCTTTCCATCACCCCGCCCCATTAAACATCTTTCCATCACCCCGCCCCATTCTCCCTCTTTCCATCACCGTGCCCCATTCTTCTACTTTTCATCACCCCGCCCCATTCTCCCTCTTTCCATCACCCAGCCCCATTCTTCCGCTTTTCATCACCCCGCCCCATTCTCCCTCTTTCCATCACCCTGCCCCATTCCCCCTCTTTCCATCAGCCCGCCCCATTCTCCCGCTTTCCACCACCCTGCCCCATTCTCCCGCTTTCCATCATCCTGCCCCATTCTCCCACTTTCCATCACCCCGCCCCATTCTCCCGCTTTCCATCACCCCGCCATATTCTTCCTCTTTCCATCACCCCGCCCCATTCTCCCGCTTTCCATCACGCCGCCCCATTCTCCTGCTTTCCATCACCCCGCCCCATTCTCCCGCTTTCCATCACCCCGCCCCATTCTCCCGCTTTCCATCACCCCGCCCCATTCTCCCGCTTTCCATCACCCCGCCCCACTCTCCCGCTTTCCATCACCCCACCCCTTTCTCCCGCGTTCCATCACCCCGCCCCATTCTCCCGCTTTCCGTCACCCCGCCCCATTCTCCCGCTTCCAATCACCCCGCCCCATTCTCCCGCTTTCCACCAACCTTCCCCATTCTCCCGCTTTCCATCACCCTGCCCCATTCTCCCGCTTTCCATCACCCCGCCCCATTCTCCCACTTTCCATCACCCCGCCCCATTCTCAAGCTTTCCATCACCCTGCCCCATTCCTCGCTTTCCATCACCCCGCCCCATTCTCCCGCTTTCCATCACCCCGCCCCATTCTCAAGCTTTCCATCACCCCGCCCCATTCTCCTGCTTTCCATCACCCCACCCCATTCTCCCGCTTTCCATCACCCCGCCCCATTCTCCCGCTTTCCATCATCCCGGCCCATTCTCCTTCTTTCCATCACCCCACCCCATTCTCCCGCTTTCCATCACCCCGCCCCATTCTCCCACTTTCCATCACCCCGCCCCATTCTCAAGCTTTCCATCACCCTGCCCCATTCCTCGCTTTCCATCACCCCGCCCCATTCTCCCGCTTTCCATCACCCCGCCCCATTCTCCCGCTTTCCATCACCCCGCCCCATTCTCCCGCTTTCCGTCACCCCGCCCCATTCTCCCGCGTCCAATCACCCCGCCCCATTCTCCCGCTTTCCATCACCCTGCCCTATTCCTCGCTTTCCATCTCCCCGCCCCATTCTCCCGCTTTCCATCACCCCGCCCCATTCTCAAGCTTTCCATCACCCCGCCCCATTCTCCTGCTTTCCATCACCCCGCCCCATTCTCCCGCTTTCCATCACCCCGCCCCATTCTCCCGCTTTCCATCACCCCGGCCCATTCTCCCGCTTTCCATCACCCTGCCCCATTCTGTGAGAGAAATGAACAGGGAATGAAATGACTAAGTCAGAGTTGGGTACAAATACAACCCTAGAAAGCTGTACCCCATATGTGCTACCCCACTATAGCCTACAAACATGCATCAGCTATAATAATCTGACACACCCCCATAGGCAAAGTGGGGGAGAACAAGGGGTCACAAGACCAGTCAAGCAAAGCAAAGCAAAGCAAGCTCAGGGTGGATCACAAAGTCACCACACAGTCTGAGCACAAGAGCAAGGCCAGAGGCCAGTTCACATGCAGGAGTACAGACATATATATATAAAACTAGACAAGCAGGAGCAGGTATATATATGTCACAGTACAAGTAAAGTCAAGAGGAGAGCAAGTGAGGCAAGACAGGCACAAGACCCAGCTGGGTGCAAAAGCGCTGATGGTCACAAGGCGCGAGTGCCTGGGTGAACACATCACCAGTGTTGGCCTCAGAGGCCACGTACGCAAGTTGCAACTGACCACGCTGCTGCAGCTCACGAGCAAGGAAGTAGCGGAGAGCAATGTGCTTCGTTCTGTGCTCCAAGCGCTGCTCTCGACACAAGGCCAGCATGGCCTTGTTGTCTACGTACAGCACTGGAGGAGAACGAGGCGGCTCTCCAAGGTCAGTCAGCAGGTAGGTGAGCCAGCGAAGCTCCTGTGCAGCCATGGCCCCGGCGTAGATCTCAGCCTCACAACTGGAGCCGAGAACTGAAGACGAACGAGTAGACTGCCACGAGACAGAGCCGGAACCAAGACTGAAGGTGTAACCCTGTGACGACCGCTGCGTAGCCTGGTCGTCAGCCCAAGAAGCGTCCGCGTGGCCTGTAAGGACCACTGGACTCCGCCCTCCAAGCACTAGCCCCATGCGCGACGTACTGCACAGGTAGCGCAATACCCTCTTCGCTGCAGCCATGTGCTCTGGTCGGTGTCTCCCAGGAGCAACATAGCGTGCAAGAATGCTCAGAGGGTATGCAAGGTCAGGTCGAGTGCAGGTCATAAGGTACATGAGGCAGCCAACAAGCTCTGGGTACGGGCCACTCGACTCTACGGACTCATCCGAAGGTAGAGCTGAGAGCGAGTGGCGAGTAGACAGAGGAGTGGCCTGAGGCGAGGAGTACGTGAAGCCGAAGCACTGAAGGACCTGCTGCACCATGTGTGACTGAGTCAAGGTGATGGTGCGGCGTGCTCTGTCCCGAGTGATCTGCAATCCAAGGTAGCTGCGCAGTTCACCCAGGTCTGTGCACGTGTGTCTCTTCAGCAGCTCGGACTTCACGTAGGCGAGTCCAGCAGTGTCCGCTGTGGCAAAGACCAAGTCGTCGACGTACACGATGATGTAGAACGGCGGCAGTGACGTGTCGGTGCGCTGAAACAGCGACGGGTGGGAGCAAACCCAAGAGCCACAAGCGTAGTCCTCAGTGTGTCGTGCCACTCATGCGGTGCCTGGCGGAGACCGTAGACTGGCCGTCGGAGGCTCCACTGGGTGCCAGGAGGGAAAGTCCCAGTGAAGCCAGGTGGACGGCGCAGCCAGATCTCCTCGTGCAGGCTACCCTGCAGGAACGCAGTGCTGAAGTCGAGAGAGTGAAGCTCGTAGTCGCGCTGAGCGGCTATGTGCAGCAGCACCCGAAGAGTGGTCATCTTCGGGGTGGGAGAGAAGGTCTGAAAGTAGTCAACTCCCTGCCGCTGACTGAAGCCACGAGCAACGTACCGCGCCTTGAAGACAGGTGGAGAGCCCGGCGGCCGCTTCACCCGGAAGATCCACATGCCACTGACGATGTTCGCCCCAGGAGGGGGAACTGCGTCAACGTAGGTGCCTGTGGACTTCCAGGAAGCCATCTCTGCATCCATAGCTGCCTGCCACTGAGAGGAGTAGGGACCCTCTACGGCCTCCGCGTAAGAGCGCGGAGTCGGGATGTCTAGTGCATCCGGGTCTCCCTCAGGAGCAAGCAGTACAGACGCGAGATGAGGTGAAGCAGCAGCCAGACACTGTAACTCCTCCTGCCTGTCCTCTAGGACGTCCGTGCCAAGAGCACACTCACCCCCGACGGACGGAGGACAGACAGACGCAGACTCAGCAACAAGACTAGCAGCGTAGTCTAGACGACAGCGAGCAGCAAAGTCGACGAGCTCAGCGACAAGAGCAGACGCAGCAGTGGACTCAAAAGAGGGGTCAGTGACGACAGTAGCAAGCAGACGCGTGACAGTAGGACTGGCAGCACGAAGAGAGTCCGACTCAGGGTCGGCAAGCGCAGGAAGGGAGGACACAGGAGGAGAAGGCAAAGGGGCACGCAGAGGAGCAGTGGACGGACGCAGAGACATCCGGTGCGTGCCAGGGACAGGAGGAGGACGCTGACGCGAACCGGGACCACTAGCGCGAGCAGCACGAACAGGCGACGCAGGACGAGACGCAGGCTCACGACGCTCAGCAAGACCTCCAGTAGGACCAGTGTAAGGAGAGGGAGCAGGCAGAGGAGAGGAAGGCTCCAACAGTGACTGCGACTGGACAGGCTGTGGACACTCTACCGGAGGAGAAAGACCAAGAACCTGCTGCAGGAGCGGAACGAAGTACTGGCCGAGGCCGCGCGGCAGCTCCAGACTCAGCAGGGACAGCACCAGCACCCTCAGCGACAGCACCAGCACCACCAACACCTCCAGCGGCAGGACCTCCAGCAACACCAGCAGCAGAACCACCGCGAGGACAGACAGCAGTGGTCTCAGCACCAACACCCTCAGTAGCGCCAGCTCCAGTAGGACCCGCAGGCCCAGCAGCTCCGGGACCGGCACCGCCAGCACCCTCGACTGTCGAAGAAGCTCCAGCTCCAGCAGCACGCCTCCAGCGGCGAGCAAACCACTCGCGCAGCTCCTGCGGAGAGAGGGGCTCCCGTCGAGACGCAGCAGCAGGAGAAACCCCAGGCTCCGCAGCTCCAGACCCAGCACCCCCAGGCTCAGCAGCCCTAGACTCAGCACCCCCATGCTCAGCAGCACCCAACTCAGCACCCCCAGGCTCAGCAGCTCCAGGCACAGCACCCCCCGGCTCAGCACCCCCAGGCTCAGCAACCTCCGCAGTAGCACCCCCAGGCCCAGCACCCCCAGGCTCAGCACCCGCAGCAGCACCAGAGTCACCAGTAACCTCGACCGGGTCAACTGCGTCTACCTGGGACACACCTGAGGGGGCAGGAACCTGAGGGAGAAGGGGGTCTACCGGGGGGGGAACCGGCACAAGGAAGTCCGGCGGAGGGGGGAGGGAAGGAGTGCGGTAGGGGAAGAGGCGGTAGAAGGGGACTGACTCGTCGAACGTGACGTCCTGGGAGGACAGAACACGACGCAAGGAGGGGTGGTAAAACTGCCACCCTGGAGCGTCAGTGGGGAAGCCAAGGAAGACACAGGGAGCAGTACGAGGGGACAGCTTGTCCGCAGACAAGTCGCGGACAAACGCCCGAGATCCCCAGACACGGAACGCCGACGCATCGCCAACCTTCCCCGTCCACAGCAAGACTGGGGACATCGCGGGTCGAGAGACCCGGGGGTGAAGGTTGAGCTGATGCGCCGCGTACCTTACCGCAAACGGCCACAGAAAATGGGGGGCAGCCGCATGCATCATGGACGTACGAGCGATATCCATGACCATGCCAATGCGACGCTCAGCAATCCCATTTTGCTGTGGAGAGTCCGTAAGCGTGAAGGTCTGGCGGATCCCCCGTGCACGACAGTAGTCTCGCAGAAGGCGAGAGGAGAACTCTCCGCCTCTCTCCAAGTGCAGACGCAGAACAGGAAAGTCCGAGCCGAAGCTCTTCCTGAGCTGGAGACGAGCCTCGCGGATCCAGTCGATCAGCACCTCAGTGACAGCACCCTTGCTGCGCAAGGGGAGGACTGTGGTGTAACGCGAGTAGTCGTCAACCACCAACAGGAAGTAGCGCTCGTGACCCTGCCCACGGACGGGGGCTGGGCCCCACACGTCCATGTGAAGCGTCTGCAGAGGAGCCTCTGTCGGGGGGAACTGGGAGGAGTGAGGAGTAGCCCGGAGGCGACCCACACAGGGGACACAGGAAGGTCCTGGCCCGGAGGGAAGGGGAGGGAGAGACCGGGGAAGACCAGAGACAAGGACACGGGAAGCCATGCTCCGAAGACGGGGCAAGGATGGGTGGCCCAGACGGTGGTGCCACAGAAGAGTCTCGTGAGACAGGAGGCGACAAGAACAGGGGGCAGACTCAGGACCTGACCGGGACGCAGCAGCAAGTACCTGACCTGACGCAGCTACCTGACCAGACGCAGGGACAGGAGGAGTCGCAGTGGTCAGGGTGTAGAGGCTCAACCCCGGCCGACGCGAGAACGTGGCCAGGTGCCGGCCTGTGCGTGCGTCCGTGCAGTGGGTCACCCGCTGACTCGCAGGAGTGAACTCGTGACCCCCGCATCCTGCAGGTCCGCACCACTCACCAAGTTCGTCGAGAACGAGGGAAGGTACAGACCAGACAGGGTGCCCAAGGGGGCAGCCGGACACGGGAGGACAGTGGAGAAGTGAGAGAGGACAGGACCCCCAGAGGGGTCAGCTAGGGAGACGGCAACCGGCCGGCCAAGCGGCGTGAGGGTGGTGCGGTCTCGAAAGAAGGAGCGAGAAGCCCTAGAGTCAAGTGTGAAAGTGAGGGAGGACGAGGGCGACGCAGTACCTGAGAGCGCAGTCTCACCAATACCTGAGAGCGCAGACGCACTCGCACCTAGAGCAGCAGCCTCACAAGCACCTAGCGCAGCAGTACCAATGCCCGGGTCGGGCTGGAAACACTGGTAACCCTCATTCTCCTCACTAATAGTCACAGCATACATAGCAGCAAGGATAGCATCAAAATCAAGATCAAAGATCGCTACACCAGCCCTAAGAAGCTCATCTCAGCGAGGGATCTCACTAGCCCCGGGGAACTGCTGACGCCAAGCATCCGTCAGGCGGCCAAAGCAGCGCTGGGTGGGGTGGGCACCCCCACACTGCTCACCCGCACGGTCGCCGGAACGAAGGACGTAGGTGCAAGGACCAGTACCCCCACCCCTCTGACGCTGAGGTGTACCACTCACGAAGCTGCTGAGGCGGAGGGATGTCGCGCGAACGCTGCTGCTGCTGCTGCTGCGAGCGCTGTCCACCACCACTGCCGCTCCGCTGCTGGGTACCACCCTGACCAGCTCCACCCCCTCCACCACCACCGCCTCCTCCGCTGCCTCCTCCGCCGCCTCCACCTCCGCCGCTGCCACCACCACCACCGCTGCCACCACCACCGCCGCCTCCGCCGCTGCTGCCACCACTACCACCACCCCCGCCACTACTCCCGCCGCCACCCCCACTCCCTTCAACGCCTCCGCCGCCACCGCCACCGCCCCCTCCAGCTCCACCCGCGCCCTTGCCCCCCTTGCCCTTGCCAGAGCGACGTCTCCCACTAGGGGCAGACGCCGCGCCGACCGACTCAAGACCAAGCAGGTCGGCAGCAGCAGCAGAGGCAACAGAGGGCAGCAAGGGGGAAGGAGAGCACCCCTCAAAGATGGGGGTGCGAGGGTCACCACGAGAAGCTCCTACAGCGACTATGCTCTTCTCCGCCGCGAGGAGGGCCTTCTCGAGGACGTCGACGGTGAGGGTGGTGGGACAGACTGCGAGAAAGTGGTCCCTGACTACGCGAAGGGAGTCAGGGAGGCGCGCGACTACGTAGTAGAGAGTGATGTACATGGGGGGGGGGTTCTTAGCGCAGAACTCAGCAAGGAAGGGCGGCGCGGTAGCAAGTGTCACTAGTGCGGAGGTGCGTAATGAGGTCAGCGACAGTGGGAAAGGCAGAGAGGTCAGGAAAGAGGTAGGGAAGCATGAGACGGCTCAGTGCAGCAGTGGCAGGGGAGGAGTAGCGCGCAACTACAGCGTCGTACAAGGTCTGAGCACTCTTGTACTGACTAAAGTGCGCGCGCTCAGAGGTAGGGAGGTGGCGACGCACAGCAAGACGTGCAGCAGCATCGCGGGTGGCCCACTGAGAGCGCACAGTGGGATCAGCATCAGCAGCAGGGAGCAGGAGAGGCGCCAGAGGTAAGGTCAAAGCGAGAGAGGCCGTCTGCCCCTATCGCACTGTAAAAACAACTGTAGGTCGTCTACCCAGACCTCAAAGTCAATGGCGCGACCCTCAGCGTCAAAAGCTAGGACACTAGGGGTAGCCATGAACGACGACAGCGAAGCAGTGCAAGCAGTAGGGGAAGAGCACGCAGTGACAGTGGGACTGTGCTCACCAGGCAGGGCAGGCCGGGCAACTCTGCAGAAGGGCGGCTCGGCGACTCAGCGACTCGGCTGCTGGGCGGCTCGGCTCCCGGGCGGCTCGGCGGCAGGGCGGCTCGGATCCCGGGCGGCTCGGCAGCAGGGCGGCTCGGGTGCAGGGCGGCTCGGCTCCCGGGCGGCTCGGCGGCGGGGCGGCTCGGCTGCACTTGCTGCTCGGCTGCTGCAGGTGGGCGGCTCGGCTGCTGCAGGTAGGGTGGCGGGGCCGCGAGAGAGCCGGGGCGGGGCCACGTGAGAGCCGGGGCGGGGCCGCATCAGAGCCGGCGGCGGGGCCGTGTGAGAGCCGGGGCGGGGCCGCGTGAGAGACGGGGCGGGGCCGCGGCAGAGCCGGCGGCGGGGCCGCTAGAGAGCCGGGGCGGGGCCGCGTGAGAGCCGGGGCGGGGCCGCGTCAGAGCCGGCGGCGGGGCCGTGTGAGAGCCGGGGTGGGGCCGCGTGAGAGACGGGGCGGGGCCGCGGCAGAGCCGGCGGCGGGGCCGCTAGAGAGCCGGGGCGGGGCCGCGTGAGAGCCGAGGCGGGGCCGAGGCAGAGCCGGCGGCGGGGCCTGGTGAGAGCCGGGGCGGGGCCGCGTGAGAGACGGGGTGGGGCCGCTAGAGAGCCGGGGCGGGGCCGCTTGAGAGCCGGGGCGGGGCCGCGAGAGAGCCGGGGCGGGGCCTGGTGAGAGCCGGGGCGGGGCGGCGTGAGAGATGGGGCGGGGCCGCGTCAGAGCCGGCGGCGGGGCCGCGTCAGAGCCGGCGGCGGGGCCTCGTCGTGGCGGGCGGCGAGGCCGCGTTGGAGCCGGCGGCGAGGCCGGCTAAGAGCCGGCGGCGGGGCCGCGTCAGAGCCGACGGCGGGGCCGCGTCAGAGCCGGCGGCGGGCCGCGAACGTAGCGGGCGGCGGGGCCGCGTCAGAAGCCGGCGGCGGGGCCGCGTCAGTGTAGGCGGCGGGGCCGCGTCAGTGTAGGCGGCGGGGCCGCGTCAGAGTAGGCGGACGGGGCCGCGTCAAGCAGGCGGCGGGGCCGCGATCAGGAGGGGTGGCGGGGCCGCGTCTGAGGGACAGCGGGGCCGCGAGGGAAATGGCGACCCGAGGGGTCGCTAATAAAAAAATGCGCGCCTCGGGGCGCGCTTCGGTGGGCCCTAGGAAACGTTCCCTCAGGGAACTCGCTCTATACCATGTGAGAGAAATGAACAGGGAATGAAATGACTAAGTCAGAGTTGGGTACAAATACAACCCTAGAAAGCTGTACCCCATATGTGCTACCCCACTATAGCCTACAAACATGCATCAGCTATAATAATCTGACACATTCTCCCGCTTTCCATCACCCCGCCCCATTCTCCCGCTTTCCATCACCCCGGCCCATTCTCCCGCTTTCCATCACCCCGGCCCATTCTCCCGCTTTCCATCACCCTGCCCCATTCTCCCGCTTTCCATCACCCCGCCCCATTCTCCCGCTTTCCATCACCCCGCCCCATTCTCCCGCTTTCCATCACCCCGCCCCATTCTCCCGCCTTCCATCACCCTGCCCCATTCTCCCTCTTTCCATCACCCCGCCCCATTCTCCCTCTTTCCATCACCCCACCCTATTCTCCCTCTTTCCATCACCCCGCCCCACTCTCCCGCTTTCCATCAGCCCCGCCCCATTCTCCCGCTTTCCATCACCCCGCCCCATTCTCCCGCTTTCCATCACCCCGCCCCATTCTCCCGCTTTCCATCACCCTGCCCCATTCTCCCTCTTTCCATCACCCCGCCCCATTCTCCCTCTTTCCATCACCCCACCCTATTCTCCCTCTTTCTATCACCCCGCCCCACTCTCCCGCTTTCCATCACCCCACCCCTTTCTCCCACGTTCCGTCACCCCGCCCCATTCTCCCGCTTTCCGTCACCCCGCCCCATTCTCCCGCTTCCAATCACCCCGCCCCATTCTCCCGCTTTCCACCACCCTGCCCCATTCTCCCGCTTTCCATCACCCTGCCCCATTCTCCCGCTTTCCATCACCCCAGCCCCATTCTCCCGCTTTCCATCACCCCGCCCCATTCTCAAGCTTTCCATCACCCTGCCCCATTCCTCGCTTTCCATCACCCCGCCCCATTCTCCCGCTTTCCATCACCCCGCCCCATTCTCAAGCTTTCCATCACCCCGCCCCATTCTCCTGCTTTCCATCACCCCGCCCCATTCTCCCGCTTTCCATCACCCCGCCCCATTCTCCCGCTTTCCATCACCCCGGCCCATTCTCCCGCTTTCCATCACCCCGCCCCATTCTCCCGCTTTCCATCACCCCGCCCCATTCTCCCGCTTTCCGTCACCCCGCCCCATTCTCCCGCTTCCAATCACCCCGCCCCATTCTCCCGCTTTCCATCACCCTGCCCCATTCCTCGCTTTCCATCACCCCGCCCCATTCTCCCGCTTTCCATCACCCCGCCCCATTCTCAAGCTTTCCTTCACCCCGCCCCATTCTCCTGCTTTCCATCACCCCGCCTCATTCTCCCGCTTTCCATCACCCCGCCCCATTCTCCCGCTTTCCATCACCCCGGCCCATTCTCCCGCTTTCCATCACCCTGCCCCATTCTCCCGCTTTCCATCGCCCCGCCCCATTCTCCCGCTTTCCATCGCCCCGCCCCATTCTCCCGCTTTCCATCACCCCGCCCCATTCTCAAGCTTTCCATCACCCCGCCCCATTCTCCCTCTTTCCATCACCCCGCCCCATTCTCCCTCTTTTCATCACCCCGCCCCATTCTCCCGCTTTCCATCACCCCGCCCCATTCTCCTGCTTTCCATCACCCCGCCCTATTCTTCCGCTTTCCATCACCCCGCCCCATTCTCCCGCTTTCCATCACCCCGTCCCATTCTCCCTCTTTTCATCACCCCGCCCCATTCTCCCTCTTTCCACCACCCCGCCCCATTCTCCCGCTTTCCATCACCCTGCCCCATTCCTCGCTTTCCATCACCCCGCCCCATTCTCCCGCTTTCCATCACCCCGCCCCATTCTCAAGCTTTCCATCACCCCGCCCCATTCTCCTGCTTTCCATCACCCCGCCCCATTCTCCCGCTTTCCATCACCCCGCCCCATTCTCCCGCTTTCCATCACCCCGGCCCATTCTCCCGCTTTCCATCACCCCGCCCCATTCTCCCGCTTTCCATCACCCCGCCCCATTCTCCCGCTTTCCGTCACCCCGCCCCATTCTCCCGCTTCCAATCACCCCGCCCCATTCTCCCACTTTCCATCACCCTGCCCCATTCCTCGCTTTCCATCACCCCGCCCCATTCTCCCGCTTTCCATCACCCCGCCCCATTCTCAAGCTTTCCATCACCCCGCCCCATTCTCAAGCTTTCCATCACCCCGCCCCATTCTCCTGCTTTCCATCACCCCGCCCCATTCTCCCGCTTTCCATCACCCCGCCCCATTCTCCCGCTTTCCATCACCCCGGCCCATTCTCCCGCTTTCCATCACCCCTGCCCCATTCTCCCGCTTTCCATCACCCCGCCCCATTCTCCCGCTTTCCATCACCCCGCCCCATTCTCAAGCTTTCCATCACCCCGCCCCATTCTCCCGCTTTCCATCACCCCGCCCCATTCTCCTGCTTTCCATCACCCCGCCCTATTCTTCCGCTTTCCATCACCCCGCCCCATTCTCCCGCTTTCCATCACCCCGTCCCATTCTCCCTCTTTTCATCACCCCGCCTCATTCTCCCTCTTTCCACCACCCCGCCCCATTCTCCCGCTTTCCATCACCCCGGCCCATTCTCCCTATTTCCATCACCCCGCTCCATTCTCCCACTTTCCATCACCACGCCCCATTCTCCCGCTTTCCATCACCCCGCCCCATTCTCCCGCCCTCCATCACCCCGCCCCATTCTCTCTCTTTCCATCACCCCGCCCCAGTCTCCCTCTTTCCATCACCCCGCCCCATTCTCCCTCTTTCCATCACCCCGCCCCATTCTCCCTCTTTCCATCACCCCGCCCCATCCTCCCGCTTTCCATCACCCCGCCCCATTCTTCCGCTTTCCATCACCCCGCCCCATTCTCCAGCTTCCATCACCCCGCCCCATTCTCCCGCTTTCCATCACCCCGCCCCATTCTCCAGCTTTCCATCACCCCGCCCCATTCTCCCGCTTTCCATCACCCCGCCCCATTCTCCCGCTTTCCATCACCCCGCCCCATTCTCCCGCTTTCCATCACCCCGCCCCATTCTCCCGCTTTCCATCACCCCGCCCCATTCTCCCGCTTTCCATCACCCCGCCCCATTCTCCCGCTTTCCATCACCCCGCCCCATTCTTCCGCTTTCCATCACCCCGCCCCATTCACCCCGCCCCATTCTCCCTCTTTCCATCAACCCGCCCCATTCTCCCGCTTTTCATCACCCTGCCCCATTCTCCCTCTTTCCATCACCCCGCCCCATTCTCCCTCTTTCCATCAGCCCGCCCCATTCTCCCGCTTTTCTTCACCCCTGTTAGAGACTAAGGATCGAGTCTATGAAGATTAGGTGCTCAAATTTATCAAAATCGTTGGTCTCAATTTCTGGACAGAAACGTCGACTTCACAAGAAACGTCGTCGACGGAAGGTGCACAGTTAGAATCCCACGAAATTCGAATATGTTGTAGCCCTAGACCGTGGCTACATTTACCAATTCGAATCGTATCAAAATATGATGCATATCTCGAGTTATGCGTTTCGGCGCACTAGGGGGTATGCTGCCACAGAAATTTAACTCAATCACAATTAACTCACAAGTTCCACAAAAGTGCACACAAGAGAGTTAGGGTAGCACTAAACCAGGTAGGAGGGAAGAGGAGGACGATAGGGAAGGTCCCAAGAGATTCCCCAACCAAGGAAACCCCATGCCACACAATTCCCTTCCCCATAGGCAACCCCACTTTCACATTTGTCACTTTCCCAACTCATGCCATCCACCTCAACCCACTTGGCCACACTTGCCAACCTGGTTTGGCTTCACCCAACCACATGGCAGCATTCTACAGTGATGGGTTCGCATTCCCAACCCCCAAAAGTCTGTACCCCATATTGAGTCAACCCCACAACTTCCCATAGTCGCCACAACCGAAGTACAGAAAGCATACGAACCCCAACGTTCGTAACTTTCTTGATATTGCTCCGATCGCGACGATTCTTGGCTCGTCGGAAAGATCTTGAGTAGAGCTGTCACTTCAGATATCTGCCCAAGCCAAACATCATCCACACACACTCGAAAAATCCAAACCGCGCAAAACACAAATTCTTGCACACGTTCACACCACGCTTGCAACACACGAACACTTGATGGAGGCAGACAGACGTGAATGCATATGTTTGCATCACAACAAACTCCCCCTCTGGCTGCCAACCATCATCCCACATGCCTCAGCTCATGCATGCATCCTCAATGCACACTCATCCCAGCAAGTTTCATGCCCTTCCAATGCTCAGGTTTTGCCAGGCGCTTGGTGAGAATCTCAGCCGCCTGTTGCTGGGTTTTCACAAGTTCCAGTCGAACCTCCTTATCCAGGAGCCTCCTCGTCCAATGCCACTTAGGCCTGATGTGCTTTGTCAGGCCATGAAGACAGGCATTCTTCGCAAGCTTCAGAGTTGACTCATTGTCACAGAAAATCACAGTCGGCTCCTTTTGACCAACCCAAATCTCCTCTAGCAAACGCCTTAGCCACACCACCTCCTTTGCCCCATGATGAAGGGCCACGTACTCTGTCTCACACGAGGACAGCCCCACCTCGTTCTGCTTCTTGCTGCGCCAGCTCACTGCACCACCTCCAAAGAGGCACACATAGCCTCCAATGCTGGTGCCATCCGATTTCACAGAGTTGAAGCTAGCGTCGGTGTAGCACGTTAGGCGCATCTCCCCCTTGCTCAAGTCAGCTGCACCCCTCTGCAGCCTCTGTCGCACGGCACTGTACTCCAATCCCACTGATGCCGTTGCACTCACGTAGCGGACCAACCTCTTGGCCGCTTCCAGCTGCTCATGACTGGGGCGTGAAACCACACTTGCAAGCCTGGATGTAGCAAAGGCAATGTCAGGCCGCGTGTGGTTAGCCGAATAGTTGAGTGCCCCCACCATGGAGTGAAACAGCTTCCTGTCACTCTCTCCCACCACCTCCTCATCAGCACAGGGCTCTACGGTGAACCCTGAAGGCAGTGGGGTGGCTGGCTTCCCTCCATCTCGCAGCCCATACTTCTCGGCCAGCCCCTCACAATACTTCCTCTGGTGCAACCTCAACACTCCCTTGTCAAGGTCCCTCTCCACATGCATCCCCAGGTAGTACTTCACGTCTCCCATCTTGGAGCACTTGAACTGCATTTCCAGCATCTCCTCCACACGCTCAATCATTGCAGACGACTCAGAGAAGAGCAGTATGTCGTCCACATACACCAGGAGCATGAGAAACTGCTCCTTCTCTTGCAGCAGGAACAAGCTGTGATCGCACTCACTCTTCTTGAACCCCCCAGCCAGCAGTGTCTCCTCCAGTTTGTGGTACCATGCACGAGGAGCCTGCTTCAGGCCATAGATGGCCTTCTTCAGCCTGCACACCCTGCCGCTCCCATCATCCAACCCCTCAGGCTGCAGCATGTACAGCTCCTCCAGAATGACTCCATTGAGGAAGGCGGTGGTAATGTCCAGCTGCTTTACCCGCCATCCACGGTATGCGGCCATCGCCAAAGACACTCTCAGTGTTGTGCCTTTTCCCATAGGAGCATAGAGCTCATCAAAATCCTTCCCCTTCGTCTGCTGGAACCCCTTAGCGACAAGCCTTGACTTGTAGCGCGTCAGCTCCCCATCAGGTCCATACTTGTGCTTGAAGATCAGCTTCGAAGAGATTGCCTTCTTCCCAGGAGGCAGCTCACACAGCTCCCACGTCTCATTCTCCAGCAGAGAGTCATACTCCTCCTTCACACTCTGCTTCCACTTCTCAGCATCGGGCCCACTCAAGGCCTCGGTAAGTGTCTTGGGCTCAGGGACGGCTGCCCAGTAACAGTGCGCTATCTCCTCCTCATCACACTGCTCAGCCACACTTCCAGCATGCTCCACATTTCGTGAGCCAGTGCGATTATAGCTCAGCCTAATAGGTTGGCGTATATCCCTCCTAGGACACTCAGCCGTACGTGCGGCACCTCGTGGAGCATCTTGCTGCTGCTGCTGCGGCTGCTGCTGCTGCGGCTGCTGTTGCTGCTGCTGCTGCTGCTGCTGCTGCTGCTGCTCCACCACCTCAGGTTCTCCCCCATCCTCAGTCACCCCAGAGATCTCCTCCTCTGAGATGGCAACCTCCACTTGCCTCGAAGGCCGCTGCATCTCATCGGCCTCAACGATCAGCGGTGTCGTAGGAAGCTTCTGCTGCTGCTGCTTCCACTCCTTGTAGTACAAGGACTCCAGGAACTTCACGTCCCTTGACACAGTCAGCTGCTGGCTGGTCAAGTCCCATATGAGCCAGCCCTTGTGGTCCTTCGCAAGTCCCAAGTGCACACCCCATCTTCCAGAAGCTTCCAACTTTCCCCTCTTCTCCTTCGGCACATGAAACACCACCATGCAGCCGTAGGCTCTCAGCATGTTGACTGCTGGTGCACTCCCATACCACTTGGTTTAAGGCACCCACTGCTTGTCCCCCACAGTTGCGAGCACCCGGTTCTTCACAACAACGACCTGCCGCAGTGCAGTCACCCAAAACGGATCCGGCAGCCCTGCACGCCCAAGGAGAGTGCGAGCACCTTCCTGCAGGGTCCGGTTGAACCGCTCAGCCACGCCGTTCTGCTGAGGGTTGTAGGGCACCGTGAGCTGATGCTGGATCCCCTTCTTCTTCAGCACCGCCTCAAAAACAGCGCCAATGAACTCTCCCCCATTGTCGGTGCGGATCACCTTCACTTTGTGTCCGCTCTCCCTTTGTGCTCTCGGCATCCACTCCTTGAGAACAGCCGCTGCCACCTCCCCCTTAGTCTTGAGAGGGTAGACCCACACCGCACGTGTGTGGTCATCCACAATGGTCAGGAAATAGCGGCTGCCCGAGAGAGAAGGGGCCCTCGTGGGGCCCACCACGTCCATGTGCACAAGTGCAAGTGGAGCCTTCGCTGGTCCCGTGCTGCTGCTGAAGGGAAACTTCGTGAACTTGGTCTCAAGGCATGTAGGGCAGCTCCCAATCTCCCTTGCTGCCCCCTTCACCTCCAATCCCTTCAGGTTCCCATCCTTCACCAATTTCTGCAGCATCGGAATGTTGATGTGGCACAACCTCTCGTGCCACGTCTCCCAATCGGCCTCACCACTCCCAGATGAAGCCTTTGCCCATGCAGCCGTTGCATCCACACCAGCAAGCACCTCACCATGTGATTGCTGTGGCTGCTGCACCTTCTTGACTGCATCCAGGGCCCCAGCAGTTGGTGCAGTCTCCTCTCCTCCCGCAGTTGCCTTAGCCGCTGCCGCTGCCTTTGCCGTTGCTGGAGGTTTTCCATTCCAAGGGATGATGGGCAGCTGCCACAGGTCCTTGATGCAGCTGCTCTTCTCCTCCAAATCCCACAGCAGCAACTTCCCAAGCTTTGCACGGCAGCTGGTTGGGCCGAACGTGACTTTGGCCTTGCTTTTCTGCAGCCGGCGCACAGAGAGGAGGTTAGCGGATAAACCATCCACCAATAGAACATTCCCAAGTCCAACAAGTCCCCCATTGGCTCCCATCACCTTGGCATTCCCAACACCAATCACAGGGAGCAAAGCACCTGACGCGGCAGCCACAAACTTGATCTTCCCAGGGGGTTTCACCTCATCGAGCAAATCTGCCCGCGGAGTCATGTGACTCGTGCAACCAGAATCGATCACCCAGTGAGTTAGGGGGTGCATTACAACCTTCCCAACCGAACCCACATCATCCTCACTCCCTTTCACTTCCTCAACCATGAGGAACAGCCCAGGGTCAGCTTTACCTTGTGCACCATCACCTTGTGCACCTGAACCTTGCACAGCACCACCTCGTGCGCGTTCACCACTTGGCGGCTTCATGCCTGGAGGTGCCCATCCCTCAGGCCGGCTGAAACACTTGAACCACGGGTGTCCAGCCTTCTTGCAGTACCAGCACGCACCCTCCATTCGGGTGCTCCCCCTGCCACCAGAGCTCCCATGCCCCTCATTGTAGTCACCTCGGCCTCTCCCTCTGCCAAAGCCTCTCCCACGGCCTCGGCCTCTCCCTCCCCCTCTCCCTCTGCTGCCTCCTGCAGCTCCATACCCCTCAGCAGTTTTGTTGGCAGCACCACCTCCAGTGTGGCGCCTGCGGAAGTCCTCCTGCAGGATCTGCTGCCGTAGCCACTCAGGCGTCCATTTGTCCTGCTGAACGTTGAGGGTGGGGATGAGGTTGTCCCACGAGTTGTCGAGCACCGAGATGATCTTGGTGCACTGTTGCATCTGCGACACTTCGCTGCCCGCCGCTGCCATCCTCGCATAGGTGTCCTTGATCTTGTCAAGGACCGGCTTCACATCATCTCCCAGCCGCATGGAGAGGGCAGCCAACTCCTTCTCCAATACGATCACCATCGGCAGCGTGTTGGGTTGAACCACGTCGCGAAGCAGCTTCCACGCCTTCGGTCCCGAGTCATCGAGCTCCACCAGGTCCTTGATATGCTGGAACATATCATTGTTGACCGATTGAAGGATTAGGTCGTACAGCACCGCGCTCCTCTCAATCCATTTGTCGCAGGCATCACCTTCCTCCGGCATCTTCTCTTCTCCCATCGCAAGTTTTAGCAGCTTGTAGCGCTTCAAAGCGCTCCGCATCCGCCCGCTCCATTCCTCATAGTTGGAGCCGTCCAAAGCCTCGATCTTGGACGGTGGCGGTTCACTCTTCTTCTCAGCTCCTTCTCCACTCATCTCCTCTGCTCCCAATCAGAGGTTTCAGCTCCCCCTTTGCTGTCCACACCGAAGTCTCACACAATTTTCCACAGGTGTCGGCGCCAACGAAATTTCGGCAGAGTTTCCCCTTAACGGAAGTCACATCCAACCTCTAGAACTCCACTTAGGCACGCCCACAGGCCATGGTGGGTCTAGGAGGGTCTTCACACTTCAGTAGACTCTCCACAAAGTCCTTAATCAGCTCTGATACCACTTGTTAGAGACTAAGGATCGAGTCTATGAAGATTAGGTGCTCAAATTTATCAAAATCGTTGGTCTCAATTTCTGGACAGAAACGTCGACTTCACAAGAAACGTCGTCGACGGAAGGTGCACAGTTAGAATCCCACGAAATTCGAATATGTTGTAGCCCTAGACTGTGGCTACATTTACCAATTCGAATCGTATCAAAATATGATGCATATCTCGAGTTATGCGTTTCGGCGCACTAGGGGGTATGCTGCCACAGAAATTTAACTCAATCACAATTAACTCACAAGTTCCACAAAAGTGCACACAAGAGAGTTAGGGTAGCACTAAACCAGGTAGGAGGGAAGAGGAGGACGATAGGGAAGGTCCCAAGAGATTCCCCAACCAAGGAAACCCCATGCCACACAATTCCCTTCCCCATAGGCAACCCCACTTTCACATTTGTCACTTTCCCAACTCATGCCATCCACCTCAACCCACTTGGCCACACTTGCCAACCTGGTTTGGCTTCACCCAACCACATGGCAGCATTCTACAGTGATGGGTTCGAATTCCCAACCCCCAAAAGTCTGTACCCCATATTGAGTCAACCCCACAACTTCCCATAGTCGCCACAACCGAAGTACATAAAGCATACGAACCCCAACGTTCGTAACTTTCTTGACATTGCTCCGATCGCGACGATTCTTGGCTCGTCGGAAAGATCTTGAGTAGAGCTGTCACTTCAGATATCTGCCCAAGCCAAACATCATCCACACACACTCGAAAAATCCAAACCGTGCAAAACACAAATTCTTGCACACGTTCACACCACGCTTGCAACACACGAAGACTTGATGGAGGCAGACAGACGTGAATGCATATGTTTGCATCACAACAACCCCGCCCCATTCTTCCGCTTTTCATCACCCCGCCCCATTCTCCCGCTTTCCATCACCCCGCCCCATTCTCCCGCTTTCCATCACCCCGCCCCATTCTCCCGCTTTCCATCACCCCGCCCCATTCTCCCGCTTTCCATCACTCCGCCCCATTCTCCCGCTTTCCATCACCCCGCCCTATTCTCAAGCTTTCCATCACCCCGCCCCATTCTCCCGCTTTCCATCACCCCGCCCCATTCTCCCGCTTTCCATCACCCCGCCCCATTCTCCCGCTTTCCATCACCCCGCACCATTCTCCCGCTTTCCATCACCCCGCCCCATTCTCCCGCTTTCCATCACCCCGCCCCATTCTCCCGCTTTCCATCACCCCGCCCCTTTCTCCCTCTTTCCATCACCCCTGCCCCATTCTCCCGTTTTCCATCACCCCGCCCCATTCTCCTGCTTTCCATCACCCCACCCCATTCTCCCGTTTTCCATCACCCCGCCCCATTCTCCCGCTTTCCATCACCCCGCCCATTCTCCCTCTTTTCATCACCCCGCCCCATTCTCCCTCTTTCCATCACCCCACCCCATCCTCCCTCTTTCCATCGCCCCGCCCCATTCTTCCGCTTTTCATCACCCTGTCCCATTCTCCCTCTTTCCATCACCCCGCCCCATTCCCCCTCTTTCCATCAGCCTGCCCCATTCTCCCGCTCTCCATCACCCCGCCCTATTCTCCCTATTTCTATCACCCCGCCCCATTCTCCTGCTTTCCATCACCCCGCTTTCCATCAACCCGCCCCATTCTCCCGCTTTCCATCACCTCGCCCTATTCTCCCTCTTCCCATCACCCCGCCCATTCTCCCGCTTTCCATTACCCCGCCCCATTCTCCCGCTTTCCATCACCCCGCCCCATTCTCCCTCTTTCCATCACCCCTGCCCCATTCTCACGCTTTCCATCATCCCGCCCCATTCTCCCGCTTTCCATCACCCCGCCCCTTTCTTCCTCTTTCCATCACCCCGCCCCTTTCTCCCTCTTCCCATCACCCCGCCCCATTCTCCCTCTTTCCATTACCCCGCCCCATTCTCCCGCTTTCCATCTACCCAGCCCCATTCTCCCTGCTTTCCATCACCCCGCCCCATTCTCCCGCTTTCCATCACCCCGCCCCATTCTCCCGCTTTCCATCACCCCGCCCCATTCTTCCGCTTTCCATCACCCCGCCCCATTCTCCCTCTTTCCATCTCCCCGCCCCATTCTCCCTCTCTCCATCACCCCGCCCCATTCTCCCCCTTTCCATCATCCCGCCCCATTCTCCCGCTTTCAATCACCCCGCCCCATTCTTCCGCTTTCCATCACCCCGCCCCATTCTCCCTCTTTCCATCAGCCCGCCCCATTCTCCCTCTTTCCATCACCCCGCCCCATTCTCCCGCTTTCCATCACCCCGCCCCATTCTCCCGCTATTGCATCACCCCGCCCCATTCTCCCTCTTTCATAACCCCTGCCCTATTCTCCCTCTTTCATCACCCCGCAAATTCTCCCTCTTTCCAACACCCCACCCCATTCTCCCGCTTTCCATCACCCCGCCCCATTCTCCCGCTTTCCATCAACCCGCCTCATTCTCCCGCTTTCCATCACCCCAACCCATTCTCCCGCTTTCCATCACCCCGCCCCATTCTCCCGCTTTCCATCACCCCCCCCCTATTCTCCCTCTTTCCATCACCCTGCCCCATTCTCCCGCTTTCCATCACCCAGCCCCATTCTCCTTCTTTCCATCACCCCACCCAATTCTCCCGCTTTCCATCACCCCGCCCCATTCTCCCTCTTTCTATCACCCCGCCCCATTCTCCCGCTTTCCACCACCCCGCTCCATTCTCCCGCTTTCCATCACCCCGCTCAATTCTCCCGCTTTCCATCACCCCTCCCCATTCTCCCTCTTTCCATCACCCCGCCACATTCTCCCGCTTTCCATCATCCCGCCTCATTATCCCTCTTTCCATCACCCCGCCCCATTCTCCCGCTTTCCATCACATCGCCCCATTCTCCCTCTATCCACCACCCCGCCCTATTCTCCCTCTTTCCATCACCCCGCCCCATTCTCCCGCTTTCCATCACCCCGCCCCATTCTCCCGCTTTCCATCACCCCGCCCCATTCTCCCGCTTTCCATCACCCCTCCCCATTCTCCCGCTTTCCATCACCTCGCCCCATTCTCCCGCTTTCCATCACCTCGCCCCATTCTCCCTCTTTCCATCACCCCGCCCTATTCTCCCTCTTTCCATCACCCCGCCCCATTCTCCCGCTTTCCATCACCACGCCCCATTCTCCCGCTTTCCATCACCCCACCCCATTCTCCCGCTTTCCATCACCCGCTCCATTCTCCCGCTTTCCATCACCCCGCCCAATTCTCCCTCTTTCCATCACCCCTCCCCATTCTCCCGCTTTCCATCACCCCACCCCATTCTCCCGCTTTCCATCACCCCGCCCCATTCTCCCGCTTTCCATCACCCCGCCCCATTCTCCCGCTTTCCATCACCCCGCCCCATTCTTCCCGCTTTCCATCACCCGCCCCATTCTCCGCTCCATCACCCCGCCCCATCACCCCGCCCCATTCTCCTCCTTCCATCAACCCGCCCCATTCTCCCGCTTTCCTTCACCCCGCCCCATTCTCCCTCTTTCCATCACCCCGCCCCATTCTTCCGCTTTTCATCACCCTACCCCATTCTCCCTCTTTCCATCACCCCGCCCCATTCCCCCTCTTTACATCAGCCCGCCCCATTCTCCCGCTTTTCTTCTACCCGCCCCATTCTTCCGCTTTTCATGACCCCGCCCCATTCTCCCGCTTTCCATCACCCCGCCCCATTCTCCCGCTTTCCATCACCCCGCCCCTTTCTCCCGCTTTCCATCACCCCGCCCCATTCTCCCGCTTTCTATCACTCCGCCCCATTCTCCCGCTTTCCATCACCCCGCCCCATTCTCAAGCTTTCCATCACCCCGCCCCATTCTCCCGCTTTCCATCACCCCGCCCCATTCTCCCGCTTTCCATCACCCCGCCCCATTCTCCCGCTTTCCATCAGCCCGCCCCATTCTCCCGCTTTCCATCACCCCGCCCCATTCTCCCGCTTTCCATCACCCCGCCCCATTCTCCGCTTTCCATCACCCCGCCCCTTTCTCCCTCTTTCCATTACCCCGCCCCATTCTCCTGATTTCCATCACCCCACCCCATTCTCCCGTTTTCCATCACCCCGCCCCATTCTCCCCCTTTCCATCACCCCGCCCCATTCTCCCTCTTTTCATCACCCCGCCCCATTCTCCCTCTTTCTATCACCCCACCCCATTCTCCCTCTTCCCATCGCCCCGCCCCATTCTTCCGCTTTTCATCACCCCGCCCCATTCTCCCTCTTTCCATCACCCCGCCCCATTCCCCCTCTTCCATCAGCCTGCCCCTATTCTCCCGCTCTCCATCACCCCGCCCTATTCTCCCTATTTCTATCACCTCGCCCCATTCTCCCGCTATCCATCACCCCCCCCCCATTCTCCCGCTTTCCATCACCCCGCCCCATTCTCCCGCTTTCCATCACCCCGCCCCATTCTCCCGCTTTCCATCACCCCAAGCCATTCTCCCTCTTTCCATCACCCCGCCTCATTCTCCCGCTTTCCATCACCCCGCCCCATTCTCCCGCTTTCCATCACCCCGCCCCATTGTCCCTCTTTCCATCACCCCGCCCCATTCTCCCTCTTTCCATCACCCTGCCCTATTCTCCCTCTTTCCATCACCCCACCCCATTCTCCCGCTTTCAATCACCCCGCCCCATTCTCCCGCTTTCCATCACCCCGCCACATTCTCCCGCTTTCCATCACCCCGCCCCATTCTCCCGCTTTCCATCACCCCGCCCCATTCTCCCTCTTTCCATCACCCCGCCCTAATCTCCCTCTTTCCATCACCCCGACCCATTCTCCCGCTTTCCATCACCCCGCCCCATTCTTCCGCTTTCCATCACCCCGCCCCATTCTCCCTCTTTCCATCTCCCCGCCCCATTCTCCCTCTCTCCATCACCCCGCCCCATTCTCCCGCTTTCCATCTCCCCGCCCCATTCTCCCGCTTTCAATCACCCTGCCCAATTCTCCCGCTTTCCATCACCCCGCCCCATTCTCCCTGTTTCCATCAGCCCGCCCCATTCTCCCCTTTTCCATCACCCCGCCCCATTCTCCCTCTTTCCATTACCCCGCCCCATTCTCCCGCTTTTTCATCACCCCGCCCCATTCTCCCTCTTTCCATAACCCCGCCCTATTCTCCCTCTTTCCATCACTGCGCCCCATTCTCCCTCTTTCCATCACCCCACCCCATTCTCCCGTTTTCCATCACCCCGCCCCATTCTCCCGCTTTCCTTCACCCCGCCCCATTCTCCCGCTTTCCATCACCCCGCCCTATTCTCTCTCTTTCCTTCACCCTGCCCCATTCTCCCGCTTTCCATCACCCAGCCCCATTCTCCTGCTTTCCATCACCCAGCCCCATTCTCCCGCTTTCCATCACCCCGCCCCATTCTCCCTCTTTCCATCACCCCGCCCAATTCTCCCTCTTTCCATCAACCCTCCCCATTCTCCCGCTTTCCATCACCCCGCCCCATTCTCCCTCTTTCCATCACCCCGCCCCATTCTCCCGCTTTCCATCACCCCGCCCCATTCTCCCTCTTTCCATCACCCCGCCCCATTCTCCCTCTTTCCATCACCCCTCCCCCATCTCCCGCTTTCCATCACCCCGCCCCATTCTCCCTCTTTCCATCACCCCGCCCAATTCTCCCTCTTTCCATCACACCTCCCCATTCTCCCGCTTTCCATCACCCCGCCCCATTCTCCCTCTTCCATCACCCCGCCCCATTCTCCCGCTTTCCATCACCCCGCCCCATTCTCCCTCTTTCCATCACCCCGCCCAATTCTCCCTCTTTCCATCACCCCTCCCCATTCTCCCTCTTTCCATCACCCCGCCCCATTCTCCCGCTTTCCATCACCCCGCCCATTCTCTCTCTTTCCATCACCCCGCCCCATTCTCCCGCTTTCCATCACCCCGCCCCATTCTCCCGCTTTCCATCACCCCGCCCCATTGTCCCTCTTTCCATCACCCTGCCCCATTCTCCCGCTTTCCACCACCCCGCTCCATTCTCTTGCTTTCCATCACCCCGCCCAATTCTCCCTCTTTCCATCACCCCACCCCATTCTCCCTCTTTCCATCACCCCGCCCCATTCTCCCGCTTTCCATCACACCACCCCATTCTCCCGCTTTCCATCACCACGCCCCATTTTCCCTCTTTCCATCACCCCGCCCCATTCTCCCGCTTTCCATCACCCCGCCCCATTCTCCCGCTTTCTTTCACCCCGCCCCATTCTCCCGCTTTCCATCACCCCGCCCTATTCTCCCTCTTTCCTTCACCCTGCCCCATTCTCCCGCTTTCCATCACCCAGCCTCATTCTCCTGCTTTCCATCACCCAGCCCCATTCTCCCGCTTTCCATCACCCCGCCCCATTCTCCCTCTTTCCATCACCCCGCCCAATTCTCCCTCTTTCCATCACCCCTCCCCATTCTCCCTCTTTCCATCACCCCGCCACATTCTCCCGCTTTCCATCAACCCGCCTCATTATCCCTCTTTCCATCACCCCGCCCCATTCTCCCGCTTTCCATCACACCGCCCCATTCTCCCTCTATCCATCACCCCGCCCTATTCTCCCGCTTTCCATCACCCCGCCCCCATTCTCCCGCTTTCCATCACCCCTCCCCATTCTCCCGCTTTCCATCACCCCGCCGCATTCTCCCGCTTTCCATCACCCCGCCCCATTCTCCGTCTTTCCATCACCCCGCCCTATTCTCCCTCTTTCCATCACCTCTCTCCATTCTTCCGCTTTCCATCACCCCGCCCCATTCTCCCGCTTTCCATCACCCCGCCCCATTCTCCCGCTTTCCATCACCCCTCTCCATTCTCCCGCTTTCCATCACCCGGCCCAGTTCTCCCTCTTTCCATCACCCCTCCCCATTCTCCCTCTTCCATCACCCCGCCCCATTCTCCCGCTTTCCATCACCCCGCCCCATTCTCCCTCTTTCCATCACCCCGCCCCATTCTCCCGCTTTCCATCACCCCGCCCCATTCTCCCGCTTTCCATCACCCCGCCCCATTGTCCCTCTTTCCATCACCCTGCCCCATTCTCCCGCTTTCCACCACCCCGCTCCATTCTCTTGCTTTCCACCACCCCGCCCAATTCTCCCTCTTTTCATCACTCCGCCCCATTCTCCCTCTTTCCATCACCCCGCCCCATTCTCCCGCTTTCCATCACACCACCCCATTATCCCGCTTTCCATCACCACGCCCCATTTTCCCTCTTTCCATCACCCCGCCCCATTCTCCCACTTTCCATCACCCCGCCCCATTCTCCCGCTTTCCATCACCCCGCTCCATTCTCCCGCATTCCATCACCCCGCCCAATTCTCCCTCTTTCCATCACCCCTCCCCATTCTCCCTCTTTCCATCACCCCGCCCCATTCTCCCGCTTTCCATCACCCCGCCCCATTCTCCCTCTTTCCATCACCCCGCCCCATTCTCCCGCTTTCCATCACCCCGCCCCATTCTCCCTTTTCCATCACCCCGCCCCATTCTCCCGCTTTCCATCACCCTGCCCCATTCTCTCTCTTTCCATCAACACACCCCATTCTTCCTCTTTCCATCACCCCGCCCATTCTCCCCCAATCCATCACCTCGCCCATTTTCACTCATTCCATCACCCCGTCCCATTCTCCCCGCTTTCCATCACCCCGCCCCATTCTCCCGCTTTCCATCACCCCACTCCATTCTCCCGCTTTCCATCACCCTGCCCAATTCTCCCTCTTTCCATCACCCCTCCCCATTCTCCCTCTTTCCATCACCAAGCCCCATTCTCCCGCTTTCCATCACCCCGCCCCATTCTCCCTCTTTCCATCACCCCGCCCCTTCTTCCTCTTTCCATCACCCCGCCCCATTCTCCCTCTATCCACCACCCCGACCCATTCTCCCTGTTTTCATCACCCCGCCCCATTCTCCCGTTTTCCATCACCCCGCCCCATTCTCCCTCTTTCCATCACCCCGCCCCATTCTCCCTCTTTCCATCACCCCGCCCCATTCTCCCGCTTTCCATCACCCCGCCCTGTTCTCCCTCTTTCCATCACCCCGCCCCATTCTCCCTCTTTCCATCACCCCGCCCCATTCTCCCGCTTTCCATCACCCCGCCCCACTCTCCATCTTTCCATCACTCCGCCCCATTCTCCCGCCTTCCATCACCCCGCCCCATTCTCCATCCTTCCATCACCCCGCCCCATTCTCCCTCTTTCCATCACCCCGCCCGATTCTCCAGCCTTCCATCACCCAGCCCCATTCTCCCTCTTTACATCACCCCGCCCCATTCTCCCGCTTTCCATCACCCCGCCCATTCTCCCTCTTTCCATCACCCCGCCCCATTCTCCCTCTATCCATCACCCCGCCCCATTCTCCCGCTTTCCATCACCCCGTCCCATTCTCCCGCTTTCCATCACCCCGCCCCATTCGCTTTCTTTCCATCACCTCGCCCCATTCTCCCGCTTTCCATCACCCCGCCCCATTCTCCCGCTTTCCATCACCCCGCCCCATTCTCCCGCTTTCCATCACCTGCCCATTCTCCGCTTTCCATCACCCCGCCCCATTCTCCCGCTTTCCATCTCCCCACCCCATTCTCCCTCCTTCCATCACCCCGCCTCATTCTCCCTGCTTCCATCACCCCGCCCCGTTCTCCCGCTTTCCATCACCCCGCCCCATTCTCCCGCTTTCCATCACCCTGCCCCATTCTCCCTCTTTCCATCACCCCGCCCTATCCTCTCTCTTTCCATCACCCCGCACCATTTTCCCGCTTTCCATCACCCCGCACCATTCTCCCTCTTTCCATCACCGCACCCCATTCTACTGCTTTCCATGACCCCGCCCCATTCTCCCGCTTTCCATCACCCCGCCCTGTTCTCCCTCTTTCCATCACCCCGCCCCATTCTCCCTCTTTCCATCACCCCGCCCCATTCTCCCGCTTTCCATCACCCAGCCCCACTCTCCATCTTTCCATCACTCCGCCCCATTCTCCCGCCTTCCATCACCCCGCCCCATTCTCCATCCTTCCATCACCCCGCCCCATTCTCCCTCTTTCCATCACCCCGCCCAATTCTCCAGCCTTCCATCACCCAGCCCCATTCTCCCTCTTTACATCACCCCGCCCCATTCTCCCGCTTTCCATCACCCTGCCCCATTCTCCCTCTTTCCATCACCCCGCCCCATTCTCCCTCTATCGATCACCCCGCCCCATTCTCCCGCTTTCCTTCACCCCGTCCCATTTTCCCGCTTTCCATCACCCCGCCCCATTCTCTTTCTTTCCATCACCTTGCCCCATTCTCCCGCTTTCCATCACCCCGCCCCATTCTCCCGCTTTCCATCACCCCGCTCCATTCTCCCGCATTCCATCATCCCGCCCAATTCTTCCTCTTTCCATCACCCTCCCCATTCTCCCTCTTTCCATCACCCCGCCCCATTCTCCCGCTTTCCATCACCCCGCCCCATTTTCCCTCTTTCCATCACCCCGCCCCATTCTCCCGCTTTCCATCACCCCGCCCCATTCTCCCTTTTCCATCACCCCGCCCCATTCTCCCGCTTTCCATCACCCCACCCCATTCTCCCTCTTCACATCACCCCGCCCCATTCTTCCTCTTTCCATCACCCCGCCCCATTCTCCCCCAATCCATCACCTCGCCCCATTTTCACTCATTCCATCACCCCGTCCCATTCTCTCGCTTTCCATCACCCCGCCCCATTCTCCCGCTTTCCATCACCCCACTCCATTCTCCTGCTTTCCATCACCCTGCCCAATTCTCCCTCTTTCCATCACCCCTCCCCATTCTCCCTCTTTCCATCACCAAGCCCCATTCTCCCGCTTTCTATCACCCCGCCCCATTCTCCCTCTTTCCATCACCCCGCCCCTTTCTTCCTCTTTCCATCACCCCGCCCCATTCTCCCTCTTTCCACCACCCTGCCCCATTCTCCCTGTTTTCATCACCCCGCCCCATTCTCCTGTTTTCCATCACCCCGCCCCATTCTCCCGCTTTCCATCACCCCGCCCCGTTCTCCCTCTTTCCATCACCCCGCCCCATTCTCCCGCTTTCCATCACCCCGCCCTGTTCTCCCTCTTTCCATCACCCCGCCCCATTCTCCCTCTTTCCATCACCCCGGCCCATTCTCTCGCTTTCCATCACCCCGCCCCATTCTCCCGCTTTCCATCACCTCGCCCCATTCTCCCGCTTTCCATCACCCCGCCCCATTCTCCCGCTTTCCATCACCCAGCCCCATTCTCCTGCTTTCCATCACCCCGCCCCATTCTCCCGCTTTCCATCACCCCGCCCCATTCTCCCGCTTTTCCATCACCCCGCCCCATTCTCCCTCCTTCCATCACCCCGCCACATTCTCCCGCTTTCCATCACCCCGCCCCATTCTCCCGCTTCCCATAACCCCACCCCATTCTCCTGCTTTCCATCACCCCACCACATTTTCCTGCTTTCTATCACCCCGCCCTATTCTCCCTCCTTCCATCACCCCGCCCCATTCTCCCGCTTTCCATCACCCCGCCCCATTCTCCCGGTTTCCGTCACCCCGCCTCATTCTCCCGCTTTCCATCACCCCGCCCCATTCTCCCGCTTTCCATCACCCCGCCCCATTCTCCCGCATTCCATCATCCCGCCCCATTCTCCCTCCTTCCATCACCCCGCCCCATTCTTGCGCTTTCCATCACCCGCCCCATTCTCCCGCTTTCCATCACCTCGCCCCATTCTCCCGCTTTCCATCACCCCGCCCCATTCTTTTGCTTTCCATCACCCCGCCCCATTCTCCCGCTTTCCATCACCCCGCCCCATTCTCCCGCTTTCCATCACCCCGCCCCATTCTCCCTCCTTCCATCACCCCGCCCCATTCTCCCGCTTTCCATCACCCCGCTCCATTCTCCCGCTTTCCATCACCCCGCCCCATTCTCCCGCTTTCCATCACCCCGCCCCATTCTCCCGCTTTCCATCACTCCGCCCCATTCTCCCGCTTTCCATCACCCTGTCCCATTCTCCCACTTTCCATCACCCCGCCCCATTCTCCCTCCTTCCATCACCCTGCCTCATTCTCCCTCCTTCCATCACCCCGCCCCATTCTCCCGCTTTCCATCACCCCGCCCCATTCTCCCGCTTTCCATCACCCAGCCCCATTCTCCCGCTTTCCATCACCCCGCCCCATTCTCCCGCTTTCCATCACCCTGCCCCAATCTCCCGCTTTCCATCACCGCGCCCCATTCTCCCTCCTTCCATCACCCCGCCCCATTCTTCCGCTTTCCATCACCCCGCCCCATTCTCCTGCTTTCCATCTCCCAGCCCCATTCTCCCGCTTTCCATCACCCCGCCCCATTCTCCCGCTTTCCATCACCCCACCCCATTCTCCTCCTTCCATCACCCCGCCCCATTCTCCCTCCTTCCATCACCCCGCCCCATTCTCCGGCTTTCCATCACCCCGCCCCATTCTCCCTCCTTCCATCACCCCGCCCCATTCTCCCTCCTTCCATCACCCCACCCCATTCTCCCGCTTTCCATCACCGCGCCCCATTCTCCCGCTTCCCATAACCCCACCCCATTCTCCCGCTTTCCATCACCCCGCCCCATTCTCCCGCTTTCTATCACCCCGCCCCATTCTCCCTCCTTCCATCACCCCGCCCTATTCTCCCGCTTTCCATCACCCCGCCCCATTCTCCCGATTTCCATCACCCCGCCCCATTCTCCCGCTTTCCATCACCCCGCCCCATTCTCCCGCTTTCCATCACCCCGCCCCATTCTCCCTCCTTCCATCACCCCGCCCCATTCTCCCTCCTTCCATCACCCCGCCCCATTCTCCCGCTTTCCATCACCCCGCCCCATTCTCCCTCCTTCCATCACCCCGCCCCATTCTCCCTCCTTCCATCACCCCGCCCCATTCTCCCGCTTTCCATCATCCCGCCCCATTTTCCCGCTTCCAATAACCCCACCCCATACTCCCGCTTTCCATCACCCCGCCAAATTCTCCCGCTTTCTATCACCCCGCCCCATTCTCCCTCCTTCCATCACCCCGCCCCATTCTCCCGCTTTCCATCACCCCGCCCCATTCTCCCGATTTCCATCACCCCGCCCTATTCTCCCGCTTTCCATCACCCGAGCCCCATTCTCCCGCTTTCCATCACCCCGCCCCATTCTCCCGCTTTCCATCATCCCGCCCCATTCTCCCTCCTTCCATCACCCCGCCCTATTCTTCCGCTTCCCATCATCCCGCCCCATTCCCCCGCTTTCCATCACCCCTCCCCATTCTCCCTCCTTCCATCACCCCGCCCCATTCTCCCACCTTCCATCACCCCGCCCTATTCTCCCGCTTTCCATCACCCCGCCCCATTCTCCCGATTTCCATCACCCCGCCCCATTCTCCCGCCCCATTCTCCCACTTTCCATCACCCTGCCCCATTCTCCCTCCTTCCATCACGCCGCCCCATTCTCCCTCCTTCCATCACCCCGCCCCATTCTCTCGCTTTCCATCACCCCGCCCCATTCTCCCGATTTCCATCACCCTGCCCCATTCTCCCGCTTTCCATCACCCCGCCCCATTCTTCCGCTTCCCATCATCCCGCCCCATTCCCCCGCTTTCCATCACCCCTCCCCATTCTCCCTCCTTCCATCACCCCGCCCCATTCTCTCGCTTTCCATCACCCCGCCCCATTCTCCCGCTTTCCATCACCCCGCCCCATTCTCCCGCTTTCCATCACTCCGCCCCATTATCCCTCCTTCCATCACCCCGCCCCATTCTCCCTCCTTCCATCACCCCGCCCCATTCTCCCGCTTTCCATCACCCCGCCTCATTCTCCCGCTTCCCATAACCCCACCCCATTCTCCCGCTTTCCATCACCCCGCCACATTCTCCCACTTTCCATCACCCCGCCCCCTTCTCTCTCCTTCCATCACCCCGCCCCATTCTCCCTCCTTCCATCACCCCGCCCCATTCTTTTGCTTCCCATCATCCCGCCCCATTCTCCCGCTTTCCATCACCCCGCCCCATTCTCCCGCTTTCCATCACCCCTCCCCTTTCTCCCGCTTTCCATCTCCCCGCCCCATTCTCCCGCTTTCCATCACCCCGCCCCATTCTCCCGCTTTCCATCACCCCGCCCCATTCTTCCGCTTCCCATCATCTCGCCCCATTCCCCCGCTTTCCATCACCCCTCCCCATTCTCCCTCCTTCCATCACCCGGCCCCATTCTCTCGCTTTCCATCACCCCGCCCCATTCTCCCGCTTTCCATCACGCCGCCCCATTCTCCCGCTTTCCATCACCCCGCCCCATTCTCCCTCCTTCCATCACCCCGCCCCATTCTCCCGCTTTCCATCACCCCGCCCCATTCTCCCGCTTTCCATCACCCCGCCCCATTCTTTTGCTTTCCATCACCCCGCCCCATTCTCCCGCTTTCCATCACCCTGCCCCATTCACCCGCTTTCCATCACCCGCCCCATTCTCCCGCTTTCCATCACCCCGCCCCATTCTCCCGCTTTCAATCACCTCGCTCCATTCTCCCGCCTTCCATCACCCCGCCCCATTCTCCCGCTTTCCATCACCCCGCCCCATTCTCCCGCTTTCCATCACTCCGCCCCATTCTCCCGCTTTCCATCACCCCGACCCATTCTCCCACTTTCCATCACCCCGCCCCATTCTCCCTCCTTCCATCACCCCGCCTCATTCTCCCTCCTTCCATCACCCCGCCCCATTCTCCCGCTTTCCATCACCCAGCCCCATTCTCCCGCTTTCCATCACCCCGCCCCATTTTCCCGCTTTCCATCACCCGCCCCATTTTCCCGCTTTCCATCACTCGCCCCAATCTCCCGCTTTTCATCACCCCGCCCCATTCTCCCTCCTTCCATCACCCCGCCCCATTCTCCCGCTTTCCATCACCCCGCCCCATTCTCCCGCTTTCCATCACCCCGCCCCATTCTCCCGCTTTCCATCACTCCGCCCCATTCTCCCGCTTTCCATCACCCCGACCCATTCTCCCACTTTCCATCACCCCGCCCCATTCTCCCTCCTTCCATCACCCCGCCTCATTCTCCCTCCTTCCATCACCCCGCCCCATTCTCCCGCTTTCCATCACCCAGCCCCATTCTCCCGCTTTCCATCACCCCGCCCCATTTTCCCGCTTTCCATCACCCGCCCCATTTTCCCGCTTTCCATCACTCGCCCCAATCTCCCGCTTTTCATCACCCCGCCCCATTCTCCCTCCTTCCATCACCCCGCCCCATTCTCCCGCTTTCCATCACCCCGCCCCATTCTCCCGCTTTCCATCACTCAGCCCCATTCTCCCGCTTTCCATCACCCCGCCCCATTCTCCCGCTTTCCATCACCCCGCCCCATTCTCCCGCTTTCCATCACCCCACCCCATTCTCCCTCCTTCCATCACCCCGCCCCATTCTCCCTCCTTCCATCACCCTGCCCCATTCTCCCGCTTTCCATCACCCCGCCCCATTCTCCCTCCTTCCATCACCCCGCCCCATTCTCCCTCCTTCCATCACCCCGCCCCATTCTCCCGCTTTCCATCACCCCACCCCATTCTCCCTCCTTCCATCACCCCGCCCCATTCTCCCTCTTTCCATCACCCCGCCCCATTCTCACGCTTTCCATCACCCCGCCCCATTCTCCCTCTTTCCATCACCCCGCCCCATTCTCCCGCTTTCCATCACCCCGCCCAATTCTCCCGCTTTCTATCACCCCGCCCCATTCTCCCTCCTTCCATCACCCCGCCCCATTCTCCCGCTTTCCATCACCCCGCCCCATTCTCCCGATTTCCATCACCCCGCCCCATTCTCCCGCTTTCCATCACCCCGCCCCATTCTCCCGCTTTCCATCACCCCGCCCCATTCTCCCGCTTTCCATCATCCCACCCCATTCTCCCTCCTTCCATCACCCCACCCTATTCTTCCGCTTCCCATCATCCCGCCCCATTCCCCCGCTTTCCATCACCCCTCCCCATTCTCCCTCCTTCCATCACCCCGCCCCATTCTCTCGCTTTCCATCACCCCGCCCCCATTCTCCCGCTTTCCATCACCCCGCCCCATTCTCCCGCTTTCCATCACTCCGCCCCATTATCCCTCCTTCCATCACCCCGCCCCATCCTCCCTCCTTCCATCACCCCGCCCCATTCTCCCTCCTTCCATCACCCCGCCCCATTCTCCTGCTTTCCATCACCCCGCCTAATTCTCCCACTTCCCATAACCCCACCCCGTTCTCCCGCTTTCCATCACCCCGCCACATTCTCCCACTTTCCATCAGCCCGCCCCCTTCTCTCTCCTTCCATCACCCCGCCCCATTCTCCCGCTTTCCATCAGCCCGCCCCATTCTCCCGCTTTCCATCACCCCTCCCCTTTCTCCCGCTTTCCATCTCCCCGCCCCATTCTCCCGCTTTCAATCACCCCGCCCCATTCTCTCGCTTTCCATCACCCCGCCCCACTCTTCCGCTTCCCAACATCCCGCCCCATTCACCCGCTTTCCATCACCCCTCCCCATTCTCCCTCCTTCCATCACCCCGCCCCATTCTCTCGCTTTCCATCACCCCGCCCCATTCTCCCACTTTCCATCACCCCGACCCATTCTCCCGCTTTCCATCACCCCACCCCATTCTCCCTCCTTCCATCACCCCGCCCCATTCTCCCTCTTTCCATCACCCCGCCCCATTCTCCCTCTTTCCATCACCCCGCCCCATTCTCACGCTTTCCCTCACCCCGCTCTATTCTCCCGCTTTCCATCACCCCGCCACATTCTCCCACTTTCCATCAGCCCGCCCCCTTCTCTCTCCTTCCATCACCCCGCCCCATTCTCCCTCCTTCCATCACCCTGCCCCATTCTCCCGCTTTCCATCAGCCCGCCCCATTCTCCCGCTTTCCATCACCCCTCCCCTTTCTCCCGCTTTCCATCTCCTCGCCCCATTCTCCCGCTTTCAATCACCCCGCCCCATTCTCTCGCTTTCCATCACCCCGCCCCACTCTTCCGCTTCCCAACATCCCGCCCCATTCACCCGCTTTCCATCACCCCTCCCCATTCTCCCTCCTTCCATCACCCCGCCCCATTCTCTCGCTTTCCATCACCCCGCCCCATTCTCCCGCTTTCCATCACCCCGACCCATTCTCCCGCTTTCCATCACCCCACCCCATTCTCCCTCCTTCCATCACCCCGCCCCATTCTCCCTCTTTCCATCACCCCGCCCCATTCTCCCTCTTTCCATCACCCCGCCCCATTCTCACGCTTTCCCTCACCCCGCCCTATTCTCCCTCTTTCCATCACCCCGCCCCATTCTCCCGCTTTCCATCACCCCACCCAATTCTCCCACTTTCCATCACCCCGTCCCATTCTCCCGTTTTCCATCACCCCGCCCCATTCTCTCGCTTTCCATCACCCCGCCTTATTCTCCCGCTTTCCATCACCCCGCCCCATTCTCACGATTTCCATCACCCCGCCCCATTCTCCCGCTTTCCATCACCTCGCCCCATTCTCCCGCTTTCCATCACCCCGCCCCATTCTCCCGCTTTCCAACACCCCGCCTCATTCTCCCGCTTTCCATCACCCCGCCCCATTCTCACTCTTTCCATCACCCCGCCCCATTCTCCCTCTTTCCATCACCCCGCCCCATTCTCCCGCTTTCCATCACCCCGCCCCATTCTCCCTCTTTCCATAACCCCGCCCCATTCTCCCGCTTTCCATCACCCCGCCCCATTCTCCCTCTTTCCATCACCCCGCCCCATTCTCCCTCTTTCCATCACCCCGCCCCATTCTCCCGATTTCCGTCACCCCGCCCCATTCTCCCTCTTTCCATCACCCCGCCCCATTCTTCCTCTTTCCATCTCCCCGCCCCTTTCTCCCTCTTTCCATCACCCCGCCCCATTCTCCCTCTTTCCATCACCCCGCCCCATTCTCCCTCTTTCCATCACCCCGCCCCATTCTTCCGATTTCCGTCACCCTGCCCCATTCTCCCTCTTTCCATCATCCCGCCCCATTCTCCCGATTTCCTTCATCCTGCCCCTTCTCCCTCTTTCCATCACCCCGCCCCATTCTCCCTCTTTCCATCACCCCGACCCATTCTCCCGCTTTCCATCACCCGCCCCCTTCTCCCGCTTTCCATCACCCCGCCCCATTCTTCCTCTTTCCATCTCCCCGCACCATTCTCCCTCTTTCCATCACCCCGCCCCATTCTCCCTCTTTCCATCACCCCGCCCCATTCTCCCTCTTTCCATCACCCTGCCCCATTCTCCCGATTTCCGTCACCCCGCCCCATTCTTCCTCTTTCCATCACCCCGCCCCATTCTCCCTCTTTCCTTCACCCCGCCCCATTCTCCCTCTTTCCATCACCCCGCCCCATTCTCCCGCCTTCCTTCACCCCGCCCCATTCTCCCTCTTTCCATCACCCCGCCCCATTCTCACGCTTTCCATCACCCCGCCCCATTCTCCCTCTTTCCATCACCCCGCCCCATTCTCCCGCTTTCCATCACCCCGCCCAATTCTCCCACTTTCCATCACCCCGTCCCATTCTCCCGGTTTCCATCACCCCGCCCCATTCTCTCGCTTTCCATCACCCCGCCCCATTCTCCCGCTTTCCATCACCTCGCCCCATTCTGCCGCTTTCCATCACCCCGCCCCATTCTCCCTCTTTCCATCACCCCGCCCCATACTCCCGCTTTCCATCACCCCGCTCCATTCTCCCGCTTTCCATCACCCCGCCCAATTCTCCCTATGTCCATCACCCCTCAACATTCTCCCTCTTTCCATCACCCCGCCCCATTCTCCCGCTTTCCATCACCCTGCCCCATTCTCCCTCTTTCCATCATCCCGCCCCATCCTCCCTCTTTCCATCACCCCGCACCATTCTCCCGCTTTCCATCACCCCGCACCATTCTCCCTCTTTCCATCACCCCGCCCCATTCTACTGCTTTCCATCACCCCGTCCCATTCTTCCGCTTTCCATCACCCAGCTCCATTCTCCCGCTTTCCATCACCCCCCCCAATTTTCCCTCTTTCCATCACCCCGCCCCATTCTCCCTCTTTCCATCGCCCCGCCCCACTCTCCCCCAATCCATCACCCCGCCCCATTTTCACTCTTTCCATCACCCCATCCCGTTCTCCCGCTTTCCATCACCCCGCCCCATTCTCCCGCTTTCCATCACCCCGCTCCATTCTCCCGCTTTCCAACACCCCGCCCAATTCTCCCTCTTTCCATCACCCCTCCCCATTCTCCCTCTTTCCATCAGCCCGCCCCGTTCTCCCGCTTTCCATCACCCCGCCCCATTCTCCCACTTTCCATCACCCCGTCCCATTCTCCCGTTTTCCATCACCCCGCCCCATTCTCTCGCTTTCCATCACCCCGCCTTATTCTCCCGCTTTCCATCACCCCGCCCCATTCTCCCGATTTCCATCACCCCGCCCCATTCTCCCGCTCTCCATCACCTCGCCCCATTCTCCCGCTTTCCATCACCCCGCCCCATTCTCCCGCTTTCCAACACCCCGCCTCATTCTCCCGCTTTCCATCACCCCGCCCCATTCTCACTCTTTCCATCACCCTGCCCCATTCTCCCTCTTTCCATCACCCCGCCCCATTCTCCCGCTTTCCATCACCCCGCCCCATTCTCCCTCTTTCCATAACCCCGCCCCATTCTCCCGCTTTCCATCACCCCGCCCCATTCTCCCTCTTTCCATCACCCGGCCCCATTCTCCCTCTTTCCATCACCCCGCCCCATTCTCCCGATTTCCGGCACCCCGCCCCATTCTCCCTCTTTCCATCACCCCGCCCCATTCTTCCTCTTTCCATCTCCCTGCCCCATTCTCCCTCTTTCCATCACCCCGCCCCATTCTCCCTCTTTCCACCACCCCGCCCCATTCTCCCTCTTTCCATCACCCCGCCCCATTCTCCCGATTTCCGTCACCCCGCCCCATTCTCCCTCTTTCCAACACCCCGCCCCATTCTCCCGATTTCCGTCATCCTGCCCCATTCTCCCTCTTTCCATCACCCGTGTTGGTGCAACCCTATGGTTTGCACTCGGCTTGTTGTCCGTGTGCGCACATGCGTGTGTGTGTCTTTTGAATCGTATGAGGGCATTGGATAATATATATTTAATGCTTATAATTGTGTGTGAATGTTGAGTCATGATGTCGAGTGTATGTGTCGAGTCAATAGCGAGTTATCGCTAGACGCGTGTTACGCGGTCGTTTGTGTCTCGCGCGCGGTTTCTATTTTGTCGTGCGCGGTTTCTCTTTTGTCCTGTGTCGAACGTTCGGTGTGTCGCAGGTGTGTGCAGCAGACCCATCAAGAACTCAAGGATGAGTTTGTGATGAAGAGCCGAGCCTTGGTGTCAATCCACAAGTGATTTCAAAGCTCGCCAAAAGGGTACACCTCAAGATATTGAAGATAGTTACATTACTTTGTGTAGTGTAACATTTCACTTGGTGTAGGCCCTAGTGAAGGGTAGTTTCGAGACCCTTCGTGGTTGGGGACAGTGTGGCACTGTTCCACATCACTGTACATCGGCTCTTGGGGTTTGTAGGAGCTGGGAGTCATTCCCAACTCGTAACTCTTCCTAACCTTTCCTATCTTGTGTTCTAAGACCATAGTGGCTGCCATAGTGCCGTTCATTCAAACCAACCCTGTGTCGTCAATACTTAGTCAAATTGTGCGATCTAAATTGCCTATTGTAGGCGACAATAAGGCGCTCCAGATCCAAGTTGAAACAAGTCATTTGGAGCTGTGACCAAAACGTTATGAACGTTTGAAGCCGCTGTGCAGAAATCCGACTGTGCACTCTATCTTTCGTTTTAGGCACATTGGAGCCTACTGTGACTATAACAACCCGCCCCATTCTCCCTCTTTCCATCAGCCCGACCCATTCTCCCGCTTTCCATCACCCCGCCCCATTCTCCCGCTTTCCATCACCCCGCCCCATTCTTCCTCTTTCCATCTCCCCGCACCATTCTCCCTCTTTCCATCACCCCGCCCCATTCTCCCTCTTTCCATCACCCCGCCCCATTCTCCCGATTCCCGTCACCCCACCCCATTCTCCCTCTTTCCATCACCCTGCCCCATTCTCCCTCTTTCCGTCACCCCGACCCATTCTCCCGCTTTCCATCACCCCGCCCCATTCTCCCTCTTTCCATCACCCCGCCCCATTCTCCCGCCTTCCAACACCCCCTGGACTATTGGGTGATTGATAGTGGCGCTACCTATAGCATGACACCTCGCCCGGACTTGCTCACCGAACTCGAGCCGTCACCGGTGAAGCATGTCACATCGGCTTTGGGGCAGCAAGCAGAGGTGAAAGGCATGGGGAAGGCCATGTTCAAGGGTGCTGATGGGAAGATGGTGGGCCTCAAGAACGTGCTTTGGGTGCCCAGCCTTGCTGCAAACCTGATTTCCGTGCGGCGGTTGGCAAGGGCCGGCATGGACACTAACTCGAAGGGAGCCAAGACCTACACCGCAAGGCTTGGCGATCGGATTCTTCGGGACCTTCATTAGGACAGAGATGTCTACAACGAGATGTGGCAGATCCCTGTGGTCCCAATGCCTAAGGAGAGGCAAGTGGCAGCAAGCGTCAGCACTAAAGGTGGAGCGGTTGGTAGCGGCGATTGCGCGGACGGTCGCGCTAAGGAGAAGGAGTCCAAGAAGTGCAATCTTGGAGGGACCAGCAAGTTCAGTGAACCTAAGGAGAGTGGTGCAGCAACCAAGGAGCAGCAAAAGGGTGAGGAGAACCCCGAGGCAACAGCGGAGGAGGACTACGGAGAGAGTATGTGGGGCGCTATTGCGAGCGCGGCATTCTCCAATACAACTTCGGCTACGGGGGAGTGTGATTGGCTCACCTTGCATCGGCGCATGGGGCATGTGGCCCTGCCCATCTTGCAGCAGCTAGTGAAGAATGAGATGGTTGCTGGCATACGTGTGAAGGGGGAGCCCGATGAGGTACTTGGCTGCCCGACGTGCATGCAAGCCAAGTTCACCCGTTACCCATTCTCTAGTTCGGAGGCAACGGCTAAGGCACCACTTGATGAGGTGGTGATGGACGTGGTGGGCCCCCTGAAGCTTGGAGCTACTGGAGCTGAGTACTTCCTCACTATTGTTGACGTCTACACCCGTATGACTTGGGTGTACGTGCTGGCCAAGAAGAGCGACGTGGCTGAAACGTTGAAGGCGGATTGGTTCCCGATGGTGGAGCGGCAACAAGACCGCCTAGTCAAGTCAATCCGCACCGATCGAGGGGGAGAGTTCCTGAGCAAGGAGTTTGGGTTGTGGCTGAAGAAGAATGGTATTCGACACTCCCTCACCATGCCATACTCCCCTGCAATGAACGGCATCGCTGAGCGAGCAAACCGCACAATCACGGAGGCGGCACGCGGGTTGCTCATTGAAGCCAGGCTACCCGACTATTTCTGGCCTGATGCGGTGCGGAGCGCATGTGTGGCCAAGAGCAGAGCCTTGACTCATGTGGGAGCAGACAAATGGGTGCCCTATGTGGAGTGGCTAGGAAGGAAGCCAAAGGTGGATATGCTTCGGGTGTTCGGGTGCATGTGCATGGCGCTTGTGCCTAAGCATCTTCGGCACAACAAGCTTGGTGCCAAGGCGGTGTGGGCCGTGCACTTGGGCATGGCTCAAAACAGCAAGGGATGGCTTCTTTGGGACCCATTCACCAAGAAGTTCTTGGTGAGCAGGGACTGCAAGTTCATGGAGAACTTCATGTACAAGGATTGGAAGGCGGAGAATGAGGCGAAGATAGGCGTGCGGTTTGGGGAGGTGAAGAGTTCCGGTTTGGAGCATGTGAAGCTGCCTTTGGATCTGAGCAGCGGCAGCACAACCACGAGGCAATCCTCCCTTGTGAATGGGGGAGAGGAGGCCACTGATGCAGAGGAAGAAGAGGAGGAGGTGCAGTAAGTGAGTGAGCGTGCACCGTCACTCCCTTCCCGTACCACGAGTGCTCCACGGAATCGAGCCACACCGCAGCAACGCCAAGGCCTTCAAGTCGCTGCAGCTGAAGAGGAAGGAAGGGGGAAGAGGAGAGTTCAACCCCCTAATAGGCTGAACTATGATGCACTTGGAAAGCAAGGCAAGACAGCCCTGGCCGGAGCGGCAATGATGGTCGGAGACGATGAGGAGAGTGACTACGAGGAGTGTGCCTTCGCGTTCTTCTCTCCGGTGGAGATGCCGGGAGAACCAGCAACTCTCAAGGAGGCTTTGGAGAGTAGTGATGCTGAGGAGTGGAAGAAGGCTTTGGAGAGTGAGCTGAAGAGCATCAAGGAGAATGACACGTTTGAATTGGTGGAGCTACCGGAGGGGCGTACGGCGATAACGTCCAAGTGGCTCTTCAAAATCAAGTCGGATGCCGACGGCAAGATCGAGCGTTACAAGTCTAGGCTTGTAGCCAAGGGGTACCAGCAGAAGGAGAAGGTGGACTTCAAGGAGCTGTTTGCCCCTGGGGTGAAGCCAACGACGCTGCGAACCCTATTCGCGGGAGCCGCCATCAAAGGATGGGTGGTGAAGCAAATGGACATTGTGACGGCATTCCTTAACGGCATCCTTGAGGAGGAGATTTTTATGGCACAGCCAGAGGGGTTTGATGATGGTAGTGGCAGAGTGTGGAAGCTGAAGAAGGCCCTCTATGGGCTGAAGCAGGCCCCTAGGCAATGGTACATGAAGCTGCGCGAAGTGTTGGAGGAGATCGGCTTCACTCCCTCAACGGCCGATCACTCCTTGTTCATGCTTGGCGAGGGGGAGCAGAGGAGCTTCATGGTGGTTTATGTGGATGACATTCTCATATTCTCACCCTCCTCTGACCTTGTGAAGGAGGTGATGCTGAAGCTGCATGACAAGTTCAAGTGCAAGTCCCTTGGTGACGTGAACTTCTACCTTGGGCTCCACATAGAACGAGACGTGGAGAAGCGGAGCATGCGAGTGCACCAACGGAAGTACCTGGAGGCGTTGGCTGCCAACTTCGGCCAGAGTGAAGGTCATGTGGCTACTCCCTTTCCCTCTGGGTTCAAGTGTGTGAAGGGGCCAGAGGAGGAGAGCGTTGGAGAAGAGGAGAGGCGCCGATTTCACTCGTTGGTGGGCAGCCTCATGTATGCGGCGGTAAACACCCGACCGGACGTCGCGTTTGCTGCCGGGCAGCTGGCTAGGGTTGTGCAATGCCCTAATGAGGAGCAGGTAGCAGCTGGAATGAGGGTGTCCAAGTATCTTGGCCAAACACCGACCGTTGGGCTGCAATACTCGGCGGCGGCACAAAGGCGCCAAAAGGGCGCGGATGGTGTTGAACCCGGGCGTTTGTTCCTCACCACCTACTCGGATGCTTCATATGCATCAGAACCAGAAGACATGACAAGTGTGGGAGGCTTCATATGCTGTGTTGGTGGAGGCCCAACTGCTTGGGAGAGCAAGAAGCAGGTTGACCAAGCTTTGAGCTCGGTGGAGTCCGAATACATGGCACTCTTCCGTGCCGTACGGGAGATTGTGTGGCAGCGGCGTTTGTTGGCTGAATTGGGGGAGGAGCAGCAAGGACCTACCCCACTGTATTGTGACAGCCAGGGTGCCATTGCTCTTGCTAAGAACCCTGTGTTGCATGGACTCACGAAGCACATGAGGGTGAAGTGGCATTGGACGAGGAGCATGGAAACCGCGGGTGAAGTTGAGTTGCGCTACGTGAAGACCACGGGGCAGCCGGCTGACATGATAACCAAGAGGCTGGTGGAGCAGCAGCATTGGAAGTGTTGCAAGCTGGCTGGGATGGCTCTGAACTGACAGAGCAACACATCCTAAGGCCAACAATCCGAGGGGGAGTTTGTTGGTGCAACCCTATGGTTTGCACTCGGCTTGTTGTCCGTGTGCGTGCATGTGTATGTGTCTATGGAATGATATGAGGGCATGGGATAATATATATTTAATGCTTATAATTGTGTGTGAATGTTGAGTCATGATGTCGAGTGTATGTGTCGAGTCAATAGCGAGTTATCGCTAGACGCGTGTTACGCGGTCGTTTGTGTCTCGCGCGCGGTTTCTATTTTGTCGTGCGCGGTTTCTCTTTTGTCCTGTGTCGAACGTTCGGTGTGTCGCAGGTGTGTGCAGCAGACCCATCAAGAACTCAAGGATGAGTTTGTGATGAAGAGCCGAGCCTTGGTGTCAATCCACAAGTGATTTCAAAGCTCGCCAAAAGGGTACACCTCAAGATATTGAAGATAGTTACATTACTTTGTGTAGTGTAACATTTCACTTGGTGTAGGCCCTAGTGAAGGGTAGTTTCGAGACCCTTCGTGGTTGGGGACAGTGTGGCACTGTTCCACATCACTGTACCTCGGCTCTTGGGGTTTGTAGGAGCTGGGAGTCATTCCCAACTCGTAACTCTTCCTAACCTTTCCTATCTTGTGTTCTAAGACCATAGTGGCTGCCATAGTGCCGTTCATTCAAACCAACCCTGTGTCGTCAATACTTGGTCAAATCGTGCGATCTAAATTGCCTATTGTAGGCGACAATAAGGCGCTCCAGATCCAAGTTGAAACAAGTCATTTAGAGCTGTGACCAAAACGTTATGAACGTTTGACGCCGCTGTGCAGAAATCCAACCGTGCACTCTATCTTTCGTTTTAGGCACGTTGGAGCCTACTGTGACTATAACAACCCGCCCCATTCTCCCTCTTTCCATCAGCCCGACCCATTCTCCCGCTTTCCATCACCCCGCCCCATTCTCCCGCTTTCCATCACCCCGCCCCATTCTTCCTCTTTCCATCTCCCCGCACCATTCTCCCTCTTTCCATCACCCCGCCCCATTCTCCCTCTTTCCATCACCCCGCCCCATTCTCCCGATTTCCGTCACCCCACCCCATTCTCCCTCTTTCCATCACCCCGCCCCATTCTCCCTCTTTCCGTCACCCCGACCCATTCTCCCGCTTTCCATCACCCCGCCCCATTCTCCCTCTTTCCATCACCCCGCCCCATTCTCCCGCCTTCCATCACCCCGCCCCATTCTCCCTCTTTCCATCACCCCGCCCCATTCTCACGCTTTCCATCACCCCGTCCCATTCTCCCTCTTTCCATCACCCTGCCCCATTCTCCCGCTTTCCATCACCCTGCCCAATTCTCCCACTTTCCATCACCCCGTCCCATTCTCCCGGTTTCCATCACCCCGCCCCATTCTCTCGCTTTCCATCACCTCGCCTTATTCTCCCGCTTTCCATCACCCCGCCCCATTCTCCCGGTTTCCATCACCCCGCCCCATTCTCCTGCTTTCCATCACCCCGCCCTATTCTCCCTCCTTCCATCACCCCTCCCCATTCTCCCTCTTTCCATTACCCCGCCCCATTCTCCCTCTTTCCGTCACCCCGCCCCATTCTCCCTCTTTCTATCACCCCGCCCCATTCTCCCTCTTTCCATCACCCCGCCACATTCTCCCTCTTTCCATCACCCTGCCCTATTCTCCCTGTTTCCATCACCCTGCCCCATTCACCCTGTTTCCATCACCCCGCCCCATTCTCCCGCTTTCCATCTCCCCGCCCCATTCTTCCTCTTTCCATCTCCCCGCACCATTCTCCCTCTTTCCATCACCCCGCCCCATTCTCCCTCTTTCCATCACCCCGCCCCATTCTCCCTCTTTCCATCACCCCGCCCCATTCTCGCGATTTCCGTCACCCCGCCCCATTCTCCCTCTTTCCATCACCCCGCCCCATTCTCCCTCTTTCCATCACCCTGAACCATTCTCCCGCTTTCCATGACCCCGCCCCATTCTCCCTCTTTCCATCACCCCGCCCCATTCTCCCGCCTTCCATCACCCCGCCCCATTCTCCCTCTATCCATCACGCCGCCCCATTCTCACGCTTTCCATCACCCCGCCCCATTCTCCCTCTTTCCATCACCCCGCCCCATTCTCCCGCTTTCCATCACCCCGCCCAATTCTCCCACTTTCCATCACCCCATCCCATTCTCCCGGTTTCCATCACCCCGCCCCATTCTCTCGCTTTCCATCACCCCGCCTTATTCTTCCGCTTTCCATCACCCCGCCCCATTCTCCCAATTTCTATCACCCCACCCCATTCTCCCGCTTTCCATCACCTCGCCCCATTCTCCCGCTTTCCATCACCCCGCCCCATTCTCCCGCTTTCCATCACCCCGCCCCATTCTCCCGCTTTCCATCACCCTGGCCCATTCTGCCGCTTTCCATCACCCCGCCCCATTCTCCTTCTTTCCACCACCCCGCCCTATACTCCCGCTTTCCATCACCCCACTCCATTCTCCCGCTTTCCACCACCCCGCCCAATTCTCCCTCTGTCCATCACCCCTCAACATTCTCCCTCTTTCCATCACCCCGCCCCATTCTCCCGCTTTCCATCACCCTGCCCCATTCTCCCTCTTTCCATCACCCCGCCCCATCCTCCCTCTTTCCATCACCCCGCACCATTCTCCCGCTTTCCATCACCCCGCACCATTCTTCCTCTTTCCATCACCCCACCCCATTCTACTGCTTTCCATCACCCCGCCCAATTTTACCTCTTTCCATGACCCCGCCCCATTCTCCCTCTTTCCATCACCCCGCCCCATTCTCCCCCAATCCATCACCCCGCCCCATTTTCACTCTTTCCATCACCCCATCCCGTTCTCCCGCTTTCCATCACCCCGCCCCATTCTCCCGCTTTCCATCACCCCACTCCATTCTCCCGCTTTCCAACACCCCGCCCAATTCTCCCTCTTTCCATCACCCCTCCCCATTCTCCCTCTTTCCATCACCCAGCCCCATTCTCCCGCTTTCCATCATCGCACCCCATTCTCCCTCTTTCCATCACCCCACCCCATTCTCTCGCTTTCCATCACCCCGCCCCATTCTCCCGCTTTCCTTCACCCCGCCCCATTCTCTCGCTTTCCATCACCCCGCTCCATTCTCCCGCTTTCCATCACCCCGCCCAATTATCCCTCTTTCCATCACCCCTACCCATTCTCCCTCTTTCCATCACCCCGCCCCATTCTCCCGCTTTCCATCACCCCGCCCCATTCTCCCTCTTTCCATCACCTCGCCCCATCCTCCCTCTTTCCATCACCCCGCACCATTCTCCCGCTTTCCATCACCCCGCCCCATTCTACTGCTTTCCATCACCCTGTCCCATTCTCCCGCTTTCCATCACCCCGCTCCATTCTCCCGCTTTCCATCACCCCGCCCAATTTTCCCTCTTTCCATCACCCCGCCCCATTCTCCCTCTTTCCATCACCCCGCCCCATTCTCCCCCAATCCATCACCCCGCCCCATTTTCACTCTTTCCATCACCCCGCCCCATTCTCCCGCTTTCCATCACCCCGCTCCATTCTCCCGCTTGCCATCACCTTATCCCATTCTCCCGCTTTCTATCACCCCGCCCCATTCTCCCGCTTTACATCACCTGCTCCATTCTCCCGCTTTCCAACACCCCGCCCAATTCTCCCTCTTTTCATCACCCCTCCCCATTCTCCCTCTTTCCATCACCCAGCCCCATTGTCCCGCTTTCCATCACCGCGCCCCATTCTCCTTCTTTCAATCACCGCGCCCCATTCTCCCTCTTTCCATCACCCCGCCCCATTCTCCCGCTTTCCATCACCCCGCCCCATTCTCCCGCTTTCCATCACCCCGCTCCATTCTCCCGCTTTCCATCACCGCGCCCAATTCTCCCAATTTCCATCACCCCTCCCCATTCTCCCTCTTTCCATCACCCCGCCCCATTCTCCCGCTTTCCATCACCCCGCCCCATTCTCCCTCTTTTTATCACCTCGCCCCATCCTCCCTCTTTCTATCACCCCGCACCATTCTCCCGCTTTCCATTACCCCGCACCATTCTCCCTCTTTCCATCACCCCGCCCCATTCTACTGCTTTCCATCACCCCGTCCCATTCTCCCGCTTTCCATCACCCCGCTCCATTCTCCCGCTTTCCATCACCCCGCCCAATTTTCCCTCTTTCCATCACCCCGACCCAATCTCCCTCTTTCTATCACCCCGCCCCATTCTCCCCCAATCCATCACCCCGCCCCATTTTCACTCTTTCCATCGCCCCGTCCCATTCTCCCGCTTTCCATCACCCCGCCCCATTCTCCCGCTTTCCATTACCCCGCTTCATTCTCCCGCTTTCCATCACCCCGCCCAATTCTCCCTCTTTCCATCACCCCTCCCCATTCTCCCTCTTTCCATCACCCCGCCCCATTCTCCCCCAATCCATCACCCCGCCCCATTTTCACTCTTTCCATCGCCCCGTCCCATTCTTCCGCTTTCCATCACCCCGCCCCATTCTCCCGCTTTCCATCACCCTGCTCCATTCTCCCGCTTTCCATCACCCCGCCCCATTGTCCCTCTTTCCATCACCTCGCCCCATTCTCCCGCTTTCCATCACCCCGCCCCATTCTCCCTCTTTCCATCACCCCGCCCCATTCTCCGGCTTTCCATCACCCCGCCCCATTCTCCTGCTTTCCATCACCCCGCTCCATTCTGTCAATGGGAGTTGTGTTTGGCCCCGTCCTCGCTTGGGCGGAGCTGACCGTGGGAGCCACAAAATTGCAGTGGTCCGTGGGGGCCACGAAACCGCGGGAGGACCGCGACGTGCGCGAATGTCGCCGGGAATTTCGTCTACGATGGCGATCTCGGGGGTGGTATCCCGAGGTCGATGTGGCTGGTGGGCGCCGTCACGGGCGGAATGTCTGCGCTGGGCGTGTGACGGGGAGTTGGGCGCCAACCAGCTGCACGCACCTGCGAAGCCGGTGTACCGTTGTCCCGCGGATGCGACGCTGTGCAGCCGACATACTGCAGCGTTGGCGCACCGCAAACTTGCAACGTTGGCAAGCCGCGACTCTGCTCTGCTAGAGCGCGGTCGACAGAGTTGTGCTGGTACGCGCTCGACCGTGCTGCGCTGGCAGAGGACCAGCAGCCTTGCTAGGTCTGATGTAGTCATTCTTGCCAATGTTGATGAAATCATTCTGAACTTTTGTTATGCCTTAATTCCTAGTGAAACTCTTGCCGTTTTTCTCCGTGAACCAGAGCAAGCAGTGTTAGCACTTCGAAACGACTAAGGAACGAACGAACGCAGAGATCACACGAGCATCCGTGCCTAGCCCGCAGTCTAGCTCCCGTTGCAATAGTTATCTTCGCATGGTGCGGTGAGCGTGGACGGCACCGCGACGTAATCTTCAGTCTAGCCGACTCTTGCACTTACCTATTGCGTTCGTAGGCCGGCAGCTGTGCGGTAGTCACTATGGTAGGAGCCGTAGGTGACGGAGGGGTGGTGGACACCCTAGAGGCACGGCTGGAGAACGCGAGGAGAAAGCACGAGGCCAACGAGTATGGCGACCTCCCCTGGACTGTCGTCGAGGCTGGCATCCGTTCCCTGTGGGCGACGGAGCACCCTCCCTCTCGGCCTGCGTCTTCCCGACCGGTGAACAACGAGAGTGGCGTTAACGCGGGCGTTAACGCGGGTGGTGACCAAGTCGGTAGCAGCGCGGGAGGCACATCGAGGCAGCGAGGTGTGATTCGCGCCGATGAAGTCGGCGGCGTTCAGGCGGGAGGGATGCAGTCGTCCGCGGCTGCAGGGGCCCCGCGAAACTACGTCAGAGGCAGACGAAGTGAACTGGCGTCGATGTCGGCGACACACGATACGTGGAAGGAATTGTGCCGAGCTACGGCTACTTCAAGTTCACGCCGGACAGGATCTCGGTCACCCCTCCGCTGGTTGGTCTTCCTGACATCCTCACGTGGAAGGAAGCCATCGAGCCCCAGCTGGAGATGGCCGGGCTGATAGGCTTCGCCCGCGGGACCGTGGCGACGCCGGAGGAGAACTACCCCGACCTGCGAGCGGAATTTGGCGCCGTGCATTTGCTGACCTTCATGGTCATTTCGCGGTGCTGCTCGCCGGGTGTACAGATCGCCCTGATGTCGTGCAGGGAGTACCTCGACGCTGGCCACCGGGCGTGGCATTTCATCGAGTCAACTTACCAGGTCACCGACGACTTGTTCATCTCCCAGCTTGAGGGGCAGCTGACGCATCTTCGTATGGGCGACGAGGAAACCGCGACTGACTACTGCAATCGTGCTCGGCGAATTCTCGCCACCATTCGGATGGCTGGCGCGGAATACTCGACGGCTTCATACGTCATGCACGTGATGCAAGGACTCCCGAGCAGCTACAATCTGCTGAAGCGGCTGTCGATGGCGCCGAGCACGCGGGCGACGCTCAACGAGGACACACTGACCTCGTACATCCTGCAGGACGAGGCGATGCAGGAGGCTGAGTGGTCCCAAGAGCTCCTCGCGCAAGTAATTTTCGCGCCCCCGCGAAACAAGGTGGTCGCTCGGGACAGCGCGGGCAGTTTGGTGGCATTCACCGCGGTGGCGGGAAGCCGGCGAAGGACGCGGACAAGCAGAAATCGTACAAGGATGGCGGACGTGGAGGAGGAGGTCGACGTCGGGAATGCTGGGTGTGCGGCGATCCCGATCACCTCTCCTTCGAGTGCCCCGACCGCAGCGATTCCGACGACGACGACGCGAAGGGAGGCCGCGGAAGCTCTGGCAGCCGTCGTTTGCGTCGAGGAAACCAGCCGCGAAAAGAGAAGCAGTCGACGAAATCGACCTCGGCGAAGGACGCAGACTCTTCCGCGGGTGGCAAAGGGCGCGACCGTAAGGAGGCGTCGTGCTCGATGGTCGGTATCGTGGAGCCGACTGTCTCGCTGACACCGGAAGCTGGCAAGGATTTGGAGGCGGTGGCGGCGGCTGTGCAGGCCAACTCCGCGGTGGTCCTGCTCGACAGCGGCTGTTCGCAAGCGGCTGTTCGCACCACTTGATGGGGACGAAGGAAGCCTTCGTCGAATTGGGGCCGATCGGTGACGTGAAGCACGTGCGTGGCTTCAATGGGGCGCTGCAGGACGTTCGCGGCCGTGGCACGGTTGCGCTGCAAGGGGAGGACGGGAATCGCATGCTCATCTCCGACGTTCTCTACGTCCCAGGCGTGAATGCGAATCTACTTTCGGCTGGCCAGCTGAAGGAGAGCGGGGTGACGCTGACAGACGACGGCGATCGGATGTTGCTCGTCTCCGCGGCGGGAGACGTTCTCGGTCGTGCGACGTACACCGGCCGGGTCCTCTGCACTGACCTACGCCCATGCGTGGACAAGGCGACGACGCCCGCGAAAGAGGAGGTGGCTTTGCGGGCGATTGTCTCGGAGACAAAGGCAACCCCGAACAGGCTGCACGCGAGGCTTGCGCACGTTGGCATGGACACGATACGAAGCTCGGCGAAGCACGAGGTCGCCACTGGGCTGGACCTCAAGTCGGTGTCTGGCGCCGACTCACCATGTGTTTCGTGCGTCGGCGGGAAGCTGGCGCGGCACACCTTCCCCGACCACGGCTCCGACGCGGACGATGTCCTGGCCGTCGTGCACATCGATTTGTGCGGGCCATTTCGCGTGGCTGCCAAGGACGGAAGCCTGTACTTCGTGCTGCTGAAGGACCGCAAGACCCGCTATGTGTGGGTGAGGCCGGTCGCCAAGAAGTCGGACGTGCTGCTGGAGTTCCAGAAGTGGCTGGTGCTGGTGGAGCGGCAGGCGAAGCATTCCGGTGCTGCAACTACGTTCTGACCGCGGAGGGGAGTTCCTCGGAAAGAACTTCACCGACTTCGTGGACAGCAAGGGAATCGTTCACGATCTAACCTGCCCTTACACCCCGCAGCAGAATGGCATGGCGGAGCGGGAGATGAGGACGGTGGTGGAGCCGGTGCGGACGATGCTGCTGCACATGGGCGTGCAGCACCACTGGTGGCATCTCGCTCTGCGGCAGGCCGTCTGGGTTCGGAATTGCCTGGAGCGGTCGACGCTGCCCGCGGGGACGACGCCGTACCAGCTCCTCACCGGGCAGAAGCCCGACCTGTCGCTGGCGCGGGTGTGGGGCTGCATGGCTCAATTTCTCGTCCCTGAGCAGCAGTTGGTGGAAAGCTGAAGCCGAAGGCTTGGTGGGGCCTTCACCTCGGCGTGTCGGAGGAGAGCAAAGGCTGGGAGCTCCTTGACATCGCCGACAACCGGGTGGTCACCACGTCGGACGTGGTGTTCTACGAAACTCTGTCGCTGGAGGTGTGGAAGTCGGAATTTGGGCCCGCTTCGGGGCGGACGCGGGCCAACCCACCGACGGACACCTCGACGGCGACGCTTCCTCTGCTCGCCGAGGTCGGTGAGCAGGCTGCTGAGGATTTCGCGGTCGCCCCTGCCCCTTCTTCCCATCCCCTTCCCGTCGAACTGCATGGCTTGACTCCGGTGTCGGCCTCCGGCGATGAGGGGAGTCGTGGGGCGTCGCCTGTGGCACCGGCCAAGGTCATCGCCGGTGGCCGACGTGATGCCCAATCAGTCGCGGAGAAGTGGGCCGCGAAGAAAACCGCGTAGGAGGCCACGGACGAGGCCGCGGACGAAACCGCGGATGAAACCGCGGACGAGACCGCGGAGGAGATCGCGGAGGAGACCGCGAAGAAGCCCACGGAGGAAACCGCGGAGCAGTTGGCAGGGGAGCTCTTGAACGGGAAGCGCGTGTCAGAGAAGCCGTCAACAGGGGAGCAGTCGAACGCGGAGGTTGTTTCAGAGACGCGGACGACAGGGGAGCAGTTCGATGAAGGCACATCGAGCGACGTGGTGGAAGTTCAGCCCGGACCTCGGATGTCGGGCCGAATTCGGAGGCCACCCGACTACTTCGTCCCCGCTGCCTTCACCATGGTGTACGATGTGGAGGACGACGACCTGGCGTACGATGATGCCAAGGACGACGAGGAATTTTCGGAGCTCGACCCCGACATGCACGCCGATCCCGAGCACCATTGGGACATTTCGACCATGACGGTGAAGGAGGCATTGGCGAGCTGGAAGGGCCCGGCGGTGAAGGCCGCCATGGAGGAGGAGATTCGTAGCCTCATCAACATGGGTACTTGGGAGCTGGTCGAACGCCCGCCGGGGGTGAACATCATGAAAAAACGGTGGGTGCTGACAACGAAGTACCGCATCGACAACACTGTCGAGCGCGAAAAGGCGAGGCTGGTCGTGAAAGGCTTCACGCAGGTGTATGGTGCTGACTACGACGAGACGTACGCGCCGGTGAGCAGCTACGTCACGCTAAGGATTTTCCTCAGCATCGCCGCCGTCCTCGACCTCAACCTGATGCACCTGGACATGAAAAACGCTTTTTTGCAGAGCAAGCTCGACCGCGTGCTGTACATGTCCCAGCCGGATTACTTCAACGACGAAACCGGCCGGGTGTGCAAGCTGCTGAAGAGCCTCTACGGGCTGAAGTAGTCGCCGCTACTGTGGTACACGGCTCTCAACAATGTGTTGGTTGGCGCCGGGTGGAAGAAGAGCCAAGTCGAGGAGGCTCTGTACTTCAAGGCCGGCGATGACAAGGTGACCTGCTGGGTGCTGGTCTACGTCGACGACCTCCTCGCCGCGAGCAGCAGCACCGCGATGCTAAAAGAGCTGAAGGAGCTGCTGGAGGCCGCTTTTGAGCTGCGCGAAATTTCGCCGGTGCAGAAGTATCTCAGTCTCGAGATCGTGCGCGACAGGCCGGCGCGAAAATTATGGCTGCCCCAGCAGGGCTACACTGACAAGCTGCGTAGGCGCTTCATCGACGAGGAGCAGACCGGGCGCACTCCTAAAACACCGGTCTCCGTCGCCGCCTACGCGGAGCTGACATTCGACGACGAGGCGGCGCATGAGCGCGAGGAGGAGGAGTACCGGCAAAAGGTCGGCTCGCTGCAGTTCGCGGCGACGACGACGAGGCCGGACATCGCATTCGCGTGCAGCAAGCTGGGGAGCAGCCTCACGGTGAGGAGCGATCAGCACTGGCGCGAAGTCGCCCGCTGCCTCGCCTACCTCGCCAACACGCGAGACACCGCCCTGGAGTTCGGTGGTGGTCCAGAGTCACTGGAGTTGGTCGGCTTCGTGGACGCGGACGACGCGGGCGACAAGCAGAACCGGATGAGCACGGGCGGCTACGTGTTCGTCTGCGGAGGGGCCGCGGTTTCCTGGTCGAGCCAGCGCATCAAGTGCGCGACGCTGTCGTCGACCGAGTCGGAGTACGTGGCCGTGGGGGCCACGAAATTGCAGTGATCCGTGGGGGCCACGAAATTGCAGTGGTCCGAGGGGGCCACGAAACCGCGGGAGGACCGCGACGTACCCGGTCAACCAGGATACCCACGCGACGTGCGCGAATGTCGCCGGGAATGTCGTCTACGATGGCGATCTCGGGGGTGGTATCCCGAGGTCGATGTGGCTGGTGGGCGCCGTCACAGGCGGAATGTCTGCGCTGGGCGTGTGACGGGGAGTTGGGCGCCAACCAGCTGCACGCACCTGCGAAGCCGGTGTACCGTTGTCCCGCGGATGCGACGCTGTGCAGCCGACATACTGCAGCGTTGGCGCACCGCAAACTTGCAACGTTGGCAAGCCGCGACTCTGCTCTGCTGGAGCGCGGTCGACAGAGTTGTGCTGGCACGCGGTCGAATGTGCTGCGCTGGCAGAGGACCAGCAGCCTTGCTAGGTCTGATGTAGTCATTCTTGCCAATGTTGATGAAATCATTCTGAACCTTTGTTATGCCTTAATTCCTAGTGAAACTCTTGCCGTTTTTCCCCGTGAACCAGAGCAAGCAGTGTTAGCACTTCGAAACGACTAAGGAACGAACGAACGCAGAGATCACACGAGCATCCGTGCCTAGCCCGCAGTCTAGCTCCCGTTGCAATAGTTTTCTCCACACATTCTCCCGCTTTCCATCACCCTGCCCAATTCTCCCTGTTTCCATCACCCCTCTCCATTCTCCCTCTTTCCATCACCCCGCCCCATTCTCCCGCTTTCCATCACCTTGCCCAATTCTCCCTTTTTCCATCACCCCGCCCCATTCTCCCTCTTTCCATCACCCCACCCCATTCTCCCGCTTTCCATCACCCCGGCCAATTCTCCCGCTTTCCATCACCCCACCCCATTCTCCCTCTTACCATCACCCCGCCCCATTCTCCCGCTTTCCATCACCCCGCCCCATTCTCCCGCTTTCAATCACCCCGCTCCATTCTCCCGCTTTCCATCACCCCGCCTCATTCTCCCGCTTTCCATCACCCCGCCCCATTCTCCCGCTTTCCATCACCCCACCCCATTCTCCCGCTTTCCATCACCCCGCCCCACTCTCCCGCTTTCCATCACCCTGCCCCCTTCTCCCGCTTTCCATCACCCCGTCCCATTCTCCCGCTTTCCATCACCCCGCTCCATTCTTACGCTTTCCATCACCCCGCCCCATTCTCCCGCTTTCCATCACCCCGCCCCATTCTCCCGCTTTCTATCACCCCGCCCCATTCTCCCTCCATCCATCACCCCGCCCAATTCTCCCTCCTTCCATCACCCCGCCCCATTCTCCCTCCTTACATCACCCCTTCCCATTCTCCTGCTTTCCATCACCCAGCCCCATTCTCCCGCTTTCCACCACCTCGCCCCATTCTCCCGCCTTCCATCACCCCGCCCCATTATCCCTCCTTCCATCACCCCGGCCCATTCTCCCGCTTTCCATCACTCCACCCCATTCTCCCGCTTTCCATCACCCCACCCCATTCTCCCGCTTTCCATCACCCCGCCCCATTCTCCCGCTCTCCATCACCCCACCCCATTCTCCCGCTTTCCATCACCCCGCCCCATTCTCCTGCTTTCCATCACCCCGCCCCAATCTCCCTCTTTCCAACACCCCACCCCATTCTCCCTCCTTCCATCACCCCGCCCCATTCTCCTGCCTTCCATCACCCCGCCCCATTCTCCCGCTTTCCATCACCCCGCCCCATTTTCCCGTTTTCCATCACCCCGCCACATTCTCCTGCTTTCCATCACCCCGCCCCATTCTCCCACTTTCCACCTCCCCGCCCCATTCTCCCGCTTTCCATCACCCCGCCCCATTCTCCCGCTTTCCATCACCCCACCCCATCCTCCCACCTTCCATCACCCCGCCCCATTCTCCCTCCTTCCATCACCCCAAACCATTCTCCCGCTTTCCATCACCCCACCCCATTCTCCCGCTTTCCATCACCCCGCCCCATTCTCTTCCTTTCCATCACCCCGCCCCATTCTCCCGCTTTCCATCACCCTGCCCCATACTCCCGCTTTCCATCACCCCGCCCCGTTCTCCTGCTTTCCATCACCCCGCCCCATTCTCCCGCTTTCCATCACCCCGCCCCATTCTCCCTCCATCCATCACCCCGCCCCATTCTCCCTCCTTCCATCACCCCGCCCCATTCTCCCTCCTTACATCACCCCTTCCCATTCTCCTGCTTTCCATCACCCCGCCCCATTCTCCCGCTTTCCACCTACTCGCCCCATTCTCCCGCCTTCCATCACCCCGCCCCATTATCCCTCCTTCCATCACCCCGCTCCATTCTCCCGCTTTCCATCACTCCGCCCCATTCTCCCGCTTTCCATCACCCCACCCCATTCTCCGGCTTTCCATCACCCCGCCCCATTCTCCCGCTTTCCATCACCCCGCCCCATTCTCCCGCTTTCCATCACCCCGCCCCATTCTCCTGCTTTCCATCACCCCGCCCCAATCTCCCTCTTTCCAACACCCCACCCCATTCTCCCTCCTTCCATCACCCCGCCCCATTCTCCTGCCTTCCATCACCCCGCCCCATTCTCCCGCTTTCCATCACCCCGCCCCATTTTCCCGTTTTCCATCACCCCGCCACATTCTCCTGCTTTCCATCACCCCGCCCCATTCTCCCACTTTCCACCTCCCCGCCCCATTCTCCCGCTTTCCATCACCCCGCCCCATTCTCCCGCTTTCCATCACCCCACCCTATCCTCCCACCTTCCATCACCCCGCCCCATTCTCCCTCCTTCCATCATCCCAAACCATTCTCCCGCTTTCCATCACCCCACCCCATTCTCCCGCTTTCCATCACCCCGCCCCATTCTCTTCCTTTCCATCACCCCGCCCCATTCTCCCGCTTTCCATCACCCTGCCCCATACTCCCGCTTTCCATCACCCCGCCCCGTTCTCCTGCTTTCCATCACCCCGCCCAATTCTCCCGATTTCCATCACCCCGCCCCATTCTCCGGCTTTGTATCACCCCGCCCCATTCTCCCTCCTTCCCTCACCCCGCCCCATTCTCCCTCCTTCCAGCACCCCGCCCCATTCTCCTTCCTTCAATCGCCCCGCCCCATTCTCCTGCTTTCCATCACCCCGCCCCATTCTCCCTCCTTCCATCACCCCGCCCCATTCTCCCGCTTTCCATCACCACGCCCCATTCTCCCGCTTTCCATCACCCCGCCCCGTTCTCCCACTTTGCATCACACCGCCCCATTCTCCAGCTTTCCATCACCCCGCCCCATTTTCCCGCTTTCCATCACCCCGCCCTGTTCTTCCACTTTCCATCACCCCGCCCCATTCTCCCGCTTTCCATCACCCCGCCCCATTCTCCCCCTTTCCATCACCCCACCCCATTCTCCCTCCCTCCATCACACCGCCCCATTTTCCCTCCTTCCATCACCCTGCCCTATTCTCCCGCTTTCCATCACCTCGCCCCATTCTCACGCTTTCCATCACCGCGCCCAATTCTCCTGCTTTCCATCACCCCGCCCCATTCTCCCTCCTTCCATCACCCCGCCCCATTCTCCCTCCTTCCATAACCCCGCCCCATTCTCCCGCTTTCCATCACCCTGCCCCATTCTCCCGCTTTCCATCACCCCGCCCCATTCTCCCGCTTTCCCTCACCCCGCACCATTCTCCCGCACTCCATAGCCCCGCCCTATTCTCCCGCTTTCCTTCAGCCCGCCCCATTCTCCCGCTTTCCATCATCCCGCCCCTTTCTCCCGCTTTCCATCTCCCCGCCCCATTCTCCTGCTTTCCATCACCCCGCCCCATTCTCCCGCTTTCCATCACCCCGCCCCATTCTTCCGCTTCCTATCATCCCGCCCCATTCAGCCGCTTTCCATCACCCCTCCCCATTCTCCCTCCTTCCATCACCCCGCCCCATTCTTCCGCTTTCCATCACCCGCCCCATTCTCCCGCTTTCCATCACCTCGCCCCATTCTCCCACTTTCCATCACCCCGCCCCATTCTTCTTCTTTCCATCACCCCGCCCCATTCTCCCGCTTTCCATCACCCCGCCCCATTCTCCCTCCTTCCATCACCCCGCCCCATTCTCCCTCCTTCCATCACCCCGCCCCATTCTCCCGCTTTCCATCACCCCGCCACATTCTCCCGCTTTCTATCACCCCGCCCCATTCTCCCTCCTTCTATCACCCCGCCCCATTCTCCCGCTTTCCACCACCCCGACCCATTCTCCCGATTTCCATCACCCCGCCCCATTCTCCCGCTTTCCATCATCCCGCCCCATTCTCCCTCCTTCCATCACCCCGCCCCATTCTCCCGCTTTCCATCACTCCGCCCCATTCTCCCTCCTTCCATCACCCCGCCCCATTCTCCCTCCTTCCATCACCCCGCCCCATTCTCCCGCTTTCCATCACCCTGCCCCAATCTCCTGCTTCCCATAACCCCACCCCATTTTCCCGCTTTCCATCACCCCGCCACATTCTCCCACTTTCCATCACCCCGCCCCCTTCTCTCTCCTTCCATCAACCCGCCCCATTCTCCCTCCTTCCATCACCCCGCCCCATTCTCCCGCTTTCCATCAGCCCGCCCCATTCTCCCGCTTTCCATCACCCCTCCCCTTTCTCCCGCTTTCCATCTCCCCGCCCCATTCTCCCGCTTTCCATCACCCCGCCCCATTCTCCCGCTTTCCATCACCCCGCCCCATTCTTCCGCTTCCCATCATCCCGCCCCATTCCCCCGCTTTCCATCACCCCTCCCCATTCTCCCTCCTTCCATCACCCTGCCCCATTCTGTCGCTTTCCATCACCCCGCCCCATTCTCCCGCTTTCCATCACGCCGCCCCATTCTCCCGTTTTCCATCACCCCGCCCCATTCTCCCTCCTTCCATCACCCCGCCCCATTCTCCCGCTTTCCATCACCCCGCCCCATTCTCCTTTCTTCCATCAACCCGCCCCATTCTCCCTCATTCCATTACCCCGCCCCATTCTCCCGCTTTCCATCACCCCGCCCCATTCTCCCGCTTCCCATAACCCCACCCCATTCTCCCGCTTTCCATCACCCCGCCACATTTTCCCACTTTCCATCACCCCGCCCCCTTCTCTCTCCTTCCATCACCCCGCCCCATTCTCCTTCCTTCCATCACCCCGCCCCATTCTCCCGCTTTCCCTCAGCCCGCCCCATTCTCCCGCTTTCCATCACCCCGCTTCTTTCTCCCGCTTTCCATCTCCCCGCCCCATTCTCCCGCTTTCCATCACCCCGCCCCATTCTCCCGCTTTCCATCACCCCGCCCCATTCTTCCGCTTCCCATCATCCCGCCCCATTCCACCACTTTCCATCACCCCTCCCCATTCTCCCTCCTTCCATCACCCCGCCCCATTCTTCCGCTTTCCATCACCCGCCCCATTCTCCCGCTTTCCATCACCTCGCCCCATTCTCCCGCTTTCCATCACCCCGCCCCATTCTTTTGCTTTCCATCACCCCGCCCCATTCTCCCGCTTTCCATCACCCTGCCCCATTCACCCGCTTTCCATTACCCACCCCATTCTCCCGCTTTCCATCACCCCGCCCCATTCTCCCGCTTTCCATCACCCCGCTCCATTCTCCCGCTTTCCATCACCCCGCCCCATTCTCCCGCTTTCCATCACCCCGCCCCATTCTCCCGCTTTCCATCACTCCGACCCATTCTCCCGCTTTCCATCACCCCGACCCATTCTCCCACTTTCCATCACCCCGCCCCATTCTCCCTCCTTCCATCACCCCGCCTCATTCTCCCTCCATCCATCACCCCGCCCCTTTCTCCCGCTTTCCATCACCTCGCCCCATTCTCCCGCTTTCCATCACCCAGCCCCATTCTCCCGCTTTCCATCACCCCGCCCCATTTTCCCGCTTTCCATCACCCCGCCCCATTCTCCCGCTTTCCATCACCCTGCCCCAATCTCCCGCTTTCCATCACATCGCCCCATTCTCCCTTCTTCCATCACCCCGCCCCATTCTCCCGCTTTCCATCACCCCGCCCCATTCTCCTGCTTTCCATCACCCAGCCCCATTCTCCCGCTTTCCATCACCCCACCCCATTCTCCTACTTTCCATCACCCCACCCCATTCTCCCTCCTTCCATCACCCCGCCCCATTCTCCCTCCTTCCATCACCCCGCCCCATTCTCCCGCTTTCCATCACCCCGCCCCATTCTCCCTCCTTCCATCACCCCGCCCCATTCTCCCTCCTTCCATCACCCCGCCCCATTCTCCCGCTTTCCATCACCCCGCCCCATTCTCCCGCTTCCCATAACCCCACCCCATTCTCCCGCTTTCCATCACCCCGCCACATTCTCCCGCTTTCTATCACCCCGCCCCATTCTCCCTCCTTCCATCACCCCGCCCCATTCTCCCGCTTTCCATCACCCCGCCCCATTCTCCCGCTTTCCATCACCCCGCCACATTCTCCCACTTTCCATCACCCCGCCCCCTTCTCTCTCCTTCCATCACCCCGCCCCATTCTCCCTCCTTCCATCACCCCGCCCCATTCTCCCGCTTTCGATCAGCCCGCCCCATTCTCCCGCTTTCCATCACCCCGCCCCATTCTCCCGCTTTCCATCTCCCCGCCCCATTCTCCCGCTTTCCATCACCCCGCCCCATTCTCCCGCTTTCCATCAACCCGCCCCATTCTTCCGCTTCCCATTATCCCGCCCCATTCCCCCGCTTTCCATCACCCCTCCCCATTCTCCCTCCTACCATCACCCCGCCCCATTCTCTTGCTTTCCATCACCCCGCCCCATTCTCCCGCTTTCCATCACCCCGCCCCATTCTCCCGCTTTCCATCACCCCGCCCCATTCTCCCTCCTTCCATCACCCCGCCCCATTCTCCCGCTTTCCATTACCCCGCCCCAATCTCCCTCCTTCCATCACCCGGCCCCATTCTCCCTCATTCCATCACCCCGCCCCATTCTCCCGCTTTCCATCACCACGCCCCATTCTCCAGCTTCCCATAACCCCACCCCATTCTCCCGCTTTCCATCACCCCGCCACATTTTCCCACTTTCCATCACCCCGCCCCCTTCTCTCTCCTTCCATCACCCCGCCCCATTCTCCCTCCTTCCATCACCCCGCCCCATTCTCCCGCTTTCCATCAGCCCGCCCCATTCTCCCGCTTTCCATCACGCCGCCCCTTTCTCCCGCTTTCCATCTCCCCGCCCCATTCTCTCGCTTTCGATCACCCCGCCCCATTCTCCCGCTTTCCCTCACCCCGCACCATTCTCCCGCACTCCATAGCCCCGCCCTATTCTCCCGCTTTCCTTCAGCCCGCCCCATTCTCCCGCTTTCCATCATCCCGCCCCTTTCTCCCGCTTTCCATCTCCCCGCCCCATTCTCCTGCTTTCCATCACCCCGCCCCATTCTCCCGCTTTCCATCACCCCGCCCCATTGTTCCGCTTCCTATCATCCCGCCCCATTCAGCCGCTTTCCATCACCCCTCCCCATTCTCCCTCCTTCCATCACCCCGCCCCATTCTTCCGCTTTCCATCACCCGCCCCATTCTCCCGCTTTCCATCACCTCGCCCCATTCTCCCACTTTCCATCACCCCGCCCCATTCTTCTTCTTTCCATCACCCCGCCCCGTTCTCCCGCTTTCCATCACCCCGCCCCATTCTCCCTCCTTCCATCACCCCGCCCCATTCTCCCTCCTTCCATCACCCCGCCCCATTCTCCCGCTTTCCATCACCCCGCCACATTCTCCCGCTTTCTATCACCCCGCCCCATTCTCCCTCCTTCTATCAGCCCGCCCCATTCTCCCGCTTTCCACCACCCCGACCCATTCTCCCGATTTCCATCACCCCGCCCCATTCTCCCGCTTTCCATCATCCCGCCCCATTCTCCCTCCTTCCATCACCCCGCCCTATTCTCCCGCTTTCCATCACTCCGCCCCATTCTCCCTCCTTCCATCACCCCGCCCCATTCTCCCTCCTTCCATCACCCCGCCCCATTCTCCCGCTTTCCATCACCCTGCCCCAATCTCCTGCTTCCCATAACCCCACCCCATTTTCCCGCTTTCCATCACCCCGCCACATTCTCCCACTTTCCATCACCCCGCCCCCTTCTCTCTCCTTCCATCACCCCGCCCCATTCTCCCTCCTTCCATCACCCCGCCCCATTCTCCCGCTTTCCATCAGCCCGCCCCATTCTCCCGCTTTCCATCACCCCTCCCCTTTCTCCCGCTTTCCATCTCCCCGCCCCATTCTCCCGCTTTCCATCACCCCGCCCCATTCTCCCGCTTTCCATCACCCCGCCCCATTCTTCCGCTTCCCATCATCCCGCCCCATTCCCCCGCTTTCCATCACCCCTCCCCATTCTCCCTCCTTCCATCACCCTGCCCCATTCTCTCGCTTTCCATCACCCCGCCCCATTCTCCCGCTTTCCATCACCCCGCCCCTTTCTCCAGCTTTCCATCTCCCTGCCCCATTCTCCCACTTTCCATCACCCCGCCCCATTTTCCCGCTTTCACTCACCCAGCCCCATTCTCCCGCTTTCCATCACCCCGCCCCATTCTCCCGCTTTCCATCACCCAGCCCCATTCTCCCGCTTTCCATCACCCCGCCCCATTTTCCCGCTTTCCATCACCCCGCCCCATTCTCCCGCTTTCCATCACCCTGCCCCAATCTCCCGCTTTCCATCACCCCACCCCATTCTCCCTCCTTCCATCACCCCGCCCCATTCTCCCGCTTTCCATCACCCCGCCCCATTCTCCCGCTTTCCATCACCCAGCCTCATTCTCCCGCTTTCCATCACCCCGCCCCATTCTCCCGCTTTCCATCACCCCGCCCCATTCTCCCGCTTTCCATCACCCCGCCCCATTCTCCCTCCCTCCGTCACCCCGCCCCATTCTCCCGCTTTCCATCACCCCGTCCCATTCTCCCTCCTTCCATCACCCCGCCCCATTCTCCCTCCTTCCATCACCCCGCCCCATTCTCCCGCTTTCCATCAGCCCGCCCCATTCTCCCGCTTCCCATAACCCCACCCCCGTCTCCCGCTTTCCATCTCCCCGCCACATTCTCCTGCTTTCTATCACCTCGCCCCATTCTCCCTCCTTCCATCACCCTGCCCCATTCCCCGCTTTCCATCACCCCGCCCCATTCTCTCGCTTTCCATCATCCCGCCCCATTCTCCCTCCTTCCATCACCCCGCCCCATTCTCCCGCTTTCCATCACTCCGCCCCATTCTCCCTCCTTCCATCACCCCGCCCCATTCTCCCTCCTTCCATCACCCCGCCCCATTCTCCCGCTTTCCATCACCCCGCCCCATTCTCCCGCTTCCCATAACCCCACCCTATTCTCCCGCTTTCCATCACCCCGCCACATTCTCCCACTTTCCATCACCCCGCCCCCTTCTCTCTCCTTCCATCACCCCGCCCCATTCTCCCTCCTTCCATCACCCCGCCCCATTCTCCAGCTTTCCATCAGCCCGCCCAATTCTCCCGCATTCCATCACCCCTCCCATTTCTCCCACTTTCCATCTCCCGCCCCATTCTCCCGCTTTCCATCACCCCGCCCCATTCTCCCGCTTTCCATCACCCCGCCCCATTCTTCCGCTTCCCATCATCCCGCCCCATTCCCCCCCTTTCCATCACCCCTCCCCATTCTCCCTCCTTCCATCACCCCGCCCCATTCTCTCGCTTTCCATCACCCCGCCCCATTCTCCCGCTTTCCATCACCCCGCCCCATTCTCCCGCTTTCCATCACCCCAGCCCATTCTTCCTCCTTCCATCACCCCGCCCCATTCTCCCGCTTTCCATCACCCCGCCCCATTCTCCCTCATTCCATCACCCCGCCCCATTCACCCGCTTTCCATCACCCCGCCCCATTCTCCTGCTTCCCATAACCCCACCCCATTCTCCCGCTTTCCATCACCCCGCCACCTTTTCCCACTTTCCATCACCCCGCCCCCTTCTCTCTTCTTCCATCACCCCGCCCCATTCTCCCTCCTTCCATCACCCCGCCCCATTCTCCTGCTTTCCATCAGCCCCGCCCCATTCTCCCGCTTTCCATCACCCCGCCCCTTTCTCCCGCTTTCCATCTCCCCGCCCCATTCTCCCGCTTTCCATCACCCCGCCCCATTCTCCCGCTTTCCATCACCGCGCCCCATTCTTCCGCTTCCCATCATCCCGCCCCTTTTCCCCGCTTTCCATCACCCCTCCCCATTCTCCCTCCTTCCATCACCCCGCCCCATTCTCCCGCTTTCCATCACCCGCCCCATTCTCCCACTTTCCATCACCCCGCCTCAATCTTTTGCTTTCCATCACCCCGCCCCAATCTCCCGCTTTCCATCACCCTGCCCATTCACCCGCTTTCCATCACCCGCCCCATTCTCCCGCTTTCCATCACCCCGCCCATTCTCCCGCTTTCCATCACCCCGCCCCATTCTCCCGCTTTCCATCCCCCCGCCCCATTCTCCCGCTTTCCATCACCCCGCCCCATTCTCCCGCTTTCCATCACTCCGCCCCATTCTCCCGCTTTCCATCACCCCGACCCATTCTCCCACTTTCCATCACCCCGCCCCCTTCTCCCTCCTTCCATCACCCCGCCCCATTCTCCCTCCTTCCATCACCCCGCCCCATTCTCCCGCTTTCCATCACCCCGCCCCATTCTCCCGCTTTCCATCACCCCGCCCCATTCTCCCGCTTTCCATCACCCCGCCCCATTCTCCCGCTTTCCATCACCCCGCCCCATTCTCCCTCCTTCCATCACCCCGCCCCATTCTCCTGCTTTCCATCACCCGCCCCATTCTCCCTCCTTCCATCACCCCGCCCCATTCTCCCTCCTTCCATCACCCCGCCCCATTCTCCCGCTTTCCATCACCCCGCCCCATTCTCCCGCTTCCCATAACCCCACCTCATTCTCCCGCTTTCCATCACCCCGCCCCATTCTCCCGATTTCCATCACCCCGCCCCATTCTCCCGCTTTCCATCACCCCGCCCCATTCTCCCGCTTTCCATCACCCCGCCCCATTCTCCCGCTTTCCATCATCCCGCCCCATTCTCCCTCCTTCCATCACCCCGCCCCATTCCCCCGCTTTTCATCACTCCGCCCCATTCTCCCTCCTTCCATCACCCCGCCCCATTCTCCCTCCTTCCATCACCCCGCCCCATTCTCCCGCTTTCCATCACCCCGCCCCATTCTCCCGCTTCCCATAACCCCACCCCATTCTACCGCTTTCCATCACCCCGCCACATTCTCCCACTTTCCATCACCCCGCCCCCTTCTCTCTCCTTCCATCACCCCGCCCCATTCTCCCTCCTTCCATCACCCCGCCCCATTCTCCCGCTTTCCATCACCCCGCCCCATTCTCCCGCTTTCCATCACCCCTCCCCTTTCTCCCGCTTTCCATCTCCCTGCCCCATTCTCCCGCTTTCCGTCACCCCGCCCCATTCTCCCGCTTTCCATCACCCCGCCCCATTCTTCCGCTACCCATCATCCCGACCCATTCCCCCGCTTTCCATCACCCCTCCCCATTCTCCCTCCTTCCATCACCCCGCCCCATTCTCTCGCTTTCCATCACCCCGCCCCATTCTCCCGCTTTCCATCACCCCGCCCCATTCTCCCGCTTTCCATCACCCCGCCCCGTTCTCCCTCCTTCCATCACCCCGCCCCGTTCTCCCGCTGTCCATTACCCCGCCCCAATCTCCCTCCTTCCATCACCCCGCCCCATTCTCCCTCCTTCCATCACTCCGCCCCATTCTCCCGCTTTCCATCACCCCGCCCCATTCTCCCGCTTCCCATAACCCCACCCCCTTCTCCCGCTTTCCATCACCCCGCCACATTCTCCCGCTTTCTATCACCCCGCCCCCTTCTCCCTCCTTCCATCACCCCGCCCCATTCTCCAGCTTTCCATCACCCCGCCCTGTTCTCCCGCTTCCCATAACCCCACCCCCTTCTCCCGCTTTCCATCACCCCGCCACATTCTCTCGCTTTCTATCGCCCCGCCCCATTCTCCCTCCTTCCATCACCCCGCCCCATTCTCCCACTTTCCATCACCCCGCCCCATTCTCCCGATTTCCATCACCCCGCCCCATTCTCCCGCTTTCCATCACCCCGCCCCATTCTCCCGCTTTCCATCACCCCGCCCCATTCTCCCGCTTTCCATCATCCCGCCCCATTCTCCCTCCTTCCATCACCCCGCCCCATTCTCCCGCTTTCCATCACTCTGCCCCATTCTCCCTCCTTCCATCACCCCGCCCCATTCTCCCTCCTTCCATCACCCCCCCCATTCTCCCGCTTTCCATCACCCCGCCCCATTCTCCCACTTCCCATAACCCCACCCCATTCTTCCGCTTTCCATCACCCCGCCACATTCTCCCACTTTCCATCACCCCGCCCCCTTCTCTCTCCTTCCATCACCCCGCCCCATTCTCCCGCTTTCCATCACTTAGCCCCATTCTCCCGCTTTCCATCACCCCGCCCCATTTTTCCGCTTTTCATCACCCCGCCCCATTCTCCCGCTTTCCATCACCCCGCCCTGTTCTCCCGCTTCCCATAACCCCACCCCCTTCTCCCGCTTTCCATCACCCCGCCACATTCTCTCGCTTTCTATCGCCCCGCCCCATTCTCCCTCCTTCCATCACCCCGCCCCATTCTCCCACTTTCCATCACCCCGCCCCATTCTCCCGATTTCCATCACCCCGCCCCATTCTCCCGCTTTCCATCACCCCACCCCATTCTCCCGCTTTCCATCACCCCGCCCCATTCTCCCGCTTTCCATCATCCCGCCCCATTCTCCCTCCTTCCATCACCCCGCCCCATTCTCCCGCTTTCCATCACTCCGCCCCATTCTCCCTCCTTCCATCACCCCGCCCCATTCTCCCTCCTTCCATCACCCCCCCCATTCTCCCGCTTTCCATCACCCCGCCCCATTCTCCCGCTTCCCATAACCCCACCCCATTCTCCCGCTTTCCATCACCCCGCCACATTCTCCCACTTTCCATCACCCCGCCCCCTTCTCTCTCCTTCCATCACCCCGCCCCATTCTCCCGCTTTCCATCACCCCGCCCCATTTTTCCGCTTTTCATCACCCCGCCCCATTCTCCCGCTTTCCATCACCCTGCCTCAATCTCCCGCTTTCCATCACCCCGCCCCATTCTCCCTCCTTCCATCACCCCGCCCCATTCTCCCGCTTTCCATCACCCCGCCCCATTCTCCCACTTTCCATCACCCAGCCCCATTCTCCCGCTTTCCATCACCCCGCCCCATTCTCCCGCTTTCCATCACCCCGCCCCATTCTCCCGCTTTCCATCACCTCGCCCCATTCTCCCTCCTTCCATCACCCCGCCCCATTCTCCCGCTTTCCATCACCCCGCCCCATTCTCCCTCCTTCCATCACCCTGCCCCATTCTCCCTCCTTCCATCACCCCGCCCCGTTCTCCCGCTTTCCATCACCCCGCCCCATTCTCCCGCTTCCCATAACCCCACCCCATTCTTCCGCTTTCCATCACCCCACCACATTTTCCCGCTTTCTATCACCCCGCCCCATTCTCCCTCCTTCCATCACCCCGCCCCATTCTCCCGCTATCCATCACCCCGCCCCATTCTCCTGCTTTCCATCACCCAGCCCCATTCTCCCGCTTTCCATCACTCCACCCCATTCTCCCGCTTTCCATCACCCCACCCCATTCTCCCTCCGTCCATCACCCCGCCCCATTCTCCCTCCTTCCATCACCCCGCCCCATTCTCCCGCTTTCCATCACCCCGCCCCATTCTCCCTCCTTCCATCACCCTGCCCCATTCTCCCTCCTTCCATCACCCCGCCCCATTCTCCCGCTTTCCATCACCCCGCCCCATTCTCCCGCTTCCCATAACCCCACCCCATTCTTCCGCTTTCCATCACCCCGCCCCATTCTCCCGCTTTCCATCACCCCGCCCCATTCTCCCGATTTCCATCATCCCGCCCAATTCTCCCGCTTTCCATCACCCCGCCCCATTCTCCCGCTTTCCATCATCCCGCCCCATTCTCCCTCCTTCCATCACCCCGCCCCATTCTTCCGCTTCCCATCATCCCGCCCCATTCCCCCGCTTTCCATCACCCCTCCCCATTCTCCCTCCTTCCATCACCCCGCCCCATTCTCTCGCTTTCCATCACCCCGCCCCATTCTCCCGCTTTCCATCACCCCGCCCCATTCTCCCGCTTTCCATCACTCCGCCCCATTATACCTCCTTCCATCACCCCGCCCCATTCTCCCTCCTTCCATCACCCCGCCCCATTCTCCCGCTTTCCATCACCCCGCTCCATTCTCCCGCTTTCCATCAACCCGCCCAATTCTCCCTCTTTCCATCACCCCTCAACATTCTCCCTCTTTCCATCACCACGCCCCCTTCTCCCGCTTTCTATCACCCCGCCCCATTCTCCCTCTTTCCATCACCGCGCCCTGTTCTCCGGCTTTCAATCACCCCGCCCCATTCTCCCGCTTTCCATCACCCCGCCCCATTCTCCATCCTTCCATCACCCCGCCCCATTCTCCCTCTTTCCATCACCCCGCCCCATTCTCCCGCCTTCCATCACCCAGCCTCACTCTCCCTCTTTACATCACCCCGCCCCATTCTCCCGCTTTCACCCCGCCCCATTCTCCCTCTTTCCATCACCCCGCCCCATTCTCCCTCTTTCCATCACCCCGCTCCGTTCTCCCGCTTTCCATCACCCCGCCCCATTTTCCCTCTTTCCATCACCCCGCCCCATTCTCCCGCTTTCCATCACCCCGCCCCATTCTCCCGCTTTCCATCACCCCGCTCCATTCTTCCGCTTTCCATCACCCCTCAACATTCTCCCTCTTTCCATCACCCCGCCCCATTCTCCCGCTTTCCATCACCCGCCCCATTCTCCCTCTTTCCATCACCCCGACCCATTCTACTGCTTTCCATCACCCCGTCCCATTCTCCCGCTTTCCATCACCCCGCCCAATTTTCCCTCTTTCCATCACCCCACCCCATTCTCCCTCTTTCCATCACCCCGCCCCATTCTCCCCCAATCCATCACCCCGCCCCATTTTCACTCTTTCCATCACCCCGTCCCATTCTCCCGCTTTCCATCACCCCGCCCCATTCTCCCGCTTTCCATCACCCCGCTCCATTCTCCCACTTTCCAACACCCCGCCCAATTCTCCCTCTTTCCATCACCCCTCCCCATTCTCCCTCTTTCCATCATCCAGCCCCATTCTCACGCTTTCCATCACCCCGCCCCATTCTTCCTCTTTCCATCTCCCTGCCCCATTCTCCCTCTTTCCATCACCCCGCCCCATTCTCCCTCTTTCCATCACCCCGACACATTCTCCCGCTTTCCATCACCCCGCCCCATTCTCCCGCTTTCCATCACCCCGCCCCATTCTTCCTCTTTCCATCTCCCTGCCCCATTCTCCCTCTTTCCATCACCCCGCCCCATTCTCCCTCTTTCCGTCACCCCGCCCCATTCTCCCTCTTTCCATCACCCCGCCCCATTCTCCCGATTTCCGTCACCCCGCCCCATTCTCCCTCTTTCCATCACCCCGCCCCATTCTCCCTCTTTCCATCACCCCGACCCATTCTCCCGCTTTCCATCACCCCTCCCCATTCTCCCTCTTTCCATCACCCCGCCCCATTCTCCCACCTTCCATCACCCCGCCCCAAGCGGGAGAATTGGGCGGGGTGATAGATAGAGGGAGAATGGGGCGGGGTGATGGAAAGCGGGATAATGGGGCGGGGTGATTAAAAGAGGGAGAATGGGGTGGGGTGATGGAAGGCGGGAGAATGGGGCGGGGTGATGGAAAGCGGGAGATTTGGGCGGGGTGATGGAAAGCGGGAGAATAGGGCGGGGTGATGAAAGGCGGGAGAATGGGGCGGGGTGATGGAAAGAGGGAGAATGGGGCGGGGTGATGGAAAGAGGGAGAATGGGGAGGGGTGATGGAAAGAGGGAGAATTGGGCGGGGTGATGGAAAGCGGGAGAATGGGGTGGGGTGATGGAAAGCGGGAGAATGGGGCGGGGTGATGGAAAGAGGGAGAATGGGGAGGGGTGATGGAAAGAGGGAGAATTGGGCGGGGTGATGGAAAGCGGGACAATGGAGCGGGGTGATGGAAAGCGGGATAATTGTTGATGCAACCTACGGTTTGCACTCGTCTTGTTGTTCGTGTGCGTGCATGCGTGTGTGCATGGAATGGTATGAGGGCATGGGATAATATATATTTTATGCTTATAATTGTGTGTGTATGATGGGTCATGATATTGAGTGTGTGTGTCAAGTCAATAGCGAGTTATTGCTAGTCGCGTGTAACGCATTCATTTTGTGTGTCCCGCGCGGTTTCTATTTTGTCGTGCGCGGTTACTATTTTGTCGCCTGTCGAACGTTCGGCGTGTCGCAGGTGTGTGCAGCAGACCCATCAAGAACTCAAGGATGAGTTTGTGATGAAGAACCCGAGCCCTGGTGTCAACATTCAAGTGTTCACGAAGTCCGCGAAAAGGGTACACCTCAAGATATCAAGATTCGTTACATAACAACGTGTAGTGTAACATTTCAGTTGGTGTAGACCCTAGTGAAGGGTAGTTTCGAGACCCTTCGTGTGGCACTGTTCCACATCACTGTACCTCGGCTCTTGGGGTTTGTAGGAGCTGGGAGTCATTTCCAACTCGTAACTCTTGCTAACTCTTCCTAAGTTGCGTTCTAAGACTATGTTGCTGCCATAGTGCTGTTCATAGTGCCATAGACTGTGTCGTCAAATCTTGATGATGGGGTGGGGTGATGGAAAGCAAAAGAATGGGGGGAGGTGATGGAAAGCGGGAGAATCTGACGGGGTGATGGAAAGCAGGAGAATCGGGCGGGGTGATAGAAAGCGGGAGAATGTGGCAAGGTGATGGAAATGGGGAGAATGGGGTGGGGTGGTGGAAAGCGGGAGAATGGGGCGGGGTGATGGAAAGCGGGAGAATGGGGCGGGGTGATGGAAAGAGGGAGAATGGGGAGGGGTAATGGGAAGAAGGAGAATGGGGTGGGGTGCTGGAAAGCAAACGAATGGGGCGAGGTGATGGAAACCGGGAGAATCTGATGGGGTGATGGAAAGCAGGAGAATTGGGCGGGGTGATGGAAAGCGGGAGAATGTGGCAAGGTGATGGAAATGGGGAGAATGGGGCGGGGTGATGGACAGCGGGAGAATGGGGCGGGGTGATGGAAAGCGGGAGAATGGGGCGGGGTGATGGAAAGAGGGAGAATGGGGAGGGGTAATGGGAAGAAGGAGAATTGGGCGGGCTGATGGAAAGCGGGAGAATCGAGCGGGGTGATGGAAAGCGGGAGAATTGGGCGGGGTGATGGAAAGCGGGAGAATGGGGCAGGGTGATGGAAAGAGGGAGAATGGGGCGGAGTGATGGAAAGTGGGAGAATGGGGCGGGGTGATGGAAAGCGGGAGAGTGGGGCAGGGTGATGGAAAGAGGGAGAATGGGGCGGAGTGATGGAAAGCGGGAGAATGGGGCGGGGTGATGGAAAGTGGGCGAATGGGGGGGGGGGGGGTGATGGAAAGAGGGAGAATGGGGCAGGGTGATTGAAAGCGGGAGAATGGGGCAGGGTGATTGAAAGCGGGAGAATGGGGCGGGGTGATGGAAAGCGGGAGAATGGGGCGGGGTGATGGAAAGCGGGAGAATGGGGTGGGGTGATGGAAAGTGGGAGAATGGGGCGGGGTGATGGAAAGTGGGAGAACGGGGCGGGGTGATGGAAAGAGGGAGAATTGGAAGGGGTGATGGAAAGAGGGAGAATGGGGCGGGGTGATGGAAAGCGGGAGAATGGAGCGGGGTGATGGAAAGCGGGAGAATGGGGCGGGGTGATGGAAAGTGGTAGAATGGGGCGGGGTGATGGAAAGAGGGAGAATGGGGCGGGGTGATAGAAAGCAGGAGAATGGGGCGGGGTGATGGAAACAGGGAGAATGGGGCGGGGTGATGGAAAGCGGGAGAATGGGGCGGGCTGATGGAAAGAGGGGGAATGGGGCGGGGTGATAGAAAGCGGGAGAATGGGTGGAAGTGATGGAAAGAGGGAGAATGAGGAGGGGTGATGAAAAGAGGGAGAATTGGGCGGGGTGATGAGAAGCGGGAGAATGGAGCGGGGTGATGGAAAGCGGGAGAATGGAGCAGGGTCATGGAAAGCGGGAGAATGGGGCGGGGGAATGGAAAGAGGGAGAATGGGGCGGGGTGATGGAAAGCGGGAGAATGGGACGGGGTGATGGAAACCGGGAGAATTGGGCGGGGTGATGGATAGAGGGAGAATGGGGCAGGGTGATGGAAAGAGGGAGAATGGGGCGGGACGATGGAAAGCGGGAGAATGGGGCGGGGTGATGGCAAGCGGGAGAATGGGGTGGGTGATGGAAAGAGGTAGAATGGGGCGGGGTGATGGAAAGTGGGCGAATGGGGGGGGGGTGATGGAAAGAGGGAGAATGGGGCAGGGTGATTGAAAGCGGGAGAATGGGGCAGGGTGATTGAAAGCGGGAGAATGGGGCGGGGTGATGGAAAGCGGGAGAATGGGGCGGGGTGATGGAAAGCGGGAGAATGGGGTGGGGTGATGGAAAGTGGGAGAATGGGGCGGGGTGATGGAAAGCGGGAGAATGGGGCGGGGTGATGGAAAGAGGGAGAATGGGGCGGGGTGATGGAAAGCGGGAGAATTGGGCGGGCTGATGGAAAGCGGGAGATGGGGCGTGGGTGATGGAAAGCGGGAGAATCTAGGCAGGGGTCATGGAAAGATGGGAGAATGGGGAGGGGTGATGGAAAGAGGGAGAATGGGGCAGGGGTGATAGGAAAGCGGGAGAATGGGGACAAGGTGATGGAAAGCGGGAGAATGGGGCGGGGTGCATGGAAAAGCGGGAGAATGGGGCGGGGTGATGGAAAGAGGGAGAATGGGGCGGCGGTGATGGAAAGCGGGAGAATGGGAGCGGGTGATGGAAAGCGGGAGAATCAGGGCGAGGGTGATGGATAGAGGGAGAATGGGGCAGGGGTGATGGAAAGAGGGAGAATGGGGCAGGGGTGATGGAAAGCGGGAGAAATAGGGGCAGGGGTGATGGAAAGCAGGAGAATGGGGCGGGGTGATGGAAAAAGGGAGAATGGGGCGGATGATGGAAAGAGGGAGAATGGGGCGGGGTGATGGAAAGCGGGAGAAT